TGTCTAAAAATTTTTTCAATGTATTGCTTCATAAAATAGAGGGGCATCTAATTAAACCGGACACGTTAGAGAAAAGTTATCACAATTTTTGGTTAGTTAGTTCGACCTGCGAAGATGTCGAATTTGCACTCTTTTGAGGAGCTCCTCTTTTTTTAGGCATTTGCTGCGTGTTTGCTGATTTTGGGTCTCTAGCCTTTGAGGAACGGATGATTGACTTCATTTATCACCAGTTTCAACAGTTGTAGTGTCTACATCATAAACGATGTTCTCTTGTTCACTAACTTGTTTATGATCTTCCAATTCCTCAGTTTCGTCTTTTTGGAATTCAGTATTCCCTTTCGAATCCATTTCATCAAAAAATTTGTTTTGAAATCCCAATCACAAATATATAAAGTTTTTTGTTGCCTTCTTTTTAGAAGTTGCCAACAATTGTCTCTGATATTATTCCATCTTGCCTTGCATGCTGGCCCTAAAAATAAATTCACCTTTAGTTCAAACAACATAATATTGCAATTATTGTTGTTATAATAAAATGACTTTCTTTATTTAAAAATAGCTCTTTTATCACTTTTTGTACTTCCATGCACAAGCGGCACAAAAAGTATTTTTCCTCCTAGTAACTAAAAGTATCAGGTTATTAGATGGAATAATTGGGAACAATATTATGAAAGCTCCCATTTAAACAAAAATGAAAAAAAATCAAGATTACCTTGACAATGCGCCATCATGGCGGATGGCAATTTTTTAATTACAAAAAAATTTTTCTTTTGTATTGTTAGCATTGAAAATTGGCGCATGTTATTTGCCGCGAAATATTTTCATAGTTCAATAAAAATGTCTTTTAGGACTCAATTAATTCTTCAATTAATCTTTAGAAAAATTTAGAAAAAAATATTTGCTTCTGCTGATAGCGATATCAAAATTTTTATAGAAGAAACATGAATGTTGTAAAAATGTCTTTACGAATAATACTGCTGATGTCAACACATAAAATGATAGTACATTGTACATTGGCTTTGCTTATCCTCTTCAACAGACAAAGAATTGGAGATGTGCAGTATCTTAAATTGCAGGACTATAATTTTGAGAATAAGATTTTACTGATTTTCAAGACGCATTAAGTGAGTCCGAAAAGCAAGTGCTTGTAGCATACAAAAGGGTTGTAAACACCGGAAAATGTTCAAGACCAGTAGTTGTACTAGTCCCAAGTATTTTGCAAGAATATATCAACCTACTAATTACACACAAGGGGCACTTTATTAACAGCGATAATGAGTATCTTTTTGCATTACCAGGAAGTCTCGTATAAATTTGGGAAAGGGCGATGTGCCCCAGGCAATTGGTAGCAACAAACTAAGAAAGTATATCGCTGCGATTATGCAGATTTTAAATGTATCTAAAATTGAAGCAAGTTTTTAAATTTTATGGGACATACCGAAAAAACTCACGAAAAATTTTACAAAGAAAACAATCTTTTTAAAGCCGTCATTATTATTATTATTATTCAATAAATGTTGCTGCTAACCTTAGTTGCTAAAACATTTTTTCTCTATCTTTTATAGTTTCTGAGATCTGAATATCAATGCCATCAATTTCGAGCACGCTGTATATCAGGTTGCTGTTAACGGGCAAATTTGGGTTTTTGATTTTCTCTACACCATCGTATTTTCTTAAGTAATAAAACTAACTTTCTAGCTAGTATTTGATATCTTACAAACTGCAAAAGTATCTAAATTATTGTTAATGATTAGGAAACGAACAGTTCCCGTACAAGATAAAGGAAAATCTTTTTCCAAAATAGATATTAATATTAATGGTGAAGTATTAAGTAAATACCTAATTACCCACCGATCTAGCGTGCGGAAGCGTCACTTTACCACTTCAGTTTCGTTTCCCACGGATGCGAGCCACTTCGGACAATTCCCGGATTTTACCGCACGGGTTTGGGAGCAATCGGATGTTTTCGGAGATATTTCCCACGCTTTGAATTTGGACGTTTGTCAATTCTGACGATCATGTCAGTGAATGTATTCGTGTTGTTTTGCAAAAATGTAACCAAAAAGAAGAAGTATAGTATGCAACACGTTCGGTAAACTTTTTAACTCACTCGTTTATTAAAAACTCGCTCCGCTGCGTTCCGTTCGTGTCAAATAAACTCGTGAGTCAAATGACGTTTACCGCACTTGCATAATATACTATTATAACAGAAACTGCAGATGAACCCTGTTTTTCTAAAGCTGTGTTAACTGATGCAACAAATGGGAAAAGTAAGAATTTAAAATAAAACAAATAATTGAATCCCGTAAATTCCGTATATATAGAAATTTTTGTAAAATATTTTAATTGGCTACCTGAAACAATATTTCAACAAAAAAAAACTAACAAAAAGTAAACAAGACAGAGGTAACTGTCAACAAATAAAAAATTGTCCAACCCACAATTCTAGTGCAAAAATCGAATCAGGCAATCGCTACTGCTATCAAAGACTTTATTTGTTAGGCTGTAACAGGAAAGTTACTTAATGAAACTTTTTAGGGACTGGAACCCGGACCTAAGTAAATCGCTTGAAAATCAGGGCTGACGAACCGTGTGTACTAAATTTTTGGCCAGAATTAAGTGGAATGTGTGTTAGAAGTTAGAAGTGGGTACTCGATAGAAAAATGGTCTCTAACGATAAACTAGCGGTAAAATGAGTATAAACGGCATTCGCCTTCTATTTTGTTTTAGTTATTCGAGAGTGGCTTGCATTGATGAAAATGCGACGGCGGCGCCATACTAATTTTTCGGAAGTAGTTGATAAGGAAATTAACGAATCGTCGCAAAACGCTTAAACGGTTTTGGCTAAATGACGAACCCGGTTTATTTTTGAGATCGGCGCGACGTTGCCGCGTCGCGGCAATCATCCCGCGACGTTGAAATACCGGGTTAATTAACCCGATTAGATAGTTCGGACGTGGCGTTAATTGAGCGTGCTATCGCGTGTCTGATTGGCACCGCGAATTCGAGCGTAGATTGCGCGTAGAAGCAAAAAAGCCCCCACGTTTAAATATATATATTCCGATCGCTCCGGCGTTTTTATTTCTTTTTAATTAGGGCTGCCTTTCCAACGAGGCCGGTATAAAATGTCTGTAATTTGGGCCGTTGCCCGCAAACTTAATGGGATATAAATTGTATTAAAAATGCACACGAAGATGTCATTATGAACCCCGGCGTTTTGGTGTATCACTCGCGGTAGACCGACGAGAGTGAAGCAATTAAATAAATAACAATAAGAAAAACGTCAATCACACTCTTAGTGCGTGTTTCGAACGCGTTCTTTATATGTCAAACGATCGGATACATCTGTTACGTAGCGATACCAACAACAAACAAACTCTAGGTGTTCGGACGTATCCGTACCGGCGTCCCAAGCAGCCTCTCGACATCTATAAAAAGCGGAGAGGCACGCAAAAAAGAACCTCATTTCGAGCCGCAATGCTAACGTTACCGTTTAAGTAGGCCATATTAGAATGGTCCACGGAATCTGTCTCGCTCCATCTCTCCCTCTCGCTCTCTCTCTCTGAAACGGTAGCCTGAAAAAAATCTAATTTGTTTCCCATTAGTTTTGGACGGTTTTTCTGTGTTGCATCGGCATCGGGAAAAAAACGAACGCTTAGCTTTCGGTTTGGTTTGGCTTATTAACACAGTACGATTCGGATTTGATTGTTTCTACAGAGGACACACAACAAATGTACGCAACACAACGACTACCGGTTATATATGGAATACGGAGAACGAATAATCACAGCAATGACTGCATTTCTCATATAACGGCGCACGCGCACGGGCCCTGTTGGCTATACAAAATCATATAGCTATAATATAATATGGTGGACTAGAAACTGTAAAAATTTCACACACTAAGCAGCACTTTGCGCCATTTTCTATTTAAACGGCGACCTCCACACGTCTCCCACAACATTTAACAAGGTGTGGGAATATTTTGCGAAAATACTGGCGTAAAAATCCTAGGTCGAACCTGAAACCTGTCGGATTGACGAACTGTCAGCGGCCATCTGGATGGGTTAAAAATGGCCGCTCATGCGCATATTGAATAAGACACATTCAACGTTTTTTTATGCTGGATACTGTTATGTACATGTATGTGTCTAGTAGCTGTATGATAAAAATACAAATAAAGTCTTTTTTATTGCGTTTCATTCCAGTTGAGTCAAAATGGGAAATTTGCATAGATAGCAAAATTGCGGCTCGACGATATAGTAGATTCCCACTCGACAGAATCCTTAAGCCCGGTAGACACGAGATTTTTAGGAGATAATAAGTGCTATTAAAAATGCACGTATTTTTAACTGGCAATTTTTTCGAATAAAATGATTATTGATTATTTTGGTGCAATTTTGTTTTTAAAGGTTGTTTTTTAAATTGTTGATAAAATAAACGATAAATCCATAATGAAAATACTAGAATCGAGAGAAATGACGGCGTTTATTTAAAGTGCTGAAGGAAATCCAATATATACTCATAAATTTATGTACTCTCTAAAACCAATTTCTGTGCAATTCTGTTACATTTAGAGCTAATTTAGGTTATATATTCAAATACAGTTTTCTTTAACTAACTTTTCTAAACTAACCTTTCTTTCTAAACTAACCAAAACTGTCATCTGCAATTACTAGACTTGCATGAGCGTTCTGTCTGTAGGAAGTTCTACACTTGCTTTTGAATATTTTTTCCACTTAAATTTTCCCGCTCTATCTCATAAAATTATTTAGGCTTTTAAGAGCAATCTTCCCTGATTTTGATTTTAATTACATTTTTCATAGAGCTGGTAATTCCATCTGCAAAATTTCTTGCAATTTGATAGTAGACATATACATGTAAACATTGCATCTGGTCTACTTTCTAAAATTTTTAAAATGGCCCATTTTTATTTAACAACTACACAGGATCAGTTGGTGAAGTGAGAGGGTGATCTAATAAATAAAGTAAAAGGCAAGCAGTATTTTTATATTTTGTTTATTAAAATGCACTGTTTTTCACATATATTGCAACCCAATCAAAGGCACTGTGCCATTATGTGCCCGACGTTGTCAAAATCAATCTTCTCACTAATATTCTTCGTCTTGATATTCTCATCTTGGTTGGCGATGAAAATCAGGTTATCACCCTGTTGCTTCCAGCCATACTTTTTCACCCAAGCTTGCAGCGTTTTATCGTCAACGTCACCCAACAATTGCGCCAAATGATTCCTGTCTATGGTCTGGAATGTAATGCCGACTACATGACACACGAACTTGCGAATGGAATCAAAAAAACTGGTGATTTTCTGAGTCAGTGCCGGAATTGTATGAACCCGGGTCCAGAACAGTTGGAAATCGCACTGCTCAAGCAAATCGGCCAGGTATATTATTTGGTTTATTGGCTCTTGAGACAGTTGCTGTTCGGTCAGCAAACATTTGCACAAAATGAAGTCGGTGTGCGGAAGGTTTGTGAGTGCTTTCATGAGAATCTGTCCCGCAATATCGAAATTGAAAATTTGCGGGTCGAACTGATACAACTTTAACACTGCCAGATTAGCTTCCAGGTCATAGGTGTTTTCTCGCGATTGAATTTCCACATAACGTTCCAAAGTGTAAAGGTTGTCGGGATTATACCTACAAGAGATAATTATCTTAAATTATTGACGTAATTTTTATAAATCCGTTACCGCTCGATCCCTTTTAGCATATTGCCCACTGTTTGTTTCATTGTTTCAGCCATGTCTTACGTTTTTGCAGACTTAACGCTACACAATAAGCTAACCAAAAAATTCATAGAACCTAACCTCGACATGGTAATGGCACAGCAACAAAAAGAAGAAGTTCTGTCTGTCTTGTGCGTTATACGTCAAAAAGTTTCCGCTGTATAATTTGGATAAATATATTATACGAAAAATATATCCAAAGTCATCCAAAAGATCGTGGAACGTTTTGAAAATCAAATTATGGCGGGTTTTCCGGGAAGCATCGCTTTTGACGAATATGGCAGACCTTTTATTATAATCAAAGACCAAGACAAACAAAAACGATTGACCGGAATCGATGCACTGAAAGTAAGGTTATAAGTTTGTTGTCCAAACAATTTTTGATCATCTGCTTCAAAAATTTTTAATATCACGGAATTTTGGGCTATGGCTTATCACTTCTCTATTTTTTTTTTAACAGTGGAGCTTAAATTATGCGAATCTACAAAGTTTTTAATTTTCAGTCTCATATTTTGGCCGCCAGACAAATTGCTAACACTATTAGGACATCCTTGGGCCCTAAGGGTTTGGATAAAATGATGGTTTCGCCGGATGGTAACTGACTGTATGGGCATAAGTACTGAATTCTCAACATTTGTGTTTTTAGGTGAAGTAACCGTGACCAATGATGGGGCGACAATCTTAAAAATGATGGACATTGAACATGAAATTGGCAAACTTTTGGTAGAACTGTCTCAGTCGCAAGATGATGAAATTGGTGATGGCACTACCGGGGTTGTAGTACTTGCTGGCGCCTTGCTGGAGCAGGCAGCCACATTAGTAGACAGGGGCATTCATCCTATAAGGATAGCAGATGGTTTCGAAATGGCATGCGACACTGCAGTAAAGCACTTGGAAAAGATCGCTGAGATGTTCCCAGTGTCAGACAAAAACCCTGAGCCACTGGTAAAAGTGGCCATGACCACCCTCGGGTCGAAAATTATCAACAAGTGCCATCGGCAAATGGCTGAAATTGCAGTAAATGCAGTATTGGCAGTCGCCGACTTGCCCCACAAAGACGTCAACTTTGAGTTGATTAAAGTTGAAGGGAAGGTTGGAGGAAAGCTGGAGGACACTGTGTTAGTAAAAGGAGTGGTTATCGACAAGACGGTATCGCACTCACAGATGCCGAAAGTTCTAAAAGATGTCAAACTGGCTATTCTGACTTGTCCCTTTGAACCCCCAAAACCTAAAACCACTCACAAGTTAGACGTAAAAGATGTTGCCGGTTACAAGGAATTAAGGCAGTACGAGCAGGACAAATTCCGAGAAATGGTTAGCTATTTTATATATCAATTGTACGAATTGTTATGTTAGGTTTTGATTGTTCCAGGTTAGCCTCGTGAAAAACGCAGGCGCTACCCTGGCTATATGCCAGTGGGGTTTTGACGATGAAGCCAACCACCTATTGCTGCAGCAGGAGCTGCCGGCTGTTAGGTGGGTTGGGGGGCCCGAAATCGAGCTCATAGCGATAGCGACCGGAGGTCGCATAGTGCCGCGGTTTGAAGAGCTCAGTCCTGAAAAACTGGGTCACGCTGGACTGGTGAGGGAGCTGACGTTTGGCACAACAAGCGATCGAATGCTGGTGATCGAAGATTGCTCCAACTCGAGGGCGGTGACGATCTTAGTGCGCGGCGGTAACAAAATGTTGGTGGAGGAAGCGAAACGGAGCCTGCACGATGCTTTGTGTGTTGTGACGAGCTTGGTACAGGTTTGGAACAATTCTATAAGGTCTTGTGGTGGTGGTTAAAAAAAATTGTATCTGGTAGGAACCCAGGGTCGTTTACGGGGGTGGCGCAGCTGAAGTGGCGTGCAGCCTGGCGGTGGCATCGCAGGCCGATCAACTTGCATCACTTGAGCAGTACGCGTACCGGGCGTTCGCTGAAGCTTTGGAGAGCATTCCGCTAGCGCTGGCGGAAAATAGCGGTCTATCGGCCATCCACGCGCTCGGTGAAGTCAAAGTAATTCAACAAATATCCGTAACTAACAAATAACCCATGAACTTAAATGCCGCAGCAGAGGTGGCCAATATAAATGTAATTTAAAAAAAAAATCTAGGGCCTAACCAAAAAATTATGGCTAGTGTTGGCCAATAGAAATAAAGAAGTAGCAGAACCTAAAAATTATTATTCCAGGCGAAACAGTCGTCCAGTGGTGATCCGGCTCTTGGAATCGATTGCATGTTCACTGGTAACATAAATATGCGCGAGCAGCACGTAATCGAATCTCTTCGCTCGAAGCGGCAGCAGTTTTTGCTGGCCACGCAGCTCGTGAAGATGATATTGAAGATCGACGACGTCCGCCAACCAAACGACTCCCAAGGGTTTTAAATACTATTTATTCCGCCGTAACATATTTTGTTTTTAATAATATTTCTCATCCGCGCAGATTTCTTACATTCTTATGCATAAAGCATTAAAACCATCTAACCTTTAAACCTTTGTTTTATTGTTAGCAGATGCTTTCAAACTTACAGAGGCTCTGTCGGCGGCCATACTGATTTTAAATTTTTTATTTTATCTAATCAAAATCACAACAATATTGGCACCCAAAAAATAAACACATGTTTCGACAAGAGGTCTACAAATGAATACAATACAGAAAGAAGCAATACATAATAAGACAAAATATAAAATGTTCTTCACTTATACATTCCATTACAAATCGTTACTCATTCTCGCTGTTGTTCTGAAAAAACTTCTTTCTTGCGTTACTCCTTAATATTTTTTTTTACTTAGTTTTAGGGTAAATTTGCTTTTGTTGGTAATAAGCGTAATAAACACTTGTAAGTGATTAGATATTTTAAGGGCACTACATAGCTGCTACTTATGATACTAGTCAACCTAGGATGTGGAACTCTCAAGTTATTTTTTTTATTTCCTAAAAATAGCTTTCCAACAAAGTTAGAAATTATTCTTCTGTAAAACTGTTTACCGGGTTGGAATGTTTCACGGTAAAGCAGTTATTTTTTAAAACAATGGTTTTAAATATTTTAGAAAAAAACGAACTACAAAATATAACTCATTCTTACAATACAAGAAATAGAGAAAAGAGATAAAAAGTGCAAAAAATAAATAGGCTACAGATCTACAGCCTAAAAGCAATAAATAACTTATGAAAATATAAATGCATAAAGAGCAAAAAGTAAACGAAATATGAGAAAAAATGTACATGTACAAGAAGAAATAACAAAAAAAGGGGAAAATGTCGAAGAAAACAAGACTAAGAATTACTTGTAAGATTTGCTAGTTTTCAATATGAAATTTCAAGCAATATTTATGTTTAAAACTTTTATATTATGTAGGTTAGACTTCGTATTTTATATAAATTATCTAGCATTTCCTTTAGAACATTTATTAACGTCAATTTCTGCAATATATGGCACAACATAAGGGTTTTAGGGAGAATTTCCATTTGTTTATTTTGGGGATAGACAAAATGTGATGAATTATTTTTATTTTAAATTTATCCTTGTCTACAGAATAGCATATTATTGTTATATTATTATTACTAGGTGATCTAGCAATATAAGTGTGGACTTTAGGACAAAGCTACAAAGTTCAGTAAATGTTTTCTTACATAAGAGACACACTGCACACAGCAAAACATTTGTAGAACGAAATTTTAAATCTTGTGCATGGGCAGGTTTCTTCCATCGTGACGAAGAACGATTCTTCTTTTGATCTGATGGCCGATTGTGAAGCCAATGAAACTCTTAGGTCAGAATAATTACTTTGATGAGGAAATTAGGACCATTAGAGATTAAGAAGAAAACGCGTAATGGTAGAATGTTTCTGGCAAAATTAAATTCATTTTTAAAAACACTTTTTTTGCGAAGTTTCGGCAATGACATAGGTTTTCAGAAAGATTCGCAGACCACCACCTCCAATAAAAAACAAAACAACAAAATTTTGAGTCGCCAAAACAACATTAGCCCTAACCCAACTTTTGCACATGGCATTTGTTAACACACGCATTTTGTATTTCGTCCCTAATATTACGTGCTAATTTGTATTTTGCTCCAGCTCGAAATGGTACGCAAAAAAATTGATAATAGAATTAGAGTTCTCATTGAAAATGGGGTAAAGTTGGGTCATAGAACCTTATTCATAATTGTTGGTGATAAAGGTAGAGATCAGGTAGATATTCAAGGTAGTCATACGATCTTAAGAATTCTAATTAAATTTATTTTAAGGTAGTCATTCTACACCACATGCTTGCCAAAGCGGAGGTGAAAGCAAGACCTACGGTATTGTGGTGTTATAAGAAGGAGCTAGATTTTAGTAGCCACCGCAAGAAACGCATGAAGCAGCTGCAACACAAAATCAAAGTGGGCAAATTGAGCGTCAATGAGGATGACCCATTCGAATTGTTCTTATCTTCAACCAAAATCCGTTACTGTTATTACTCAGAAACACACAAAATTTTGGGCAACACGTATGGGATGTGCGTTCTGCAGGATTTTGAAGCACTTACTCCTAACTTGCTTGCGAGGACGGTGGAAACCGTTGAGGGCGGAGGTATAATTATATTGTTGTTAAAGTAAGTTTATCCTTTGGAAATATGGACAATTGCATCATCTGGCTTGTTTTTGCAGATCTGTAACATCACTTAAACAATTGTATACTATGTCGATGGACGTGCATCAGAGATTCAGGACGGAAGCGCATCAAAATGTGGTGTGCCGATTCAATGAAAGATTTTTGTTGTCACTTGCGTCCTGCAAACGGTGTCTGGTTTTAGATGATCAGTTGGCGGTTCTCCCTATTTCCTCCCATAATTTGCATGTAACACCAGTAGAACCGTCCCAAAAGGCAACGACTAATGAGTCTGAGTTGACAGAACTTAAGGAACAGCTAAGAGACACCCAGCCAGTCGGCAGCTTGATAAATTGCTGTAAAACTTTGGACCAAGCTAGCGCCTTGCTGAAATTTGTAGAGGCCATTTCCGAAAAAACTTTGAGGTAGATACTTTTTTCTTAAATTGCCGGAATTTGTTTGTGGTGCGTAATTAGAGTGAAAACTGATGTAACTAAACATTTTCCACGCAACATAACCTAAAAAACGTCAGTCAGGCATTGCTGTGATTCTGTGACAAGCTTGCGCTTTTGCACAAAGTTATTTGTCATTTTTTATATTTGTTGCTATAGATCAACAGTTTCATTGACAGCCTCCAGAGGGCGCGGTAAATCGGCGGCGCTGGGTTTAGCTGTCGCTGCGGCCGTTTCATTCGGCTATTCCAACATTTTTGTGACCAGCCCGAGTCCTGAAAATTTAAACACATTCTTCGAATTTGTTTTCAAAGGTTTCGACGCTTTGGAATACCAGGAGCACCTCGATTATGGTTTGGTGCAGAGCACCAACCCAGAATTCAATAAATCCATTGTCAGAGTGAACATATTCAGAGATCATAGGCAGACAATTCAGGTAAAAATGACCCAAAATCGGAATCTCAAACAAAAAAATAAAACTGTGGTTAGAGGTTGAAAAAAACAAGTTAATTAATTAATTAATTGTGGCGTAGTTTGGTTAAAATGGGATTTAATTTAATTTATTTAACTTGATAATTATTCATTTTTGTATTTTCAAACGTCAACTTTTGACTGCGCAGTATATTCATCCGACGGACGCGCATAGGCTCGCGCAGGCCGAACTTTTGGTGATAGACGAGGCAGCAGCCATACCCCTGCCTTACGTCAAGAAGATGCTGGGGCCTTACCTGGTATTTTTGGCGTCGACTATAAACGGTTATGAGGGCACGGGAAGGTCGTTGTCCTTGAAATTGCTTCAACAGCTGAGGGTGCAGGCGGTGCCCGCGGGGACGAACGCTAATACTGTCGATAAGAAAAGTACCGCAGCCGCCATCGGAAGGACCTTGCACGAGGTAAAACAAATTTTGAACCAGCCTTTAATAATTATATCGAATATATTGCACAAGATAGTCTTTAAATATATTTGTCACACGAAGTTTTGTTCCTTGAAAACTCCGCCATTTATCTAGGACTAGTCTGTACAATAGTGAACTATATAAAGTACATGTTTTTTTGTGATTTTTTTTCTGAGTTCACAATTGTCTTTTTTTACATTAATTAACTTAACTTATATTACTTATTTATTCAAATTGAGTTGTTTTGCACGTTCGAAATTTCTAAAAAAGTTGGGAGCGTTCATCCTTTACTCCCCTTTCGAAAGGTCACTTTGGACGAGTCGATCCGTTACAAGCCGGGTGACGAGGTCGAGGCGTGGCTAACGAAACTGCTCTGCCTCGATTCCACGTCGGTTGCACCCATTTTGTCGGGTTGTCCGCCCCCCGACGGCTGCGACCTCTACTACATTAACCGGGACACGCTATTCTGCTACCACAAGGCGTCCGAGGAGTTTTTACAGCGTCTTGTCGCCCTCTACGTCGCGTCGCACTACAAGGTGAGCGGCAGATGCGCTTTCGGTTGTCGCTCACCATGAAGATGTACGTTTTTAGAACAGCCCGAACGATCTGCAAATGATGTCGGACGCGCCCGCCCATCACCTATTTTGCCTCCTCGGGCCAGTCGATCCCAATAGGAAAACCCTACCGGAAGTACTCGTCTTTATTCAGGTCTGCCTCGAGGGCGAGATCTCCAAGGGCAGCATCGAGGAAGGCTTCGCGAGGGGCAAAAGAGCCGCGGGAGATCTGATACCGTGGACTATAGGACAGCAATACCAAGATGTCGACTTTCCGAAACTGGCTGGCGCTAGGATCGTGCGAATCGCTACCCATCCCGATTACCAAGGCGTAACTTCCAGCCGCCCCTCCCACGAGGCGTTGGGGGTTATTAGGATCGTTTTTTTTCAGATGGGTTACGGCGCGAGGGCCCTGACCTTATTGAAGCAGTACTACGAACTGAAAATACCGAGCCTCGACGAAGGGGCGGGGCATAATGTAAGGAACGAGGTGGAGCTTGTCGACGACGACGCGGTCGGTCTTCTGGAGGAGTGTATCGAGCCGAGGAAGTCCTTGCCGCCGCTCTTGCTCAAACTTAGCGAGAGACCGCCCGAGCGGTTGGATTATATGGGAGTGTCGTTCGGACTGACTGAACGGCTGCTCAAATTTTGGAAAAAGTGAGTCGTTTTCTAATTTTCTCAACTCTACCCTTGCAGACTTTAACTAATAATAATATCATTTTTGTTTTCTTTCGTGTTTGTCCAAGCGTTTAGTAGTAGTTTCTGTTACTCCAGGGTTTTTGCCTATGACGACAGTGATCATCGGGATCATTCGGGTTATTGAGGCTTTAACATATAGTGTAGCGACAGCGGGAGTCTGAACGGTGGTTGGACTGAACGATTTCTAGCTGAATGGAGTTGTGGTGTTTTTTCAGTTGCCTTGCAGATGGCCTTAACGTCGTTCAGTCTAACTATTTATATATATTGTATTTTTGTATCCAGTCGAAGAGATAACTTTTAAAACACTTCGACTGTGTTCGTCCAATGAAACAAATTGAACTTGAATCATTGTGATGAGGAGATGTTTGGAAGAAGCAGGAAATGCTTTTGTTTTCTCAGGGCAGGATTCGTGCCCATTTACCTTCGGCAAACTACCAACGACTTGACGGGCGAACATTCGTGCATAATGATTCAAGCGCTTAACGAAGGGGAGGTGGAGCAGCAACAATCTTCTAATGAAGTTCGCTGGCTGACTGCCTACTGGTCGGATTTCAGACGCCGATTTATCAATCTCCTCGCTTATCAGTTCGCCAAATTTCCGCCAAGTTTGGGGCTGAGCATACTCACCAACAGGGCCGTCAACCTACCTTCTAGAGGTAACTAGTAGTATTTTGGTGAGCAACTTTTTCAGTTCTTGGAAACAGCAAAAAAAAATCCACTCAATCCCTGTTATCAAGTAGGGGTTTAGTCCTCTTCCAAACAAATATGCTGTCATTAACTCCCACAATATGCATTCTGAGACAACATATTTTCACTCACCTCATCATGACGCACTTAAACTCACGTTTAGATTTGACCAAGGAGGAACTCGATATTCACTTGACCAAGTACGACGTCAAAAGGTTAGAAATGTACAGCAAAAACTTGGTGGACTACCACCTGATCGTCGACCTGCTGCCAACCATATCGCGGTTATACTTCTTAAACGCGATGGGCGATGTTCAAATGTCCGCCGTTCAATCGGTAAGCGCGCGCCGTCTATCAGCGCGTGTCCGAAACTGAGTTGTTTTCGAACGCCGCAGGCGATCCTGCTGGGTCTCGGGCTGCAACACAAGACGGCCGACGAGCTGGCGTTGGAGCTGGACCTACCGTCATCCCAGCTTCTCGGCCTTTTCAACAGGATAATGCGCAGGTGCGAACGATACCTGAATGGAGTAGTTGAGTACACTGTGGAGAAGTCGTTGGTTGTGCAGAGAGAGGTGGATTTGACGCCTGTCGCACAGAGCATGAATGATGAGCTCGAGGAGGCAGCCAAGGAGCTGGAGAAGAGGCAGAAAAAGGTGTGTCAAAATAGTCGTTTCGCGCGCAGTATAAATATTTTGTCTTTTGGTGGCCAGGAACTCGAGCAATTGAAGAAGGCAAACCTCGAGCAGTACGTCATCAAGGGCGCGGCAGAAGATTGGAGCCGGGCACTGAGCGGAAAGGGAAAGAAGAACCTGATATCGGTCAAAACGTGAGTTTTTTTTTGTGTACAACAGGGTGTGTTTCGCAAGCACGCTGGGAAATTTGGGCACTTTTTACCCAAGAACTACTCAAAGAATCACATAATTGCAAAACACCCTGGATAGGAAAAAGTTACTCTGGCAAGGATGTGATATAACGCGCTCGTTGCAGGGGCGAGGCGCGAGCCAAGGCGGGCGATGCGGGCGCCGCGACGGAGGACCTCGACGCTGCGACGGTTCCGAAAGCGAAAAAAACGAAGAATAAGCGGAAAAGGTCCCTTTAATTTTCCGTGTTCAATAAAACGTTTGTGTTATACAAAGTGTTGTTTATTCTCGGCTACAAAAATAATTAATGGTTAAGTACATGACCATCTAGATAACTACAGTTTGTAACTATATGTAAAAGTGCCGCCTTCAGCAGCAAAGTCGATATTTGGGGGCACGAAATAATGTTATACCGACGTCGAAAACGCATTTTATTACCCGCCTTGACTTATCATTATTTCATTTTAAATTACGCCGTGCCTCCCATTGGTGAGTGCCGTTGCCTTACAATTAAATAGTGGGACTATGTGGGACTATATCACAGGAGTATTTATTTACTTAAAACAGTGATGGTGGTGAAGGAAGGGGGTGGAGAACGACGTCAGCGTGATTGTAAAACATCAAAATTGGAAAATTAAAATTATAAATATGCCTAATATAAATATAATGGTATTGTTATTCTCTAACAAAAATTGTTCTAACTCGTTATGTGTAGAAGATAAATAATTTAGAAATACAATTAAAAATATAAAGCGATTCACGTTTATTATGCTATCTATTGTCATAATTTTACAAATATTTCACAGAATTTTTTTAATAAATCTGTTTTACGTGAATCGCCGTATGTACAACTCCACGTTGATGAAGTTGTTCAATGTCCTCATTTAAAAACTTGACTTTAAAAATAGTGGTTTTGCCAAGCTTGGTGGGTTTATAGATAGGTTCGTTTCGAACATATTAGATAAAATAGACGTTCTCACTTATGTAACTTATTTTTGGTGGGTTTTTGGTCTGCAATTTAAAGTAATAATGAGCCACAAATATCCCCGAAACCATGAGTTATGAGTCAGCTGTGATATCATAACACAGGTCAATGAAGAAAATATCTTCGAAATCGATATATTTGTACGCCCACCAGGTTTGGGCAAGCCTGCAGAAGTCGTTTGAAACGGGAACAATATTCGAACAAAAATCCAGTCATCAAAAAGTACGCTTAAATAAATGTTTACTTGGAAGTACTTAGTCCCTTACGTAACGACAGGAGGTGGAGGTAATAACTAAAATACATCATTAGCGACCGATTCGGTGAGATTTATCTGTCGATCGAGGTAACTCCCGAAGCACTTTCTGGCTGATGTCACATACCCGATTCGGCTATGCCCTCGTCATCTACAAAGAAGTTAAATTTGTTAGCCGCATTGGCCGAACGTTCACTTTAACTGCACCCTTTCAGAAATTATTCCAAGTGTAACTTTACTCGCAACTGCACTACCATTCACGCCATTAAAGTTTATTGAAGTTCTGGTTATTTTCCAAAAATTTTGGGGTTAAAATTTTTCTTAACTCGTCGCATTTCAAAAAACCGGTTGCAAGATCCAAAATCTATGTGCACTATAATCATTACATTCACTATAAGCCGTAATGCCTACCATATCCTCTGTATGGCTCAAGAAACATGGAAATTATCACAAAAACAAATTAGTAGTCGAAAGAAGCATGCGAAATAATAAATGAGAGTTACCAGAAAGGCAAAAATGCAAGCTAAATACGCCACGCCACCATTGTAAATACCAAAGAGGGTCCCTGCCCGAGGGCTACCTCTCCTTTTCTCCCTGCGCGAAGCCGCCGTCACTGTGCGCATCAACACCTCCCTTGCCTGAACCACAGAATAGCAGCTTTTTACACCGACTAAATACCCGCGTTACCATGTCTGTAGCAAGTTATTACAAGTCATGTACAGGGTGCGTAGGTATAATTTGGAATCCCATATCTACAGTGTCTCTATTATATCAAAAAATTATTGAGGCCCTTTGCGACTTTAAATAAATGAAGGTTGGGTTCGAAACCGAACTTTACAACTGTGATATAATGCTGTAGACAAGGGGTCCAATTTATAACCAGACACTCGTACGCGCAGGGGCGTTCCCGCTTGCATTCCTAGGAAATTACGATAGGCGGCGCCTGAAAAATGGTCTCACGCGAAAACGGGAACGCCCAGAAAAACCACATTACCATTCAGTGCACCCTACAACATTTTTTTTAACGCGGATTTCAGCACATTTTTATATTCTATTGATGCTAGTTTCCTTTTTTCCTTTTATTTACCATTAAATTTTGTTTCGCGGGGAAGGAAAGAACATCCCTTGGGTCCAAAAATCAAAGAAAGGAATAAACGGTAAAAGAATTAAAAAAAAATACCCTCGAATCCTTGATTCTCGTGGATCTCCCTCGGCGGGCCGGTCAACTCTTTCCCCTCTAGCACCGCCAGCAAACACTGATGGATGCAAATGTACTGCTGCTCGGTCTGCACCATCCACACGCGCTCCTTCCTCATTGCGTAGACAATGCCGAAAATGTCGACGTAGTCGGACGTCTGGATCTGTTGCAGAATGCGATCCAGACAGATGAGGGTGCCCGACCTACCTACTCCGGCACTGAAAACAAAAAACGATTATAGAATTCCGAGAGTCCCATGTTTGGGGTCACGGCGTACCTACAATGGACGACTATGGGTCTCTGGTCGGGCGGTACCCGTTCTCGGAACGCCCTCACGAACCTGACCAGTGTGTGGGGCGGATTGGGGACCCCGAAATCCGGCCACGTGCTGAAATGGAAGTGGCGCACGACCCTCTGTTGTTCGCCGCGGCACACCATGAACTCGGACACGTTCCAATCGGGATACCTTGTTTCGTTCAGTATCTGTACGGATATGTCCCCGTAGTACACCGGCATCGTGTCGTACGGCCAGTAATGATCGCACTTTTCGCGGCCTTTTTCCACGCACCTGGTGAGCATGATTATCGCACGGGAGCTCGACTCCCAGACCATACGCCAGAAGTCGTCACGGGTCGAATGCAACGGACCCTGGGTCACCAGGAACTCCCTGGGGGAGTTATAGCCCTGAGAGACGAGAAGCATTATAAAGAAGTAATAAAGTTAACGAAAAGTTTAACAATCAAACTCAAAGGTCTTTTGGTGTACTCGTCGAAATAAAACATCAAGTGCATATTACAGCGCACTTACGGGCACATAGTTGGCGTTAATGTAGTCGGATCCTTCCTCATCGTCGACTGGCTGCAACTTGAAGCGCGAATGATCGTACGGGAGAATGTTGGTGAACCGGTTCTTAGGGCGGTTGCATGGCAGGTCGGCCGCCGTACAGGGCTGATCTCTACCCACGTGTTTGAGCTCCTCGAACTCCTCGCTAAATCTGGATAGTCGAAATTATATTTCAGTTTATCACTTTTCTAAATTATTTAAAGGTTAAGTTAGAAATTTTGGGATGCCTTATCTCCTTTACGAAGTTTCTACGGAGGTCACTAATTTTGTAGTTTTCTTTCTTGTAAATTTTACGACATTGCCGGGTTTTCCAATCCGCAAAGTGTTAAATTAAAAAAAACGAAGGAAAACCTTGTTTTGGTGAGTGGATTTTTCACGCACCTGAAATCCGAATCGGCCGACATCAACCTGTAGTGATTCGCGAAGTTGTCGATTCGCACCGGCCGGCTAGTCTCGATGACCGAGTCGGGCAGCGACATGTTGTCGTTGGTCCGCGACTCCACCATCCCTTTCCGCCCCGCGGATCGCCTACGCCGTATAAATATTATCGTCACGAACAATAGGCTCACCAAAATGATCGGAATCACCACGCCGAGTATCACGGGCGTATTATCCTGATCTAACAAAAAGATTAACCGTCAATATTATCATATCAAATCGCAATACGCGCGCGCAGGACTATGTCCGCTAACCGGGGATTCATAAACTAGTCACAAGGGGCTCGGAATCCTCGCGACTATACTACTAACTAAAATTTTAAACAATTTCTCAAATTTGTTGTGTATCAAATTCACGATTCTATAATAATATGTCGACCAGCACGTTACACAGACTGAAAATATGAAGAGTAGATCCCTAAAATTCTGGTCAGACCACGTAGAATGTATTAGTCTAGGAGCATAAGATTTAATGTTAAGTAGCAAAAAATGCTATGCTATAAAAACCATAAAAAATGGAAAAGCTGCAGGGCTGGATGAGTTACGCACTGAAATTATTAAGTTGATAAGAGAGGAAAACATACATAATCTAACAGATTTATATAACATCATATACAAAACAGGTATTATACCCAGAGAATGGTTAATATCAATGTTTCAAATATTTCTGAAGCTCATACATCACAGCATAGACAAAAAATTAAAACAAGATATCAGCGCCACTCAATTCGGCTTTCGCGATAGCTTAGGAACAAAAGAAGCACTCTTTGCCCTGAACTTTATTGCCCAACGATGCATGGATATTAATGAAGAATTCTATGTGTGCTTCATTGACTAAAACAAAGCAAGAAACAGAAATACGCAGAGGTGTGAGACAGGGGTGTATGCTATCCCGGATGCTGGTTAATCTTTACTCAGACGCTAAGAATTCAAACGATTTACAGATACTGCTACATAAAGTGAATATGTGGAGTGAGAAGTTCGGATTGCCCTGAAATGTAAAGAATTCATGATAATATTCAAAACAGCACAAGACAACCACCAAATTTTTATAAACAATCAATATACAGAAAAAGTTGACAGTAATAATGACTGTTTTGTAGAAATCAAAACCAGAATAGGACTGTTTTCCTGTAGTGACCTCATCTTGGATTTACAAATGAGAATGGTGAGATGCTATTCTCTTTGCTGTATTATGTTGCAGAAGCATGGACTCTGAAGAAATTTGACATAAGAAAAATAATGATATTCGAGATGTTCATATATCGCAGAATGCCAAGGGTAAAAGACAGTCATGAGATGAATAAGAAAAGAGAAATAAGTAATTATTCCGTAAAAAAAAAAACTCAAACAAGTCACGAGGGGAGAGAAATACCATCTACTACAATTGATACTGAGTAAGATCACGTCAAGTGGACCCCCCCATTTACCACTTGATCATAAACATTTTGAGTACTTATGATGTAAAATTGATACCTCAAACGATTTTTTAAAATTTTGATTTAAACATTTTTTTCATAATGAAAATTTTAAGCACTTTTAATTAAGAAACGCATTAAAAATCAACCGTAAGAGATAAATTAATGAAATTTTCAACATCCATGGTGAAATGTTTATACTTTAAGAATATATTAACAACTTAAAATTATTTGTTTATTTTCGTATTGTTAACTAACTTTTAAGTTAACAAATGAAAATTTAACTGATTTCTTGGCAAAAAAAATCATGTCTTTTTTATCGGTCATATGCTTTATCCATTTAAGTTTAGGATTCCGGAAGAAAATTTTACTTCTCGTCATTAGTTTAAACAAAATGAATTTATTTATCGGAGCGCGCCGGGCGCCGAGCGCCGTGGAAGCGCCGCCCTGCCGGGCGTCTCGAACTGCATTGAAGGTTGATAATTTAAAACCATAATACAAAATATTATTATAAAACACATTCTATTATTATTTATGTTATTTTATTATAATTATTATTAATAATTTTTTTTTTAATGTTATAAAGCATACTATTAACTTTTTTTTATTATTTTTACCAAACAGCGTAAATGTAGAAAAAATTATACAACTTTAAAGTTTTAAAACTGTTATGGTCTATAGTTATTTTTTCTAGGTAATTTAGTAAATTATTATCTTTAAATTTACTACACTTCATCTTTAGTTAACAAAAGAAAAACGGCTCCGTTACGATTTTCATTTGTTAGTAGTAAATAACAAAATCGTTTTAGGTCATTCCTGTCTATTCGTGACATAAGTTTATAAGACAAGCATGAAATAATTATTAAAAATAAAAGCTGTTGTTGTGTTGTGTTTTTTTAGTTAATATTTTTGTAATACAATTTTTAATTGTAATAATAATATTTTCCGTAATTTAAAATGAGCCGAGTGAATTATGAAATTATGTAATTAAAGAATTAGTTTTAATTATTATTTAAATATTTAGTTAATCATAAAAATGATTTTGGTGTTGATGCAGATTGGAATTTTTTCGCTACATCTCATGGCAAAGGAGCGTGTGATGGCTTAGCAGGGACTGTAAAAAGACAAGCTTATCGTGCTAGTCTCCAACGTGATAAAAACAACCACATAACAACCCCACTTTCCTTTTTTCAGTGGGCCCAAAGTTCTTTAAAAAAAAATACCAACCACGACTCCAACGCTTAACTACAATAAAAAATACTCGCCAATTTCATTATTACAAACCATTGGAAAATTTTTCACTAGAATGCAGGCTCGTTTCAGAAGATGAAAAAGAATTTAATTAAAAAAAAAAGTTTAAAAAAATAAAATAAAAATAACTGACGACAAATTTACAATTTAATTATTAAAGCTTGTTTGTTCTATTCAGTATGTTATGAATGTTAATATTGTTAAAAAAAATAAAATTTTATTAATAATAATTATAATAAAATGACATAAACAATTAAAAAAATTGTTTTATAATAATATTTTGTATTATTATTTTAAATTATCACTGATAAAACCTTGAATGCAGTTCGAGACGCTCGGCAGCGCGGCGCTTCTACAGCGCTCGGCGCCAGGCGCGCTGTCATAAATAAATTCATTTTGTTTAAACTAATAACGAGCAGTGAAATTTTCTTCCGAAATCTTAAACTTCAATGTGTAAAGCATGTGACCGATAAAAAAAAACATGATATTTTTTACCAAGAATTCAGTTAAATGTTCATTTGTTAACTTAAAAGTTAGTTAATAATATGAAAATAAACAAATAATTTTAAGTCGTTAATATATTCTTAAAGTATAGACATTTGACCATGGATGCTGAACATTTCATAAACTTTTCTCTTACGGTTGATCATAATCCATTTTTTGATTAAAAGTGCTTAAAATTTTCATTACAAAAAAAAATGTTTTTAAAATCAAAATTTTAAAAAATCGTCTGAGGGATCAATTTTCCATCAAAATACTACTTATAAAAAATATATATAGATTAAATTTTTATGATCAAGTGGTAAATGGGGGGCCCACTTGACGTGATATTACTCTACTGCAACGGAAACTTCATGGAAAACGGAGAGAAGGAAGACGTCACTCATGGATGAGAAATCTACGTGACTGGTTCGGATGCAATACAAATCAGCTATTTCGGTCGGCGGTGTCGCAAATACGCATAGCCTTGATGACTGCCAATCTTCATAACGAAAATGGCAATTGAAGGAGAAGAAGCAAAAAATAATTTTTTCTTTTTTTTTTTTTAATAAATTACCCATTTCATTGCTCATTGTTCATCTAACTCGTTTTCCTAATTTCTTCAAGAACTGTTAGGAAAAGAGAAAATGTGGTATAAACAAAAGCCTATAAAATCCTGATCAAAACAGACCAAAATTTTGCGGGAAAAGTTAACCCATTCGGCGCCCCGCCGTGAGCAAAAACATTGCAGAATTTACCTTCTAGTCTCATCGGTCCTGGCGGCAGCGTTGTAAAATTAAAGAAAATTAACGGCGACCTGCACGACATTCAACGATAATTACTTACCTGTTTGGATGGGAAAACTGTAGCTTGTGTCAGTGAACTTATCCGGGGCCGTGAACGCTCTAATTTTCACTCTATATGTCGATCCCGACTTGAGCGGGCCGTTGCAGTACCCCACTTGCCTGGCGCAGAAAAAAAGCAAATAAAATAATTTACGAAAAGAGTGGGGATGTAAACCTTATATCGCACGTTTCGGCCCCCACCGTGAAATCTTCAACGGATGAATTGAAGAACGGAAAATAGGGTTCCATCACTTGGTAGGGAGGCCACACCGAATAAGCTTGCACGTCCCTCCAGCTGGGCATTTCCAAGCCGGAGGCGTTCTTGGAGTCGTCTTCGGCCACTATAACTGCGTAGGAGATGATCTGAAATGTTAACAATGGAGATGTAGTACTTTTCTGTCCGGAGGCCGTAGAAGTAACGACAAGAAACTACTAGCGTGTTTGCAAAAACAATCTTTCGCTTACCGGCCCGTTCGCTTCGCTGAAATAATTCTTTCTGAACCGGATCTGTATCGTGGTCGAGCTTTTGCACACCTCGGTCGGCACGACCTGCATGCTCGGCTTTGGCGGTGCCAGAATAGGCATCCGTTGCTTCCACACGGTCTCCGGCCCGAAACCTACTTTCGTCTCCGCCTGAATCTTGAATATGTACGTGCGGCCAGGTATAAGCTGCCTGATGACTCCCCTAAATTCGTGGGGTTGGAAGTCGCGGAACAGCAGGTGAGGCGAACCCTAAAACGCATTTAAATTATTACCAAAGCAGCTAAAAGAAGATTGTGGAAGATACTTTCCGAATTTCAAGACGGTCACCAGTAAAGTGAAAAAGATATCAAAAAAATATAACTATTTTTAAAGAAGTTGTGTATTTGATTGATTTGATTGACTTTCTGACGTATCTATTAAGATAATTAAATAAGCACCTAAACGACTCTTAGCAAACTCTGAACAAACTTGGACAAATTGCTTATAAAAGGCAAAACGTAAGTTTTTTGGTTCATAAAAGTGTAATAATATAACCTACCTAGCGGTATCTATTGTTATTTCTTTATGTCTTTTTTCAAATTCCATGATAAAATTATAATTTTGAAATCAAAAATTATTACTGGTTCAAAATATGAAAGAAAAAAACAATTTGTGACTAAAATATGCAGCTGTATGTATGTAGAATATGAATAGCAAAATTTATTTTTCAACAAATAAATAATATTAAATATTGCTTAAAATTTCATGTTAACATTTTCTTCTTCTAATTTACTTCGGTATCATGTTAGTAATTTTTTATGGAAAAATAATCATATTGTATTTATATTAGAAAATTTTGCAATTTTCTGTTATTGTATCATAAAACGAGTTCTCCCAGCAAGACTAAGAATTAGAATTGTCACAGTGTTATTTTAACGGCCACCCCAAAAAGTGAATAATTTTTTAAAAATTTAATTAATTTTAATTGATCTGGATCTTTTAAAACTCTTATAATAAAGCTCCAAAAAAAAAATAACTGGCCTCCAATCCGTAAGTGATGGTGAACTTTCTGATAACGCCGTTATGCTCGGACGAAGGAAGCGCCCACTCGAAGACGACGTCGCTCGGCTGTATGTCGACCGGCTCGAACCTCTCCACCTTGCCGGGCACCGACTCCTTAGTCGCGAAGCTCTCCGACACCGGTAGCGATCGCCGCAGAATGCTCGACTCGGTGCCGCTGCGCACAATCACCGTGAACGTGTAGTTCCTGTGCGGTTTCAATTCGCCGATCGTGATCGTGTTCTGGAGCGTCAAGTTTTGGATGAACGCGCCCTCCGCGTTGATGTACTGCACCTCGAAAGCGTTGTACTCGCCCCTGGGGACGTCCCACGTCAGCGCTATCTCGGTGTCGGAGACGCGAGTCGCGTTTATGTCGGTGATGGGTTCGGGGTCTGAAACGTTTCAGAAGGCGACTATAATATATAATGATATGTAGAAACTAATACTTTTGTTAACATACAAACCCGCAACGTCACCAAGATAACTTTTTCCTCGACATATGGGAAAGTCCAAGCAATCTGGCAACGCCACGCCCACTTAAAATAACGGAGATAACTATTGAACCCAGTGTTTCCCAACCTTTTTTGTGCCATGCCCACTGTAAAATTTCTAAAAAATTTATGCCCCCATACATAATATTTGACATTAAAAAATTGATTTGTTCACTTAAGAAATATAAATTGTGAGTTTTAAGAAGATATCACTATGAAATTGCTATGACAAAGGAGTAAATAATATTTCAAAACATGTAACAAAAAAGTGAAATTCGAATTCAAAATAATTTTAATAGAGATTTTCTATATTAATTTAGTGCGATCCTTGCGCTTCATGCTCCACGTTGTGTTATATCCAGTCGATTTCTTTTTGGATCAGTAAATCATTTACAGCACCAAATCTACACTCGGTTTAATATCAAAATGGAAACGGTAGTAAAAGTTGTGCTGCATTTTTGTATTGGGTATTTAGTTAAAGTTTCTCCACAAAGTCATGCCATGGCTCCTTTTATATTAAGTAAAATTTTTACTAACTCATCATTTTACAATTTTATAAGTTCTTCTTGATACTTCATATTTGATATATCGGACAAATCTACTAATATTGACTGTATCATCCATGTTGGGAAATCAATTTGTTTTAAATCAGAAAATCTTTATTTTAAATCAGCGGATAGAATATTTAAATGATTGACAATAGCAAGTAACGCGATATCAGTTACTTCACATTTTTTGACCCAATAAAACTGTTCAAAGTTTTTGTTGCTAATATGCTTGTGATATAACCCTATATTGAAAATGAAATCCCTTTGCGCCGACAAGCGTTTTATTTGTTCCTTGAAGTTGCTTATTTAATATATTTAGTTTTTCAAAGAAAGAAAGACTTAATTTTCAAAAACAACTGCTTTACCATCGATTGTTAACAGATACTTCATTTCAGGTTTGGTCACTTAAAAAATCACTAAGAGCATCAAACAGTTCCATAAATCTTTTCAAGCATTTTCATTTTTCAAGCACTTCATTTAGAACAGGCCAGATATTTTTGGTTACCAAGCTTTTGAGATGAATAACACAAGAATAATTTCCGTATTCGCATCTCTCATCAATTTTAAGCAGTTATTTTTCTTGCCCATGATATTAGTAGTTTTTTTAACTTATTATATATATATATATATATATATATATATATATATATATATATATATATATATATATATATATATATATATATATATATCTTTTGGGGTAGTGGTGCTTTCTAATCTTTTACAGAACATTTCTTCAGCAAAATGTCCTTCATCAATATATCTTAATAAGTTATCAATACTGCCGCACTGCCCATTTGCACTGAGAATTTTCTTGTTTTCAGCTTTTCAACAAGTTGTCTTTCAATATCTTCGCTCATTTGGTCTATTCTTCTGCTAACGGTATTGTTACTGAGTGGCCTAGCTTTTAATCATTGTCATCTTTTTCCAGAACCGTTTTAAGAAATGCTGATGTTGACATTTTTATCAAATTCTCTCCTATAGTATGATTTTTTCCAGTTTTAGCAATTAATAAACAAATTTGGTAACTAGCCCCAGTAAGACGATTATTAGTTGAAGTACGAGCAGCAAACAGAGACTTTAAGGTTGTTTCCATCTTAACAATTTTCTTTCTGGCATAAAAGACAAAAGACTCCACTCATCATGAACAACGGGTATGAAATCAAATTATAAAAATTCCTCAGAATATTGACGATTTTTTTCTTGCTTGCATCACTCATTTTAGTATGGGCTAAAGTTCAGTTAAAAACTAATGATAAAACATGTGCTATAATCAATTCAATATGACAGAGTAAAGGTATACAAAAAAAATAAATTTATTTAAATACATATAAAACATATTTTTTGCACTTATATATAATTTTCTGGAAAGTAAAATGCTTCTAAAATTAAAACAAATATAAATAAAATCATATACTTACCAATTAAATCTATACAATATATATAAACATATTTATTAAATCAACGATTAAATGATGGACATTCAAATTAGCATCTACTGAATGATGTGTGAAACACTACAGAAGTTGAGTTGGGCCGATTAGGTGCGGACAACAGCGTTGTTTAGCGAGTTTTCAAATATTCGGGGTTCCCCACGGCATGATAATGATATGTTAATAACGTCCAACGAAATTATACCTAATAATTATTTACAGCAATTTTTTTATGATTTTGCATTTTTTTGTTGCCACCGATATCTAGCATTGTCGTGTATCTAGTATCTAACATAAGCGTGGGCCCCACGTTGGGAAACACCGATTTAACCCAATGTAAAATCGGGGTTATACATTTGTTTTTTTTTAGCATCCGTAAGAGAATTGGAAGTAGTTTTGTCTTTGGCGAACCTATGCATGGCGTTTATTAATTGATCCTTCGGTGATTTTAAGATGAAAAACGTTTTCCCGTACTTATTCTATTTTATTTTAAAAATGCACAACAATAGAGAGATCGTACTCCGACGAAATTTCTTTCGAAGTCTACGACTGCTTTATACTTCCTTTTTTAATTTTCAGGGAATTATGGTTCAAAATATGGAATTTCTAACCCATTAACGTTAATGGTTTATAATTTATAAGTCAACTCCATCGTCGCCAAAGATTATCTCAAACTTGAAACAATAAAAAATGAAACTCACACAGCCTATCCTGACGTTGGAGTGGTTGACTGGCCACGCCTCGAGATACCGTCCACACCGTGATGTTGTACAGTCTTCCCGGTACCAGATCGTTGAAGGTGACCAACCTGTCCGAATCGTTGGCCGGTTTTTCCTGATCGGGTACGCTCGGTTCCGACAGCGAGAACCTGTAGACGTCAAACTTGGAGGAAGTCTGAGGTGTCGGCGTATACCTCAGACTCATCGAGTCGGTCGTCTGGTGATTATTGACGACCACCACTTCGGACTGGATAAGGGGCACTGCGAGTCGAAGAAAACAGTCGAAACGTTGGGTAACACCAAGAGAGGGATAGGAGGCTCACTCGTTCGGGTCCTCAACACGGTGACCTCGCTCTGGAGGTCGTTGGAAATGGCTCGAATCTCGAAGACGTATTCCTCGCCTGGCATTAAGTCTCCTACCAACAGTCTGACGGGGCCGGTACCATTTTGATTTTGGCTCACTGTGCTTTTGTTTACTTGGTTCGGGGTCGATGATTCCCACCACCTGACCAGATACGTCTCCGCGCGGCCTTCAGGGCGTGGCCATTCCAACGTAACGTTGTTAGAGTCAATCAGGGGCGCGATGTTCGATACAGGATTCGGCCTGGAATCATTTGACATATATAGTTTGATGCCAATTATACTGCCGTCAATTTCGGCGGCCATGAAATTACAGGCTTATACGCATCAAATTTGCCGTCATACTTGTAGGTTGAATGAATTAAAATTTTAGAGTGGTTTTGTTACAGATGTTATTTTTAAACAAAATTAACTTTACTTTGGCAAAAGTTAAGGCGTTTAGGACACACGAGAAGTTTCCTCTCAACCCTGCAGTTTTGGGATCTTTTACAACAATTAAAACGTTAATATCTATTAAAGGGATATATAATGAAGAAAACTATATAATTAGAAAGAAGCTATAATGCTGTGATATCCGAAAATTGTGAAATTTTGAAAACAAAATTATTTCCTTCCTGACCATTTTTTCATTATACTTTTATGTATTTATTACCTCACAGTATGGTTTAACTGCTGCGGCTCATTGCTCTCAAGGCCGTAGCTCACCGTGTTCACTTGTATGGTGTAGCGCTCGCCAGGAGTCATGTCGGTAACTTCGGCCTCTGTAATATGAACGGCCGGTAACCTAACCCACTGGTTGTCCGAGTCAGTTCTGTATCGGATCGCGTATTCCGTGATCAGCGAGTCGACGGGCGCGCGCCACTGGACTATCACCGAATTCGCGGTCGCCTTTTCTATCGTCATATTTTTCGGCGGTCGGGGGACTACAAGAAAATCTTTTTTTATTGCTGTCTATTCTGTTACTTATATTTTTTCCTTAGAAGTTATTTACCACAAAAACCATTTCTTGTTTGTTATCTAAAAAAATAAACGATTTTTTCTCTATAAACAGGCTCAAAAAGCTTTGTTTTCGATTAATTTTATCATCCTCTATCCGGTTTTGTATTTCGCGGTGAACCTAAACAATATTTACTTACAACTGTTAAAATGTGCACCAGCAACTTTTTCAATTCCGAATTTTTTTAAAGATAAAACTGTAAATTTTCCGTACCCTAACCCTCAAGTGAAATAAATAATGATGATGAGTTAAAATACCCCAACAATATCTATATCTATATATCAGAAATTAATCTTAGGTCTTTAGATATTTAATTTACCACGCTCGGTAGGGGCGAAAGAGTAACTAAAGTAACTACTAACGGTGTGGTTTTATTTTTGTCGAAAAAATCATTTATGACATGCTAATGCCAAATTGAATTTGGTATCTCTGAAATCATCCATTTCCTCACTCTTTCCGCTACAAAAAAAAATCACTTACACACCGGCTGGAAATACTCGTGGGGGTCGCTTTTGAGGCCGTGCGATACTGCGTAAATTTTCACCGAATATCCCGCTCCTGGATATAAATGGCTTAGTATAATTTTTGAGTCGTAAGTGGCACGGGCGTTCTTCTCATTCGTGTCGTTCCTGATCCACACGATTTCGTACTTGTCCTGTTTCGAATTGACGTCCGATTTCCAGCTGATGTTCAGACCGTCCACCATCGGTTTGAGGTCTTCTATGATCGGCGCGCTCGGCTTCGTCACCACGTAAATGGTCTCGTCTTTGGACTCCATATCTTTCGATATCGCTTGTACCGCTACCGAGTAGTTCCTACCGGGCAGCAAAGTCTCCAAGTCTATTTTGGTACGATTGGTATTCACCGTGTTGCTATCACCGGTCGTGCTCTCCACCTCGTGGTACGACACCAGGTAACTGTCTTGGGTACTCTCCGGGTTCGACTTCCATGCGATCGTCACAGTACCCGTCGTTTCGTCCAAGGTGGATTGAAGATCCATCACCGGCAACGGTACTGTGGAACCAACGCGTTTCAGCCACATTTTTTTCTACACTATTAGACCTAGAACGAACCCAAAGTGACTTCCGCGCTGACCGGCCACGAGGTGACCTTGCCGGATACCGTCTTCACGACCACCGAATAAGTTTTGCCCGGTTCCAGGTTATCTTTAAACTCCCAGAAGGTGGGATCGTCTTTCGAGCGCGGTACCGGCGTCGGCTTCCTTAAGGTGGCCAGTGAGATCTGGTACTTGTCGAACTCGCTACGACCGAAGAAAATTAAAAAATATTGATGTTTTACGTGGGCGCCATTGTAATTTAGTCTTATAAGAAGTACAGGAACACTAAATAGGTATTTCAAATTTAATTGTGGAGCAGAGACAATCATAAATTATAACCTCCTGCTATCGCTTTTACTAGCTGCAGCAGAAAATCGTTTTGTATTCTGCTCACAGCCAATGGTATTTTGTCATTTAAAAAATTCAAACTAACAATTGAAAACTAATTTAAAATTACTGTGGCCAATGGCTTTAATGTAACACAGTAACAGCAGAGTTCGTTAACGATATACGGTATTTAAAACCTTTTATGGTTTAAGACCCGCCTGTTGTACACCGGAAGCGACTATTCTTTTCAGCACGTGTACCACAAACCAGTGCCGTATTTAAGATGTTAGCTGACAAAAACTGTGCCGTGCGAACTGTTGTGTTTTAAGAGTAGGGTGCTTTTTATAAATCTTCCCAAAACAGTCCCTAGTTGAGGTTGATCTCTTATATTAAAAACACATTAGAAAGCTTAAACTGATTTCTGATTTAAGGGTTTTACATAATGACTAAAATATTTTCCTATGAAATCAATACAAAATCTTATGTAGGTAATTGATTTATAATGGATGTTTTCGCAGTTTGCTATTGGTTGATTTGTGGGGGTTGGTGAAATCCGAGTATGTTGTAAGTTTAATGAAAGAGTATTTTCTCAGCCGTCGAAGATTTGGACTTATTTCTAATCCGTCTTGTTTTTGTAATTAGTAATTAGCAACTTACTGTTATTCAATTGTTTTTCAAGAATCTGTACGCCCCTTTTATTGAGGCACCATATACATTTTGTTACAATTTATTTTTTAACAAATACTACATTATTTAATTTTGTTAGACACTTGCCATGTCCAGCGATGAAGAAAAAACGCTGAAAGACCGTGGGGTCCCAAAAAGTCGACTTGACTGCACCATGCCGGAACAGTGAGACGGTTGATATATGATGCGTATCAGAAGAATATTGTTTTAATAATTAAAACTTTACACGAAGAGTTGCGTAGTGTTTTGAACAATGACTGATGCCAAGACAAATGTTTTAATGGAATCAAGAAAAATTTCGGAATGGAGGAGAAGATATTTGAGAGGAATCCAAGAAATTCGTGCCAAAAACGTCACCTTCATATATTTAGATGAGACCTGGTTTGATAGTCACGATACCGCCAAGAAAGAATGGACTGGCAGCAAATGATTTTCTGGTAAATTGCTTTCCAATATTCCAACAAACAGTGTGATGTGTGATGGACAACGCCTGCTACCATTCTGCACAAGCGGAAAACGAATTCATCATCGACTAAAGAAGTCATTCAAAATGTTTTGCTTGAAAATGATATGGATTTTGAAAATTCCTACACAAAGAAGCAGTTAAGGAATAAGAAGTAAAATAGTAAAAATATCTGCACATCTTTTAGCATTTATATGCACTTATTGTCATTGTGTAAATGCGAATCAATTTATGGAGGGTTACAAAGAGAAACCCAAGTGAGGTAGGCCTGCGGTTGGATCTTCATAAAAATTTACCACAGTTATTATTATGTCGTAAAAAAGGTATAGCGTTTGGCGCGAACTATAACAGTAATTACCAGAAGTATTCCAGGAAACCATGACCTGATAAAACTAACCTTTTACCACTGGGCGGTTCCCAATGGACGATGAACGAGTGTGTAGTCACTTTTTCCTTATCGAAATAAACGCGTTGTGGTTTCAACGGTACTGTGCGGTACTGCGCAGTCGTGGGCGTAGAAATCTCATCTTCCGACATCGTTTGCACCGAAATGTTGTACGCTCTGCCCGGTACCAAACCCTTGAAAGCCGCTTGGGCAGGTCCGGGTGGTTCCCCTTCCTTCTCGACATAGAGTACCGAATCGTTGGCATCGGCTGGATCTATCGAGACCTTGTAATGCGTATAGATGGCTGCGGGGTAAGGCGGCTGCCACAGTACCAGGAGCGTAGTCTCGTTACGGAACCACACGATGAATTTGCCGGGAGTATTTGGTTCTGCAAGGATTGTCTCATTGCAATGGGATGTTTTTGAAAAAAATGCGCAGTAACTACGTCCGTGGAAACTTTGTATACTACTTATGTATTTATGCAAAATTTTCAAATAAATCGTTCAACGCAGTCGATATTTGCTTTCGGTTTACAGGTCAAATTTGTAGCTTGAAATTAGGAAAACCCATATTAAACAACCAGTTTCCTTTTACCATTTCACCTTCGCACTTCTCAATACTAGATGGCACAGGGTGAGTCGAAAAGATGGATTAGTATACACAGATTCGTTGTGTGAAAATGTTATATGACTAAAATGGTATTTATCAAATTCAAATGAAATTAAAAAAAATGACATACATATTTTGTTCTAGTATGTCACTCTCAGAAGCCTTTTATACATTTACAAATGCAACATTAATAATTTTAAGTTGTCTTTTTCGCCTTTGAAATTTAATGAAAGTAGTGAAATTTTATACTTTTTCTTATTCTTATAATTTTATAATTATTGTACAATATCTCAAAAACTACAATTATTATCAAAATAAATACAAGAGAAACAATATTGCAAAGTAAATTAAAGAAAATAACTTTAGTAAGAGGTTACAGAACAGCCCCTTTTTTGATATAGTATGCAGTTAGGTTTACATGAAGCTTAAACAAAATATGTAAAAAACTGCGAAATATTAATTATATGCTAATAATCACTTATGAAGCCAATAAAATAAAGAGTTGTATAAAAAAATAGGTTTAAAGCATTTTGTAGGTGGTATTTTGCGAAAACAGGCGCATATCCCATTGTATCTTTACGGAAAAGAAGCGAAAAGTGTGTTGAAATCACAATTTAGAAAGTAAATGCCGCAAAGTCCAGGTTAGTGTGTGAAATTAATTAATAGAATATAAAATAATAAAAGTACAATTTTTTATTAATAATGATGGCAATTTTCGGTTCGTTATTTTATACGATGTTTGGGCACATTTCAAGCGCGGTGTTGCCGAACTCACTTGTAGTAAAGTTCCTTGAAGTGTAGGCAGCGCTCTCTTTATTTTCGAACACGGTGAATGCGTGAACCTGATAGGTCGCCCCCGGTATCAAATCTTTAACGGTGTATTGTGTGTTTTCGACGTCGTCCACGTAGACGATTTGTGGTTTGGCGTCGGGGATGGCAACCAACGGGTTAATTTTCAGTTTGAAACTGGTGAAGCTGCCCTGAGAGGGCGGTGACCACGAAATTACCGCCTGTTTGCCGCTACGAACGTACACCGACAACCCGGATGGCGGGTCCGGCACTGGAATTATTCAGGTGGTTAAAACGCGGTCTCGCGCGTACAACCACCCTTACCGGTCGTAAAGTTGGCTGTCCACGTGAGGGTGTTGTGCGTGGCGTTGGAATAGTACAGCCAGAAGTCGTATTTGGTGCCCGGAAGGGCCTGCGAGAATTTGATGACGTCACGGATGTCCTTGGACGCGATAGTGGTGTTGGGAGCAGGATGGCCGAACGGCGGGTAGTAATCCAGCCTATAGACCACGCCCTCTTGACCCAAGCTGCCCGGAATGTGTATCACCAGTTCCGCTCCGCGCGTGACCTGGAAGCGGAGTTAAATACAACAACAATGAGTACTTGAGGTGTAACAGTGAACTTGATCTAAACTGCAATGACAACGGCTTGAGAGAAAAGTAAGCCAAATTTTACAAGGGGATAAGATGGCTAAGAATGGGCATTGTTGTCTTTATCTGGCTTATTGGAAGAACGGGAAGCCTTCAACAATTTTTTTTATACCTACTTGTATAAAATAAAATTTATAATAAACTACTTTTAGAAATTCCAAATATTTATATCTTTCTAACCTTGAAAAAAAATTTTTCAGAAAATAGAATAGTGTATTTTTGAGGAGTGTTATTTGAAAAAAAATCTTAAAACCATACCTGCTTAAATATGTATATTTAGCAAATATTTTTCATTTCTTGAAAAAAGGGTAAATTTTAAACAACCAACTAAATCAATAGGTAAAAAATAGCAAAATACTGCTGTATTTTTTATTTTTAAATATACGTATCAATATCCTATCTAAAAGTAATTGTAAAGACTTGGGGTAAAACAACTTGTATCTAAAGAGGCCAAAACAAAATGCTGGAAATTATTTTAAAAATAATTAGAATGGCCGCCAGGCGGCGTAATCGCATCGTACATTATGGCTAACTAAAATAGACACCGTTGTAAAGCTGAGATAAACTCCATTCTTTTTAGTTAAATGGTTTTTGCTCTGTCTCTTAAGGGAAAGTGGTGGTGTTCCAACATTTTCGGAAAATAATTAAAATAACAGGATGGCTAAAATCATTTTGACAAACTTGGAGTTGTTTACGCTGAACAGGATGATTTAGAATGCTTGATGACCTAAAAAGATTCCTTTTCAACGACTCTAAGGTTTATTTTTCAAAGCAACTTCCATAGGCTACTGTAATACTTTTTACAAAACTTCTGGATTTCTCCTGCGCCGGTTTTTGAGTCGAACTTGCTGACTGTTGACTTCTTCAGAGCTTGACTGCAACTGGCTCGCATTTGAGGGGTGTTTATGCCCCGACGCAGAAGCAATCCAGAAGTTTTGTAAAAACTATGTTCAGACGCCATCCACCACTTTCCGCTAGCTAAAACTATGCCATGAAAGAAATCTCAACTTTAAAACCAAGTTCATTTTAGTTTTCTGAAATGTAAAAATTTAAAAATAACTTCCAGCATTTTCTGTTGGCCGTTTTAGTAGTAAGTTTTATCCAACTCTTTACTAAAATTACTTTTCAAAATATGCCCTAGAATTTGCCATCTTAAAAAATGTTTAATTAATACCAGCAATGGAATTTTATATAGTCAAAATATATGACAACATGCTTCAAAAAATAATACCGGAAACATTCGTTAAATGTTCAGTTCACTGACGAGTAATTAAACAAATCTGTTAAATTGTAAACTATACAGTTTTAAGAAACACATATTTTATAACTTCAATAACTTTTTTCATTAAATTTGTCGCACACCTTACACCCATCAACGGTCATTTTTTGGTGTAAAAAATTTGAAAATGTTTAAAAAAAGTAAAAAATTCATGCGTCGTGTTTAAATTTAACCTGTAAATTTTCAATGTTGCGCCATTTCAACGATTTGCTTCGTACCTTATATCGAGCTCGTTATGTATTTTGTTGATTATGTTTGTTTTTTTTCATCTTTTAAAACGCAAAACTCTCAAATATCATAATTATATCTCGCTCTCGTTCTAGAAATAAATAAATAAAATAAAATAAAAAACTCGAATTTCCTGTTGCAAATTGAATAAATAAATAAAATAAACAGGGAACACCGAAAAAAAAAATATGTTTTATTTATTAGACTTGGAATAATGAGTTGACTAATATAATTAATACTTAATATTAATCACATTAAATTAAAATTTAAAATCAGCAGCGGAAGTCGCATCTTGAACTACTAATTTTTTCCTTATTATTTAGCATTAGAGCATTTATCGAAGGAGATAAAGAGGTTGCAAAAAAGTACGCACACCTATAAAAAAAATTGTCGAAATCGTCTGAAGCTGCCAAATTTTATATGTATATGTGAAATATGGCCCCAATTTAGTCGAAAACGTTTGTTGCGTCCTCTAAACAATGCAAATAAGGTCCGAGATGAGATTTTTTTCACGCCGACAAGCCCGAGCTATTAGCAAACGCACCCCGCCTACTATTATTACAACTCTTCCGACCGACCCAACAATGGCGACCTTCGCGAGATATGATATACTCGAATCTACTCGAGCCATCTTGATTTACATAAACCAACCGTTTTGCGGATGTCTTGATTTAGGTATGAAAATTATTATTACCTGCGCAAAGGTCATATGGAATTACAGTGCTTAAAATACAGATAAAAATTTTACGATGTATAGGTGAAGTATTATCGCACAGAGTTAATGTCGTAAACATTTTAAGTCACACGTAATTTCTGTGAATTGCCCACAGCCAGCCTGACGTAGGAAGAGCGCGCGTGTGACGTATAAAATAGGTCTAGACTGCTCTGGATGGTAATCGATATTCGTTATTAATTGAAAAACGTTGTTGACTCTCCGCTTTCTCATGGCCACACTCATACTGAGGGTTTCCGGTTATTCGATACGTTCAGGGCCCAGCTGATCACTTATTCACTGCTGAGCTTACCGTTAAAACATTTAACAAAGTTTTAGCCTTTTTTTCACGTTGCTGACAATCTAATCGAAAAGCAACCAGAGAATTTTGATGTGGTAAATATTAGGACCTTCGCAAGCTATATAAGCCAGTTCCAGTCCGATCCTGAATATTGTTGTGGCGTATAAGCACACACTAAAAGCGGTTAAAGGATTAGAATTAAACGGTAATGTACCCATGTATTTCAAGTCTACACTTTCGATATCAAAAACTTACTTGGAACCATTATTATTTTAATCAGCAGTAAACGCATTGATCAGTCGTCGCCATAAGGCTATTATATAATATGATATCTTCATAGAGAATGATTTTACACTCATTTCTAAATTACATACACTAACCTGCACTTTGCAATTTCTATACATTAAACTCGTTTTCCAAAACATTTAATGTGAGAAAATGCCACCCTAAAAATGATACATTTAAATGATCCCTCTTGATTTGACGAACTATCGGTTTCATTTGTTGATTTGAAATGACACGTGTTATTGAATTGAATTCTCAACATATTTTTTCATCATCGCTTCAAAAGTCGGCAATAACGAGTATACATAATGCATTCATTAATAAAGATATGGCCTTAAGCCTTGCTTTTGACATGACACGCGCTTTTGACACGGTCGACTTTGATCTGGCGCAAAAAAAAAATTAGAGTGAGAGGACCAGCGCTAATCTAGATAGACTCGTATTAGAGACCTTGTTTATTTCCAAAACTCTTAAATATCTGGGCGATCCGGTAATGTACGCTGACGACAGGAATTAGCGCTAAAAACACTAAAGAATTAGCTACCAAGAGTAGCGCTACGGTGGGTGTCATGCAATCGTGGAGCAGATCAAACGGGATACATTTAAATACAAGCAAATTAAGCGCAGTACAATTTGGAACGAAAACCCGGCCTATCTTAATTAAAACAGAAAATAAATAATTGCAGAATAATAACAATACGAAGTTTGGACTGTATGTTGATCAAAAACTTTGGTAATGTTTTATCGAAAATTAGCGCTTATTTTTACTTAATAAAATCTATACGAGACAGTGTTGAGGTGTTAAAGTTGTTATACTACGAACTTGCTCAATCAGCAATGTCTTACGATTTAATTTTCTGGGGAGACAAGCACATCAAGTTTTCATCGCAGAAGAAAGAGTGATCGGAGCCATAGCAAGGGCATCAAATTCAAACTTTTGGGTTCCTTACAAATTTTGACGCTGACGTCTCTTTACGTGTATTATCTTATTATACACACTAAAAAAAAAGAACTCGAATTGTTACAACGGCATTAGATTCGTAGTCATAATACCCGAACAAAAAATTAAATGGAGCCATCTTTTTATAGGCCATCAATTTGCCAACAAAACTTGGATTACATTGGTATTAAATGTTCAAACAAATTGTATCGACTCGAGCCTAGCTTTGCAGAATCGGCACGGAATAATAAAACTAAATTAAAACTCAACAAGGAACTGTTAAAAAATCATATTATAGACTAGCCGAATTTTTCAACGACCGCATGCTTGTGAGGCTTGATCTTATAAAAGCTCTGTGTGATGTTTGTTTTTTTTAACGTATGTTTGTCTTTTACATCATTTCGTATTGTACATTACATCTTTTTATTTTATACTCTTGACTAGGGGGTCGTATTGTATTATTTGACTGTATGCGTTACATTGAGCGGAGTTAATGAATATCTATATATAATTGGTAGCGATTCATCGATATTGCCGCTTATTGTAACATAATGGGGCGAAAAATTACACGGCACTCTTTTAAACCAATACAATCGATCGTGTCAAGTTTTAAAACGAAATTACATGGGAGTATAAACGCTTTTCTGCAATTATTGTTTCGTTGGTAAACTAAAACATTGCGACAGTTTGTTAACCATTCAGGGTATAGCGCTAATTATGTAAAATATAGCAATTTAACACTCGAACATTGTTGTTCGAGTTTCGGAACGGTTTATTGCGCATTTTGACGTCGGAACAAAAATTCTCGAGCCGTTTCACAAAGCGGTTCGGCAAGGATCTTGGGCAACATTCGGGTCGACCGTTTTTGTTATTAGCGAAGTGCAATTGCATTTAACGCCGTCGCCATAATGACGGTGTAATCAATAACGCGCGAAACCTAGCACAATTTAATTAATTATAAAATAACAAATCCTTTTGGTAGGTCGTCGGTCCGACAACATCGCAAACAGTTCCCGAATTGTCTTCTGAATTGTTAAAAACCCGATTGCCTATCAATTCGAGAAGTTTTTGACAAAACCTCAACGATTTGTTTTCAATTTAATCAATTATCCAGTAATTATTATACCAATTTTACCGGTTTAATGAATAAAGTTGTTCACGAATCTGTTTTACCATGCTAATTGCGAAATATTTTATTAAAATCAACCACAAAATCTTAATTTTCTGGTGATGACGAAGTACTCAAAGATATTATTTATTATATTTATCACAAAAGACCATGCCTATGCCGATAATACACGAACTTATGAAACAACTATTAAAAAAAGTTAAAATCTAACCAATTACTTTGTGGCATTCAATAAGTTTGGATAGCGGTACAGTGCTGCAAAGTACACCCATACTAGTGGCCCTAAGGAGGTAACAATTGATGCGCCTCAGACGGCTAAGATATTTTCGTAGAAAAAAATAAGTATCTTGGGCGTATGTTCCTAAATTTCATACACTAATCTCTATTTTGCTTCATTTTCTTTCCAAACAGCAGCAGTTAGATCGTTTTTACTTTGAATAAATAATGCCGTAAAAATAAAACGTATACAAACTGAAAACTGTCGAATTGACAAACTGTCATCGGCCATGTTGGTTTTAAACGCTATGCTATTCGGTTGTTTGAAATGACAGATATTTTGATAGTGACATTTGAAATGACCGCGCATGCGCTGCATATTGCAAATTCTTCAATTTTTTTTTTCATAGAAGCTTCTAAGTTCCTGTATTTTCGGCATAGGCTTGGTACACACGACACAAAAATGAATCCGTTGCTTGAGCGGTGAAATAATATTTTTGTAAATTTTTGTTTGATAGTGAAAATGTTGTTTTCAGTATGATTTGAACTCGGCAGTTTATATGGTTCAGACACATGTCATATTCGTTTGGGCTCAAATTCAGAGGCTCAAGTGACGTGTATTGTTGTCGGAGAAAGCGGGGTGTTCTTTTTTGTGTCGTCTTCTAGTAACCTTTCCTTTTATTTCAAATCGTGGTCAACGAATTCTTTAAAGGGGTTTTCAAGACAGTTGGTGCAAGTTTGGAAAATTCATTGGCCGGATAACGTTACTAATAAGGTGTTGTGTTTTATCAATTTTGCACTCCGATAGTTAGTTGCGTAGGTATTGTTCAAGTCGCCCTAGTTCCAATCGATAATTGCCTTGTTAGAATGAAAGAGAAAGTACACACGTACGGAGAAAAAATTCTCAAGAACGAATAATAAGTATAATAATTACACGTAACTAGTAGACAAATAAGAGAAAATCGGGCGAAGGTACCGATAGCAACGTAAACACTCCATGCTGCAAACGAGTTTGAGGAAAACCATTCGGTACACCTATGCTATAGTAAATAAATATAACTTAATAGCGGTTTCATTCACTCGACGAGGGCCGGGCGCGTCTTGGAATTTTGCCAGAATACGAGTCGGTATTTTATAAATAAGAACTTGAAAAATTATTACAGTGGGCAATATCAAAGGTCAAGTGGAATTATTTTTAATGTTGACAATTTGCTAGAGAATCCGTGACCGCATTTATAATAAAACCTTTTTCATTTTAACATTTAGTCTATGACAGGTGAAAAGCGTCGATGTTTTCGAATGTCGGGGCAATTCCATCAGGGCCGATGACGTCCCTGGAAAAATTAAACTCTTCCGCGGCTGCTTATCCGTTCCTTCTCCGATCTTATTATTGCGTGAATCATCGCGACGTATTTTTTTCGGGTTGGGTCATTGCTCAACCAGCGGGTCATCGTTGTAGCGCAGTAGGCCGACATTAAGACTACCGAAAAAATTACAGTTTCCAAGCGAATTCTAACCAATATACCTCACGCGCAGCGGTAATGTTAATAGTTTTCGACATCTACCTTTCGCGATCGTGTTTTGATAAACGTTTTTTTTTGTTTTTACAAATATTTACACGAAGCGACAGTTGCGAGGTCGCGTAAAACGAATGACTTTCCGCCATTTAGGCACGAGGTGGATAATGCTTAGTTTAAAAATAAGTTCATTCAAGTTTACATTACGTCAGCTAAAATTCGGTTATTACAATCTCAAGCCGATCCTTGCTGGAGCAAAAATCGCCAGAAAACTGTGGCGCATTGATAAACATACCTACCAAATGCCAGTATCGAACAGCAATGATAAAGTCGGACACTATCACAGATGATAGAAATCGCAAATCCTAACGTCCATGATGGTGGTTTAGACGGTCCTTTCCCGCAGTAACTTTTTTTTTCATTTTTATAACTATGTCCAAGTCCTTGCTATTGCGCTAGGTTCGTTTAAACTCGCGTCGGTTGGAAATAATACAAATGCAAGTGTTGGGTATTTATATATTTGCCATTGAAAAACTTGATAACGGGTACAATTTCACCTTAAAAATTCCAATGCTAATTAGGTCGTTATATTTACTTACCTATCCCTTTAATTTGCTTAAACTTACCTATATGACAGAGGAATAATAAGAGTGTCTATCATTTCTAAACCAATTACACAAACGACTTTTTACAACACGTATTAACCAAATTTCTACCTACTTTACGCACACGGCAAGGCAACGGTTTCTATCCCAAAATAATCTAAATTTCTCACGCATTAAACTGAACTTGAACCGAGTTATTCGGGATAATAGAAAGTCGCCCAATTTCGCACGGCACGGTTTCAAAACACGAAGAGCATACCAAAACAAAGAAGCTGAACTGTAACGACACGCAGAACAAAAACAAACAACACTTACGGAAATACAGAGAAGCCTTAAACCAATAATGCCCCGTAACGTACCTTGACAAAAGCGAAGCAAACGACTACACACAAAATACAACGGAATCCGCTCATTTTACTTAAAATTTGTCGAGCCGGGCAGTAACAGGATGTTGATTTTCGTTTCAAACCTTCTTTCCGCACATCACGCGCCGGATAACGAAATTAACGCAAAAACTTGTAGGTTTTAAAAGGGTCCGTGTCGGGCATAGTTTCGTTTTATTTTTTACGCACGACACCGCACATCCACAACGCCATTCTAACATCTGCTGGAAACGAAAGCCGAGAGCTTTTTAACACGTTTCCAATATGTTTGGCAGATGGAGGCACCGAGAACATCGAGAGGAGAAAGGAAACCAGATCCGACAGTCAACAGGTAAATTAAAACGCAGGTAAGAGCGACATATCGTGGTTGGGCAACCCGCCATACGTTGCGTTTACGTCGGTAGCGTAGGCAATTCGAAAAACTTTTCCCCGGTGCGATAAAAACACTTGCAGCATTTTTTATAAAAGGATTTATTCAACTTTTTGTTTCGTTGTGTACGTTTACTTGCAGCACATTCTCCGCAGAACATTTCCATTATTGTCCCGTGATCTCGCATAGTCTAACAGATCTCTGCCTTCGATGAAACCAATCGGTTTTTCGCTTTTCGTAGGCCCCGCGCCTGCGGGAAAAATAATACCTAACCTGAAGATTCCATGTCGTTTTCGGTTAAAGAACAATATTGTTGAAGAACGTACCTGTAGTTTCCACGACGAGGACGAACGGGTCTTTTTCCAAAACTCTGGAAACGCGGCCCAGAATGGCATCCTTGTCCAGTTTGTGAAAAATTTTAATCGTGTGCTTTTCGATCGTATCTGCCTCGTCCCACTCGCCCGATATCAGTTTGTTCGTAATTTGTTGCAAGGTAGTGATACCCAGCAGGGATCTGGGACGATAAAAATACAAAATAGGTTAAGGTTTGAGGCAAAGTACTTACCCGTCGCTTTTAAGGACGGCGGCCCCCGTCGAGTCGGTCTCTTCCAGAAGCACCAGAATTCTCCCTATGGAGTCGTTGCATCTTACGGTGAGCGGTTTTTGGAGTTTGAGGGCCGACACTCGGTGCTCCCACCACCTTAGAAATCGAAAACGAGATATATTTTCACCGAAACCTTGAAAGTTAGATTACCAGAGGTCATTTCTGTTGAGACAGGGCTGGAAACCTTTGGCTTCCATCCACTGATCGGATACGAATTTCGTCAGGTAGTTTCGAATGCTGTCCGGGAAAAATAGCACTACATTCTGCCCCTCGTCCAGATCCTTTGCCAGGTTGAGAGCTGCTGCTAATGCGGCCCCGCTTGTGGCCCCTATAGCGAGGACGGTGAAATAGTTCTAATCTTTGTGCCTTATATAGCAACCAATTTTTCAGGATTTCAAAAGTGAATTTTTATTTTAAAATCAGTAGCGCACCAAAATACGCCAAGTACATTTTTTAAATTAGGCTGATTTGGAAAAGAACATTGCCGTTCGACATACCTTTTTGAAGTTGCCAGGTCAAAGAATTGAAAATCACCAGGCACTTTAAAAGTTTCCAGTTTTTTTTTTCAAAACCAAACACAGAATTTCTAATTCTCTTTCCTATTTATTTTAGTCCGCGGTGAAGAGAATATTTGAGTTTAAAGTAATAATAATAATAATAATAATAATAATAATAAATAAATAATATAATATATTAAAAAAAAATAATTTCTTTAAAAAGATTCTAAAAATATGGTAGATGGTCAAGGACTTGAGCTATGATCGTGGCTAGATAAGAATGCGAAGTGTATCTTGGAAACTAATGTTTAGTCTATCGTGTTTGCAAAATGTATTTTAATAGTTTTAAGGTCTTCCTTGTGTCTAGAACAGATATAAATTACGCCGTTTGTGTAAGTATAATTTTACTATAGGCACTTCAACAAAGATCAGTCCAATAACGCTTTTATGATTGATAAATTATAAAGTTATGAAATTTTACCTTTGAATTTTCAAAAATTCTTCCTTATTTTAAGCTAAGAATTTCACTCCATTCTAATGAAAAACATTTATTTTTTTAGAGCAATGTTCTATTATTAGACATGTCACAGTTTGTTACAATCCGTTTGGTCGTGTGGGAACTACAGCTGTTTTTATCGTACGTATATTTTTTTAATAACTTTGGTGGATTTTAGAAAAAAAACACATCAAAAGTTTAAGATGGCGGTTACTTCTCGTGACTACCATCTTGGAAATATGAAAATATTTTATACTTATTTTGCCCATAACATTTTTTACCGCAAATCTCGAGGACGAATAGTGAGACAACAGGTACATTTGGATGAAATACACCTATATAGGATGTTCGAAAAATAGACGAGATATTTTAGAGTTCCGGGAATGCAGTTTTCAGGGTGTCAGATTGTACCAACGCTTGTACCAAAACCCTTATGTCATAGGCTACAGGACTGCATTGAAGCTAATGGTGTTCATTTGAATTATTGTATTTAGTATTCGTTTCTTTAAATTAATGTTGTTGTCATAGTGTTCAAAAAATAATTTTTATCGAAATACATTTTCTTAATTTTCATAAATGTTATTTTTTTTGGTTCGAAACGAAAAAATTCAAATGGCTTATTCAAACTAAATAACAAAAATTGCCAAAAAGTCAATGACGTACATATTTTTCGACGCCGCACTGGACTTGACGATTTTTATCTAGTGAAAGAAAAATTAGTCCATTGACATTATAAATGACGTTCTCATATTTAAATCAAATCGGGCAACATATATTTAACATATTGAAATAAAGGCGTTTTTTGTTTCAATTTGTAATTCAAGTCTAATTATCTCTATGTATTTTTCGAACACCTTGTATATGAGGGCAGTTGAAATTTACTGGGAATTTTGAGATCATTGACCCACCGGCGAGCAATCCCTCTTCCCGGATCAATCTCCGCGCCATTCGGAATGACTCCGGATCGTTAGTTTTCACCCAAAAATCGCAAACGCTGCGATCTAAAGCGCTCGGCACGGTTTCGAAGCCGAATCCCTCTACCTCAAAAAATGTCACGTCGGTTTCGTTGAGGCTGGCGGGAACGGCGAATGGGGATCCCTCGGGATCAATGCCGACTATTTTCGTATGGGGCGACACCTCCCGGAATTTTCTACCGATTCCGGTCATCGTCCCGCCCGTTCCCGCGCCGAGAACCTGAAAAACCGGAGAAAATTTACCGTTTTCAACCTCCTCAAAAAGGGCACCGAAACTCACGATCATATCCACTTTATTGTCCAATTGATATAGAATTTCTTCCGCCGTGACGTCATAATGGGTTAACGGGTTTCCCGGATTTGATAGCTGTAATGAAATAGCAACCGCAGCTAGAGCTACATAGCTATTACAATAATGTATTCTTAGTTTTCTTAATCGACAACTTTTACCCACTAGCATTACATTTTCTTCAACTCTAAAAACAAGTTCTGAATTCCCTCAATACATAAATGATGTTTATTTATTGTTTCAAACCATCTAAATAAGATGAAGGGATAAATATTTTAAAAATACTTTGAATTATGCAGGGTGCCACTACAAAAATATATTTATGAAATATTTAAATGACACCGTGATTGTTTTTTAAATTTAACGCGCAAATCAAGTTGTAATTCTAATTCTAATGTGCCGTAAAGAGTTACTACTTTTAAAATTTAAGATTTTTTTAGCAAACAGCATGAAAAAAAATGTTTTGTTTCAAGTAAAAAAAATGCTGGTTTTTTAGTTTGAAGCTTAAGCGAGTGATGTTGACTCAATTAATAACATAAATTAAGCTATATCTTAAATTACAAGAAGCTCATTTTGAGTGCTGCCTGATGAAATAATAATTTGCTATACCTTTGAAAACCAATAAAGATAGATTGAGGCCAAACAATGTTCGTTCTTTAAACATAGGGTTCGACGAATTCGCACAGATTTTACATGACTGTAAATTTGACATAATCGGGTTGTGAGAAACATGGCTAAACATATTAAAACAAAATAGAAACAGAAGGGGGGGTGGTTCTGGTTTTTATTGAAAAAAATCTATTCCTTCCTCTAGAATCAGTTTTCAAAACACACCTACCTCTTTTTTTTTATGGAATAGACCTTTATATTACTATGCTTTTTTTAAAGTGGTGGTAAACATTTGGCTACAAACGTTTTTTTCATATGAATTTTTGATATTCTTAGGGAACGTAAATATTAATTTCCTTGAACATAATCCAGACGAAATTTGTAAATCTTATAAACAGTTTCGGATTCAACCCAAAAACATGTACTGGAAAAAATGGATGTTGTTATAACTAATTATAATGAAAACTTTCAAAAATAAATTTCTATACCTGTTTCAGATACTGCAAGTGCTGCCGTTAACTCCCAAACACTCATCAAATATTTATTGAAACAAAGACAAAGCACTTTTCGCCATTTTAACATATTTTAGCCAATCAGCGATAAAAAACGGAAAAGAAATTTTGCAATACGCCAACTTACTTGGCAAACCAACCAGATCAACTCTCTTCCATACTTTCTTTTAGACAGTACGCAACTAAACAATTACTTTAAGCGATGTAAAATTACGTTTATCCTTTTGTCTAAAACCGCTGATAAACAAATCTGGAAAAAATCTATTATTAAACCATTACCGAAAATTCCCTAAAGACTTTAAAGATATAAGACCATCGGTATTTTAATGGCATTTTCAAAAATTATTGAAAAGCATGAAAAGCAATTGAGTAGTTTTGTTCATTCACATCAAATTATCCTAGAGTGCCAGTCAGGCTTTCGTAAAAACTTTAGTACCATAAATTTGTTGATGACATATATTCGCGTAGTGATAAGGGTCAAAATACCCTTCTTGCACTACTAGCTTTTAGCAAACCCGTTAACACCATAAATTACGCCTTATTGCTTGGCAAACTTCAATCCTTTGGATGTTCAAAAGATTTTGTTGAATTATATGTTGTAATTATTTGGACGTTGAGAGCAATGCGTGTCTATAAAAAAAAACATTCGACTTTGAAAAATCGAAATACAAAAAATGACTACAGGGTTACCGCAAGGGTCTATTTTATCGCCTCTACTATTTATGTTTTAGATAGCCGATATAGATCATTGTATTACACATTCTTGTCTTAAACAGTTCGCGGACGATGCTGAGCTCCAAAGTCTTTTAGTTTTGAAAATATGGAAGAAACACAAAAAAAGGACCTAAAACATATAAATAATTACGCAAAAGATCATAATCTCAAATGTAACCGACAAAAATCATGTCTATTATTATTTTGTAACAACCAATCTATAAGTCCAGGATGAGAATATTCTTTCGCCGACGAGGCAAAAAACCTATTATTTAAATATATTTATATAATATTCTTTACTTTTACTATTTGATTCATAACAGTAGAAGTACGCTACACAATTGAAAAAGTTCAACACGCATGTATTCGTTTTTCTTTTAAAGTACCATAGCAATCATATTACGCTGAATATGAAAAATCGGAGAAAGAATCATATTTTTGTTTTATTTATAAAATCTTAAAAACAGGCCAGCCGGCTTTCTTCCGACAGATTGTAAAACCGCATTACCGTAAATGTACATAAATTTGCTACGTTTCAAAACAACTATTGTCACTCTTCCTTATGCAAATAAAAATCGTTTTTACTTTTTTTTATTTCTTTAAATTTTATTGTAATAATAATTGTTGGAAAGTACATTGTAAATCATTGTGAACTTAAATTTTGTAAGTAGTATCTTTTATGGCCCAGGTAAAGCTATTGCCCGTCTAAAAAAAATAATAAACCGTTTCGGAAATAATTAAACATGCATATCTTTTTATATAATTTGAAGGGTGCGTTTTGGGACATCATCAACCAAACTTATTTTATTCTATAATATTCTATGCTCCCCGAAATTAGTGGAATTATTGAAAATGCCCAGAAGTTTTTTTATAACGTATAGAGACGACATGGTCGTACCTGGTCTAAAATTATAGAGTTGGGTATCTCTTGGCGCAGGCGGCAAGCGGTCGCGTGGGGCCCGTCAGGATGGCTTGGCAGTTCGACGGAAACGCGTACCACTCTCGCCCCCAGACTCCTTATCACCGCCTCCTTCTCTTGCGACGTTTTTTCCGACATTACGATCACGCATTTGTAACCTGAACGCAAATTGATTTTGATTTTTTATGTGCTGAACAGTTTTTGAGAGAGTTAGCATTTTTACCTACCTACAAATATAGAGAAAATGCTTTTAAGTATTTGCGAATTAATGGTTTTGTAAGTAAAATTTGAAACGGCTGAGTTGTTTCCATATGAGTTGTAGAGTTTATTGTTTGCATAAAGAAATAGTTCGTTTTCGCATAGGTCGCGATTCAGTGCCATCTGAGTCTTCAACATCAAAGGAAAAGCTTGCTATGCTTATTTAAATTGCATTCTTTAAATTTAGCTCTAAAACTGAACACACCGCAGCTATATGGTTGCAACCTCCCTACAAACGAGTCATATAACTGAAAGCAACGCTATTAACGGACCATTGAGCTTTTGCAATATTTAATTGGCACTTAATTTCCTGTCGACTGCTTCTAAATTTTGTTTGTTTGAACGCAAAATGAAAAATCTCCTTTCAGTTTTCGGTCTCTGCAGTACAACCAATCAAAATTGATTTTTATAGGGCTTCGTCTGCCCCAAAAAAATCCGCTTTCTACATTACAATTTAAATGCTACAATATCAATTTCAAAACAAGATCCGTATCTATAAGTCAAAAATAAAACCTCACTTAAAGCTAAACATGTTCTTTTTAACAAATAAATATACCGGGCGACACAAGAAAGAGGGAACACCAATGTCCAATTTTTTGACAATGAACTATGAATTTTTTAGGATAACCTAGTTCTTTTAAATCGCACCCTACAAAAACTTTTTAAAACCGGTACTTTTTTGCAACATTTTGACACCAAAATTTTCAATATCCGTTCACAGGAAGGAAAAATCCAGATAAGTAAATACATTTTTATAAAAACAAAATATTACTTAGGTGGCTTTGCTTTTATTCATTATTAAGTGTCAACCAAAGTATTGTGTGTATACGTACGTCATAAGCTACAAGCACTTCTTAACGAAAACTCAGAAGAACAAGAGAATAGAAATGTTCTTCTTTCTTTTCCAATCTGTTATTTTTTGGGAAAATTCAACGCAATATTTTGAAAATCTGTTAGAAAATAAAACCTCAACAATGTCGGTAGAATCCATTTGACAGTGGTATATCAACGTGTGGGACTGTAAGACAAGTTGACACAAAACAGCAGATTCATTTATTTTGGAACTGGATTTTTGTATTTGAAAAATAAGTGCGATAGATATTTACTTTATAAACAATTTATTTGAAGATGAAAGTTTCATACAATGTTTTCAAAATGTCCTACTTTTTGCATACGACACTCCCTGGCACTAGAAATTACATTCGCTGTAACCTTTCCTAATATTTCTGTGCTGTAATTCGACAAAATCGATAATCAGATAAAAACTAGGTTATCCTAAAAAATTAATAGTTCATTACATTAAATGCTATTTGCCCATGATCAGGTGATCCGGTAAATAGTATGATGGTCACAGCCTCCTACACAGAATTTTCAAAGATTAAAAAAAAAAAAGATAAAATCCTCCCTATCTTACGTAGAATGATATCCTGAATTCAAAAATGCAAAAAATATAGGTTGCCCTATTCAAAATTCCGCTCAAACCGAAAGTGCTAAGCACCATTGACTACATATTGTCAAAAAATTGGATATTCAGCCTATATTAACTCTTCCAAATTCCAAATCGCTATCTCAAGCCGTTTAAAGGTTATAGAGTGTTTCCATTTTCCTGTGTCACCGGTACAGTGAATGTGCCAACTCGTTGGACATGTTAACAACTCTGCGAATGTCAAATGCCTTTCATTTGGATTAGTAAGCGATAGTAAGATTGTGTAAGACTTTTGTGACTAGAAATTTTAAAATCCGAGCAAAATAATCTGCATCCTTGTCTAACAATGGAGAATTTTTCTTCCACTCAAATTAATACATTTATATCAGACAGTTCTGAAGTTCTAAATAAAATTTTAAAATATTTCATAATAACATATGCGATATAGGTAAAAACATCGATGAAATGAATGTAGTTCGAAATGTATCGAAACTAAACCTAAGCTTTGTTGACATTTAGACAAAGTAGTAACATTCACGGTTATAATTTGATATATAACGAGGGCTTTTATCAAAAATAAACTTAACTACGCTTGTTTTAGTGGATAGCGTTAAAAGCTTGTGGTGAGTTACGATGGAGGTAAGTTGTTTCATATCCTCTGTGTTTATAGTTTGCCATCACTTCAAATGCAAAACTTCATGTCATGAAAATTACTTAAATAACTGCCCAAAATGTGATGTAAGTATAATGCTGGGGGATATAAATATTAATTTCATGTATCAAGTCATGTATTGTGAAAAGTCATTTATTTGTTAAAACAAAGCAGAAGGTCTCAGGTATGACTGCATGTTTTACAGCAACAAGTACCAGATCACTGTCCCATTCTGTTCCAACATAGAACAAAAAAAGCAGTAAAAAATGTGGAACTACAAAGAATCAATCACTACGTTAATTATAGTACTCCAATACAAAGCTAAATAATTAAAAGTGGACAAACACACATAACTAGCCAGACCTCGAAAAATCTACCGACCTGTTCATTTTGCACTTAACGGACAATATTAGAGAATGTACTTTTTCCAAGATGTGATATTGCTAAAAAAATGGACTTTTAAAATCGATGGATATTAAAAATAAATTGTACCATGGAACTTTAAAAAAAAATAATGAGCATGATTTAAAACGGCATATAAAAACAAACTGCCCATTAATAAAGCAAAAAATGATATGCAATATATGCAAAGCAATATAAAACAAGGATGGCACGATAAAAAGAGAAAAAAAAAGATATTCCTAATGTACTCAATGATTATTTCAGAAGCATCGGTGAAGAACTAGCCAATGAAATACAAGAACCTCATATAACCTTTGCAAAAGAATACCGGCCGAACTCTATATACCTCCATGGCACCGATGACAGCGACATCAGAGGCACAGTACTAAATCTAAAATCCAAAAAATCTCCTGGACTTGACGGCATATGGGCGAAAACACTCAAAAAAAAATAAAAAACAGGATTGTCAGCTATCTCGAAAAATTTCAAAGCGTACACCACCATCAATTTGAGTTCCAGAACGGTAAATCCACGTACTACACTGACAGAAAAAATCTGTAAATTATCAGATAGAAATCTTAAATCATTCTGTATTTATTTAGATATTAAGAAAGCATTCGATAGCGTAAATCACAAGAAGTGGATTGATGTTTTGGAGGGTATAGGATTTAGGGGAGGAGCCTTAAAACTAATGCCAAGTTATCTCAATGACCGAACGCAATCTGTCACCCCGGATAGTTGTGAAAGATTGAATATGAACTTCCACAGGGGACTGTCTTGGGTTCAATTCTCTTTGTTTTGTAAATTAACGATATGTTTCTTGTAAACCCAAATGGGAATATTTAGAGTTTTGCAAATGACACCGCGATTTTCTACACTGAGGCATCATGGGCTGTGCTCAAAATCAACGTCGAAAATGACTTAAAATTGTTGTACAATTACTTTCTTTTAAAGGGCTAACTTTAAACTTTTCAAAAACTATTTTCCTCCCATTCTAATGAGATCCTTGCCAAGTTTCACAAAACTTCGAATCGAGAATAAACTGACTGAGTTCATCGATATAGTTTCCTCCGATTATGTTAAATACCTCGAAATCTACATGGACACGCACATCACTTGGAAATATAACACTGATATACACCAACAAGAAGATTTAAAAAATAGTTATTCTATCATTACAACTCATTAAGTTTTTAGTTAAGATCCATATAGTTTGTTCTGATTTTTGCACTGCACCGCATACATAAAACTTATAATTTGTATGTATTTATTTTAATTTAATGTAAAAAATAAACAAATTTTCCAGATTTTGTGAAATTCCGGACAACCAAAAATGAAACTAAAATTCGTCGACTGTCGCACACCCTGTATCATGTCCTTTATTGATTTAAAAAGTATTAATTAATTATTTACATGGTCGTTTGGAAGAAAAAAGAGGCACCATTTTTCGGCTGTTACTTCAAAGTGCGACTCGAACACCCGGTGATCTCATCCTAATCAAGTACCTACTTACCGCGAAACCATTGTTCAAATCGATCGAAACCAATTAGCGTATTGAAAAAAAGTCTCATCACCGTATGATTATATAGTTTCACCTTTGACCGCCGATACGAGCGCCAGGGCGATGCCGGTATTTCCGGACGACGCTTCTATGACCGTCATGCCCGGCTTCAAGATTCCCTGCCGCTCGCTGTCTTCGAATATCCTTCGGACCACCCGGTCCTTGACCGATCCACCAGGACTCAGGAACTCGCATTTGGCGTCTGTCGAAATCAAAGAACGAAGAATGCTCAAATCTTTGGGGAAAATCATCCAGCTAAGAACAATGTTGAGCAAAAAATTTGTAAATATTGTGTGTTTTTCAATAAAAATGAATCAAAATAATCCTGTCGACGATTATATTCCATTTACAAATAGTACGGAGTACTAGAACGGAGGATTTCTTTCAGTACGGCCTCTTTTAAGGTTCGCCCATACGCGCAGATCAACTTAGAAATGATATAAATTTGGACTTACGAAAAAGCATGGGCATCTATAGTGTCAACTGTAATAACAGTTAGTGAACAAGTCATTATTTTAGATGCACATGATTGATGAAACAAATGAAAGATGTTGCAGAATTATTGCAGGATGGAAAGGCAGCAGGTCAAGTCCAGTAAAAACAGCAGTTATTTTATTTGAGATCAGTTCCTTTTGTTCCAACTTCTGGTGTGCGTCAAGGTTCTAGCCTTGGACCACTTCTGTTCAATATATGTATAAACGATCTTATAGCTTTGATCATCTGCTACAAGCTTGCCTATGCGGATGACCTAAAACTATATCAATGCATTAAAACCGGCACGGACTGCATGAATCTCTAATATTGTCAGTCAGTGGTGCACTAAAAATAAATTGCATGTTAACATCAGCAAGTGTACCACCGCACAAAAATTTCTAGTCTTTAATTACAATATGGATGGCACTATCATGACTAGACGTGCCGCTGTAAAAGATCTGGGGCTTTTATTTGACCAGACGTACGTAGACAAATTTTAGGATGCTTAATAAGAAATTGCAGGCATTTTTGTAGCTCAGCTACTGTTAAATTGTTATTTAACTGTTACGTTAGGTCCAAGCTTGACTATGGCTCGCTGGTATGGTGACCAATATATAAACGTCAGGCTCAGTCTATTGAGAATGTGCAGAGAAGGTTATTGATGTATCTAATGTTCAGGGACGATGTCAATCATCTTTCAAACCGCAGCTACCCAGGTCCAATATCCATTTTCAAAATCCTATTTACAACATGTGTGTTACCTTCAACAAAGTATTATCACACTGCGATTTATATTATGATGGTCTCCAGGCGATACTTCGGCAACTTCGATTGGCGTCGCGTTATCCGTACTGACAAGTCTTATTTTGTTTTTCCTTCTTTCCTTCTTTTTTTGTTTTTGATTTAAAATAAGTTTTTGATTATATTTATTATGATTTATATTTAATATTTCCTGTAATTGGGTCATGTTACCTGTTGGAAATAAAGTGCTATTATTATTATTATTTGTTTAATCTTTCAGAAGATGCTTCTTCTTCTTTGACTGCCTATCCATAGTCCATATTGTAGTATATAGCAGAATAGAACCTTGTCGGAAGCCTCTTCTAATTTAATTATTTTCTGGGGTATGTCCGTGAAATTTTTTCTGTTTAACACCATCGAAGGCATTTTAGCAATCCATATAATATAAAAAAAATCTTTGTTGAAGTCACGACAATTCTGTATTATAACTTTGATTCCAAATAATGCTTCACGTGTACCCATTTCATATTTGAAATTAAATTGGAGCTCATGTTTTGTTCACATTTATTGTATGCAATATTTTCAAGAATGGTTGGAAAGGTTTCTTAGTCTGTGTCCATTACATCTTTTTGCATATTTGGTTGCGGAATTGTTAGGGAAAGAAACCGGTATCGCATATCTTATTAAATATTGTTTGTAGTAATACAATATTGTCATCATTTAATTCAAGTATTCCTGCAGGTACTTTATTAGGTCCAACGGTTTTGTTAAATTTTTTGTTTCTAATTATTGCTTTTGATCGATTCTGATTTTATTTGAATTAATTCTTAAAGTAATTACGGGCCTAGACCTGCATGCTGTACACTCTCGCTGCTTCGTTTATTTTTTTCTGTTCTGCAAGTGGTTTCGTGTCAATTTTGCAATCGTTAATTTTTATCGCACTCTTTTTCTAACCGTTTTGCCTTTTAATATTGAGTGTCAGTCCTACGACGTTACGGCATTCTTATATTATTCTATATATAATAAAGGATACACCTTATCATTTTTGTAATTCCCGTTTCTTGATATAACCCATACTAAAACGTGTAGAATAATTTTATTATCATCTATCTATAATTTTATTCTCCACAATTTAGTAAAATATATTATACATATGTTAAAACCAAATTCCTGGTTAGATAAAAAGAGATAAAAGTCAATGGCAACTGTTGAATTCGTGTAAATTGCAGTCGCTCAGTTCAACGAGGTTTTATTGCTTCACGTCATTTTGAAATTGAATATAGCACTAACAACAGTTGAGAGATTCGCGTTTCCCGGCGGCCAAACCCGATTTCGGACCAAACTGGTTTATCTGTTAGAAAAAACGGAGAAAAACTAATAAATTCTGTTTTCATATTTAATTTTTAGTAGATTAAACCCACTTTTTCTTCAGTTTGCGTTAGGAGTTTCACGATTTATGAATAATATTATCAAATTCAATATTCTATTGAATGCTCTGTATGATGTATATGTTTTACTCATTCCATACCTAGTAGCAATTTTATACGGACTTAACACAGACTTACAAATGTTGCATTTTAATCCTGCCTGTCTGGGGATTTTATCCAGTTTTATGAGGGGCGTGTTCCCGAACGCGGACAAAACGTCTGGAAAGACTTTGACCTCCGGTTTTTTCCTGAAACGCAACCGTGTTACATGAAGCGCTAATGAAAATTAATGGATGCGCGCATGAAACGCACAATGGATTTTATCGGCACATACCAGTCGTGTTTGCTGTGGGGAGAAGATACGTTTTTCCCCAAATTCTCCCTCCAAGTGCACCTGTGTTCTGTGGAAATGGTGAATTTTTCGTTCATCGGGGATACGTGAACGTACTCGTTCGGAAAAGACATTTTGCGCGTTTCGCTCGGACCGGATACCCACCTCGACGACTAAGCACAATTTGTTTGATGTCGGGAATAAAAAATATTCGGTTAATGGATTTTCGTAATCTCTCACTCCATTTATCGGCCTCGATAGTAATCTTTATTGTCAATCTAATTGATTGTTGAGAATGGAAAAATAAACAATTCGCCGCTTTAAAAGGAACCGTCCCCGTTGATTTTTTTGATTTTAATCGTCATCGTAGTGCGCGAAATCAAACCCATAAACACCATAAATGTTGTTGTTATGGATTCGTGTATTTCTCATTTTTATTTAAGACACAATCAAACCTTCGTACAAACTTCAATAAAATGACGAATGGAGGGGGCGCGGATGAATGGGAATCGAAATGAATCAGGCGTCATAAATTTTAGCGAGATTTTGTCACTTCCCACGCTTCATCTCACTGCTTCTAAGAAACTTCCGTCTTTCCAAGAGGAAAATTTTTTAATTTTTATTTTTTATTTAATATTGTACGTTTTCACTGGTGGATGCAAGTAAATTCTCTTCACCAAATTTCATTTAAAAACGTTTCAGCTCTTTTTCTCTATTTAACTTTCGCTTTCATAATTCAAAATATAAACATAAGTTTACATAAATTTACGTGCTGATGCTGCAGATATTACAGCTCTCATGGGAATATAACTCATATCTATTTTTGGGTCAATAAAGATGATTTATTCATTTAGTTTTATGTATTCTTTTATCACTAATATTCCTACCACTATGGTTATTTTATATTAAAACCGAATTTAATTTAGTTAAAAATTAATAAAATTGAAAAAACTTCCACAGGCTACTGTAATACTATTTATAAATTCTCTGGATGCCTCCTGAGTCGGTTTTTGTTGAACTTGCTGAGGTTTCGTCAATCATCCTGTTGGCGTCTTCAGAACAGAAGATTTGTAAATAATAAAACAAATCTTTTTGTACAATTGTATTTAGGATTTTATAAATTTATCACATTTTCTATCATTTTTACTCAAGGCAACGGACTAATTTTTAAAGTATAAAGTTCTTTTAGTTTTTCGAACTGGAAGACTTTTAAGATTCTGTAATACACATTTAAAAATTTAAAGAATTTTGTGTATAATGTGTTGCCGATCCAATTTGTATTTCTGGCGACGTGTTAATTTTTTTCCTACATGACATCACCGTAAATTTAACGTAAAAACCCTACAATATCCGAGTTCCAAATTACTGGGAAATTATTTGCACCGGCCGAAACGACGATTCAAGTGAAAGTGACAAACTTAATCAGGCTTCTATCGGCGATTTGGTAGCCGCGCGTAGCTAAAATTAGACCTGCCTGCCACGATGTGTGTGTGTTTAAAGGTTCTCTAATCTAACGCTCGAGAGATAAAAAAATGCGATTCCACAAAACGCGTCTCATTTAGGTGCGACCTGATTACGTTTAGGCAATGGAAACCGGTCAACCAAAATCTAAATTTGTCTGTTACTTCTGCCAACGCACCATCGAAAATGAAACGGAAGTGGTGAGTCGTGTCGCGATTTTTTTTTTTAGGGGGGCTCGGAATTGACTATTCCGAAGATCCATGCGACCCTAGCGGCTAAAGTGAGAACTGGGGAAGGCAGGTAATCAGTCCAATCGCCGCGTTATGATCATTGTATGTATTTCGGTGTTTCCTTTTCATGGACTAAGACTGGTTCTTAGCAATTAACACTGTTCATTACAGAAAATCTTAGTTAAAATGTGAAATAAATCGAAACCAAGCATAATATCAATTGTTCTGTTTACAGATTTCATTCAAAAAAGGGGAACAATATAATTATTCACTTTCACCCCTTTTTACCAAAAATTGCTCAATACAAGTGAATACTCTTATGGGACAAGGTAAGCAAGTTGACAGACGAAAAAACATGGGTAAAACTATTGTTTATAGCAAACCAAGTCACTAAATTGACAGATATTAATCAGTTTTCGGCTATAATCACCTGTTATCTGAATTTTCTTATATGGATAACTACATAAATATCACTGTTGTCAATCAAAATCACTACTTTCTGTACAAACTAATTAAATTACTCTTATCTTAGTCTATTTTAGTCAAGTTTCAATAAAAATCGGTCTCTCCATCGATGCCCTGATGAATTTTTTGTCTTTCAAAAGTCGATTAAAATTCTAGCGGGCAGTCGTCCAAATGTTACCTGCTTTCCACCATATTTGTTTGCATTCATAGCGCCCCCCCCCCCCAATTCGGTTCATAAAATCGCGATTTTTTTTAAATCGCAGGGTCACGCATCTGTGTGCTCGAATGTGCTCGTGCCTTGCCCTCGCAAATGTGGCTCGTACGTGTCAAGGGCCAACCTGCCCAAACACCAATACGAATGCGTCAATCAAAAGACAGCTACGCCGAAAACATCGCCTTCAAACCATCGCGGTTATCCTGCGAAGCACAGCGAGACTAATTCGCTAGGTAAGACTAGTAATGGCCAAAAATAAGGATATAATAAGTCATGTGTTTATATCTCCACTTTTGAATCCACTTGAATCCTTCTCTTTGGCTCTTTCATAACCCACTTTAGAGCCAGAACCCACTATAAAGTTGATTGTGGCTCTGGATAGTTACTATACAAATTTTGAGTTTTTTGTGATGGCGTACTACTTGAACAGAGAATATCGGATTGTTAATAACACAGATTGGTTCAATACACAGACTACATAATAAGATGCAAAGTATCCAAGACTAACTATAACCAGTGTCAGACAGAACCGCGGTAATGACAAAAACCGTCTTCCAAGAAGAACTCGCTCGCCTTTCTAAACGCGTCCAGGACCTGGAGACGCGTCGCCAACAGTCCTCTATCCGCAGCAGTCAACAATTCACCACGCTCGCTGGTCATCTGGACACTTTGAAAACCGTCCTTACCCAACACACTTCGGCCATCGAGAAAATCAACCACTTCCATGGATTCCACGACGACTGGCGGAGGAACCTCGAGAACCGACTGGAAAAGCTAGCATCGACCGCACTCGATCTGGAGCAACTGCGCGGCGAAATCGACTCTAAATTGCCCCAATTGCAGAACTTGAACGACGCGTTTCACCATTTCAAAGAAGCGACGTTGTCGGATCGCGGGCGATCGCAAAGTGTCGCGATGGACTTCGCGCGCAACATCGAAGATCTGCGCGGGTTGATCGAGCGACAAGCGTCTGACGTTTCGGCGCTTTGGAGCGAACATCTTCAGACAACGTCCGTGTTGCGTGGCGACGTCGACGAACAGAGGGCGAAGCACACCAGTTTAGTATTCGATCTGAGATCGGTCAGTCACATAGCCTCCGAGGCGGCTGAAAAAGTCGAACTTCTTGAGCGCGACTTCGGGGAGATGAAGCACGACGTGGAGCAGCTAAAAGTCGACGTTGCCGTGATGGAGGGGCTGGGGAGCGGGGCGGATGAGACGTGGGGCAGCGTGTTGTGGAAGATCTCTGATTTTGATTCAAAACTGAAGGCGGCCAAGGACAGCGGCGTCGTGTTGAAGAGTGTCCCGTTCTACACCCACCGATACGGATACAGGATCAGGGTGGGTTTTATGAAAAAAAATTGACGAAAAAAAAAAGAATAAAGTTGGGGGGCCGATTATGATGGCCGCCCAGGCCAGGTCAATGGGAAAATGAAGATTTTACGTTTCCAGCTACTACTCTATTTAAACGGTCTGAATAAGTGGAGAGACAGATACGCCCTGGCCTGCATTCATGTCCTCAAAGGGGATTACGACATGTTGCTACCCTGGCCGTGCTCCATAGAGGGCAGCATGATCTTGAGGGACTTGGAAAATGTGTCTAAGGTAAGCGCTGCGCTTTCATAGGCTTTATTTTAATTACCCCCAAGTTGTTATCTTCAATTTTTTCGATGACATCGCAAGAATGTGTATCATACACCAAATATAGCAACGCTCGTTTGAGACTTGTTCGCGGTCGCGTGACGTCATTAGAGATTAGAACATCGCAATTGATTATTAGCTATAAGCCATAGCCTTTCAGTGAAGATATCAAGTTGTTATTATGTCGCAGCCGAAGTCATTTTCCAAATATATCAAGGCCAAAAGGAACTGCGGCGACGAAGAGGCTGAAGAACCGCAAGAGTCATCGAGCACGTACATTTTCATCCCACATAGTGTCTTGCTCAAGGGGACTTACCTTAAAAACGACACGGTGTTCGTCGAAGTGAGAATCAATCCCTTCGAAAAACAGGAAACCAGCCTCTGATTGAATACCTCGAGACTTACATACACTTATTTATTGTAAATTTTCCCTCACTAGTCAGAGGGACGAAATAAAATAACTTTATAAATTAGCGACTTTTTGTTGTTTTTAACCGGTGCCCGTAATCTGTACTGTTTAAAACAAAACAAATTTTTACAAATTATAGATTAATTGTAATTAACTAAACATATATGCATATAGCTTTTAATTTTATCAAGCATGTGTAGCTTAAAATTAAGGCTAGAACTAGCCAGAAAGAACTGGGTCGGCCGACTTTCGAAAACATTTGGCTACCAATTACAACATACAATAGACCTCTATATCGCGTTCTTAAAAAAAAACTTGTCGACTAATGAACACTAATTGGTACGCAGGGCGATAACAATATCGCAAGTTGTCATTGTTCGTCGCTTCGTGAGCCCGTGACACTTTTTTTTACGTGCCAACAACAAAAAAGTATGAAATTCGTTTACGGGTCTATCCTTTTGATATGGCTGCTGACTGCAACGGAGTCGGCTTTTTCCCTGAAAATCAATTACCTTAGGTTCCTGAAGGTGAGAGCTTTCCGGATCATTGACGACTCGGTCGGCAAGAACGAGTGCGCAAACAACCTGAAGAGCTTCGTCGCTGACCTGGCCAAGTTTAAGAACTCCTGGGCCCTGAAGAGTAAGACTTTGCCGTAGGCGCCATATTTTTTTCGAACATTTGCATAAGTGCATATAATTTTTTTCAAAGAACCTAAAATTTCACACGTCCTGTGGGGAGAGGGAGTTCGAAAACTTTTTATTTGATTCTTGATATTTTTTAATGCATTTTAAGTGATATTCTAGAAAGTTTGCTTTAATGCTTCGCTAGACCTGGTTAGTTTTGGTGTGATAGCACTTCGATAGTCGCCATCCAGCATCGTTTCAGTGCTGGACGCGTCGGCCAAACCTCAAACGGGTCTGCTGACAGGTAACATCTACCAGTTTGGTAACTTCGACGAGTGCATAGCCATCAAAGCGGATCGAGGCAAATATGGGACCATTGCGGGTCAATACTGTACCGTCTTTCTAGTCCCCAGTCAAAACTACAGCGCTGATTATAGCCGCTTCTTAAACATAACAACGGTAAGTCGACATAAACCAAAAAATCGCAATGTCTAATCGATTTAGACATTCATTTTAGAATGCGATCGATATTAAGCACTTCTTATGAAACTTCAACCTTATGTCACTTTATTGGTTATTAACGGGTTATAACCAATTTTTTCAAAAGTTATTTTGATTTCCATATTCTGAGTTGTTGCACGTTCTTTTTTGTTGACGTTACGTTAAAAGGAGTTTCTGGGTTTCTTTAGTTATTTAAAACAGAAAATTGTTTTTATCGCAATGAAAAATGTGTTTCATAAAATTTTAAAACCTTATAAGAAATATTATTTTGCGCGATATTTACGCCGCCCGCAGCTACACCGAGTCGTCATTGTCGTCAAGCTGCTAACGCTTTCCAATACTTCTGCATTTTCGAAAAATCGAGAAGGAAACTCTACTACAAAAATTTACTTTGAAACCACTGACTCAAATATGTAACGACCATAGAAACGACTTCTCTTCTGGTATGACGTAATTACACGTTATTTAAGTAAAAAATATTTTTTAGAATAAGCAATAGTCAATTAAATAAAATATAAATTAAAATATATAATAATAATAATTTATAATATTAAAACAAGTCCAATGAAATAAAAGCGCATCCAAATTTTTTTAAATTCGTAACTCACAATAATTGCTATGTTCGAAACATATCGAACATAATTGATAAAGTAAAACGACGCTAAAATAAGAGGTGCGAAATCATCATTATCAAGTCAACAAAATTAAACCCTTCTTTATTATATTATGTGAAGATATGTAATAACTGTGCCCGCCTACCATACCTACATTCGTTTAGTTTTTTCCATTGAAATATTGGCGGCTCTGCAATTTTGATAAGACTACTTCTTCTTGAAGCTGACGACATGGAGCGTCGGCAAGCAACCGAAAGGCTACCAATACACAAAAATTCTGAAAAACATCAAGTCCAACTACGGCATCTGCATACCGAAGTCCTGCAATGCGGAGTCGCTGCAGGAGATCTGGGACCACTTGGAGCGTTTATTCAAGCTGCCCGCCCACGCGACCTTCAACAACGATCTCTGCACCTACAAGGGCAAAGTCGCTCTGACGTATCCGTTTGATGGTTACATTTTGTACGTTTTATAGAGGGCGTTTAACATGTGCGTTAAATGAATCTCATTTTTAATTTTCCTATTTACTCATTATTCTAAATCAATTAAAAATGTGTAATGACCTATTCTTGTTTGTCTTAGCTTGTTTTTCGCCGTGATAGCTTCTCTGATTCTACTCAGCACCATGTACGACCTCCTGGTGCATCAATACCTAGACGGTAAACACTACAAAGTGGCATCGCTGACTCCTATAAACCTATACTCTCATTCCAGACCCCGGAATCAATGTATGGGTTAGTTTCTCCGTCTACACTAACCTCAAAAACCTGCTGCGAGTGTCGGATCCGCCTTCACATGATTTACTGTCCTGCGTCGCGGGTCTCAAGGTCATCAGCATGCTCTGGGTAGTTCTCGGCCACCGTTACATCTTCAGCGTACTTGTGGGCAACGTCAACGCCAATGAGATATTTCTAGTAAGCCACCGATTGGTTCGTCCGATAAATAACGTACCCATCTGATTTTTTTTTGTATTTTATAATTTCGGAAAATACCGGGTGTTTCAAAAAACGTTCCGCTAATTTTTACGGTAAATATAATATTAAAAAATAATATTAGTTTGGTAAATGTGGGATATATCTTCGGGACTAGCGAGAGTCAAATCAGCGTCATGTCGAGTGTTTTTGTGTGATTTTAACTAGTTCAAGTGGTTAATATTTAATTGCATACCAACCTTTCAGTGAAAGAAAGACGTATATTGTGAGCTAATTAGTTTTTGTGTAAATCAAATAACCAGGCCAATTAGCGAATTAAAAGTTCAGCAAAACTCCTTTAAGATTCCTTGGATTTTTTGGAGGGAAAATTGATGACTTTATCGCACAAATGGAAACTATTAAAAAGAGGTCCCAGGATATAAATAACCTAAAGGAGGAAGTTTTATCAGTTAAAAGTTAATGTAGCTTTCTGAGATCAGAACTGGAGGGGATGCAGCAACAGGATAGAAATGTTAATTTGGAAATATACGGGGTTCCTTTCTGTAAGCGCATTCAACGTTTGCCAAGAAAAAAAAATACAACTATTTCTGAAAATAGTTTTCCGATTTCCGATAGGTCAGAGATGAAGTGGTTAAAATGGTGGTGATTTTTTGATAGTGGTATTTATCTCTGGGTGTGTTTGACGCTGGAGGGCCCTATTTTTACGAATTTTGATTCGCTGGTAATTATTTACTCTGGAAAAGAACAATTTTCTTGGTCTTTTAGATTTTTGTCTATAATTGGAAAACCCGGCATATATCGAAAAAATGACTGAAATAAATGTTAGAGCGCTGGATCTTCACCGTCTTCAAAATTTTTTTAAAAATACTTTGGTAAATTTGAAATCGACATCTGCAAATTTAGGACACTTATACAAAAGTGTTAGTTATACGGGCTATATCGTCATGCAAAAGAAACTAAGATCTGAAACACAGTCTTTTAGTTATAGCCAATTTTCACTATTAGGGGTACCCATTTTTCAGTTTTTTTGAACATACGGCCCACCCTGTATATTGTTGAAAAATCAAGAATAAAAGTTTTCGGAAGTTATCGTCGAAAAACCCGGGAACAGAGAACGGAGAACGGACAAACATTCTTTTTTTTTGACTATGATCATTTCGGTACCAATTGGGGTCCAGTGGGACCTACCGTTACCGAGATTTCGAGTTTAGTGAAAATCGATGAAATCGATTCTTTTCGAAAGTAACAAGTATGGTGGCAAAACCCTGCTTTAGCGTACAAAATATTAAAACACACGTTTAGTAACCTAACGAATGTTATTTTTTAATATTCTATTTACCTTCCACATTACCGGGATGTTTCTTGAAACACCGTCCTTTTTAATACGCCGACACAACTTAAATGTGACGTTGCAGTGGAACTCCAGGGTGGCGTCCACTTTGATTCTCGCTGCGCCTTTTTCCGTAGACACTTTCTTGCTTCTGAGCGGCCTCCTCCTCTGTCGAGGGTACCTGAAGAGCGTCGCAGCATCGGGACGCGTCTCATATGTAGCGTTTTACGCTCATAGACTGCTAAGGTACACGATATAACGTATGCTTGGCGAGTAAGTTGATAATTAAGTCAACTTTACCTTCATTCACACGCACATAGGAGAATAACAGGGATGCACCCATGACATAGTAGCGGGAGCGGGTAAATGATAGTAATGTTCACAGTTACATTTGTCTTCATTAAAATGTCAAGCTTTCGCCTGGGTTTGCAGGCGATTAATGTGGTCCACAGGTGTAAAACGAAGACTAAGCACAAACATTCCGCGAGGTCGTACATTGATATTAACATAGATTATAATTTTCTAACGGCACATCTTAACGCCGCTTGATAGTTATGCCTTGCTACAAACGCTTTTATACTCCGACACACGATAAATGGTCATGACTGTAACAATGAAATTATTTGCTCCTAGGCATTACTGAGCCAATAAATTAAACCGGTCCAGGGTGGTAGTGCGAAAATTGAAACACGAAATATAATATATTATTTATTTTTATTCGGTTTCGACGAAGATATCTTACAAACATATATAACTATTGGGGCGGCATCCAACATAGTTGCTCTCATGCAACCCCCTAAAACGAGTATATGACACAATTTATAAAATAAAAATATAGCATATAAATTATATATATAATGGTAGACACTGCTACAGTGAATTCAAAAAAGAAATACATATATACAATTTGATAGTTACTAGTTTCATGATCGGTTTTTATTTGATTGAAGTTAGTGAGGTGATTGATCTCAGTTGGAGAGGGAGTAAGCCTTGATAGCATTGTACATGAAACTGCGCTGAAACTGTGCTGAAGTATGTTTGTCAAAAAAATACGTCGGACGTTGGAGAGATATTACTTTTTTAATTAAGACTAAAAGCTGCGACTTAAAACGTTCGTCTAATGTTAGCCAGCGAGAATCCTCTAGGCTAGTAGATATATGATCAAATTTACGAATATTGTATGAGAATCTGAGACAGGCATTCTGAAGACGCTGAAGACTAACCTTGTCCTTTTGAAGTAGAGCAGGCCAGTAAACTAACATACAGTATGAAATTGTGGAGAGAATTAAGGAAGCGGTAAGTTTTAACTTAATTGCTGTGTCCAGAATATCTTTATTACAGTAGAGAATCCGAAGCTTGTAAAACGATTTCTGGATCAATATATAAATACGTTTTGCTGTATTACATACTGTATAATTATATAATGAAATTAGTAGTAAGACAAGTTTTTTTTGTAATTACTTTCCACGTCATGTACATGATTAACACATTTTATTTTTATAGTTTATATTATTGCGTCTAACTTTGTTTATTGATTCGGCCGATATCATTTCTATAGGATTCAAATCGCAGTGATAAGGGGTATATTATCGGATTTTTTACGATCTCATATATGAAACAAATCTTATCATAAGATTTGGTTCTTAAAACTTCAAGCAGTTGTTTTCTTGTATAAGTGTCGTCAAAATAAAGGTCGCACAGACTAACCAACTCTTGCTGCTATTCGTTGGCCCTTTTTTAGGTAAAGTGATGTGATAACTACCATTATTATAAACTACTACGCTGCCTGGGGGGATATTTGCAAGAAAAGAATTTTTAGTTTTTACAAAACTTCTGGATTCCTCCCTCCTGCGTCGAAACTGTTTCAGCAAGCCTTGAAGAAGCCAACAGGATGATTGGCGAAACATCAGCAAAAAACAATTTCCAGCAGTTCCTTTTTAGGGCATGTTTTTCGAGAATGACAATAACAGACTTTCAAACCATTATATTGTCCAAGGTAGGTATGAAAACCACTCAAAAAAAAACAGCCCAGCAGTATGATAAAGATAATCACTCTTACTCAACTTAATAATGAATAAAATTATAGGACAAATAAAAAAGTTAGGTCACGGACACGGGTTCGGGAGAAAACAAATAAAAATCCTGTGTTATACAGACGATACAATCTTGATCTCAGATAATGAAGACGAACTACAGCGTTTGTGGGAGGAAACCTACAAAACCTACAATATGCAGACAATGCAAAATCGAAATAAATGATGAAATAATCGAACAAGTTTCTAGGTTATATTTTTGATAATAATTTCCAATTACAATATCTACGAATAGAAATATCCAGCTACGGAATCCAACAGGCAATTTCCAACAATCTATGAGTCAGGTTGTCTAAGAGATGGTATTTGGAGACACCAAGAATGAGATTGGATTGGAAAGCTCCTGTAAATCATAAAGTCATGTTAAGTGCGATACAACATATTCATTAGAAACAAGAGCCCATACAGTAGCAACAAAAAGGATACTTGGAACAACAGAAATAAAGACATTAAAATCAATAGCGTGGAAAACATTAAGAGATATAATCCCGAACAATCAAAAAAGAGACCTATGTAAGGTGTAGGATATCGTACGGCGGGGAAGACAGAGGAGATGGGTGTGGATCCAGCATGTAACACGAACAAGTTTATCATTTTTCTGATTCCAGAATTCCTTTTTACCCGTGGTTAGAATTTCAGACGTTATTTTATCCAAGGTAGACCTTTATTTTTTTAAATAAAATGATTGTATCATTCTTCAGATGACAGTCTTTACATCTTCATTTATTACGGTTTCTATTTTTTTCTGTACTTCTCTTTGGGTGGCCTGATGTGGCCTCATTTATCCTGATCCAGTCCAGTCGGTATATTCTTGACTTCAGTTGAACATATTTTCAACAATTTTTTGAAACTCCGAATATGGAGTTTTGCCGGGTTTGAAAAGTTTTCAAAACATTGAGAATGATAATTTTCTCGTTTTTACAAAATGCAGTTTTACTAATCCGTTTCTGAGCAACAAATTCTGTTCAGTTGACATATTACATATTAATGGTTAGTGGTGTAGTATTGTACGTACCTATGATGATTGTCAAGGGCTCCGAGACTGGCAAGTAGACGGATAAGTAGAGTTTTCAATTAGAACCTTCCGGAAGTTCATTCTTAATAATGAAAAAACGAAAAATTATTATTCTCAATGTGTTCCAAATCCTTCGTCACCAAAACTCAACATTCGGAGCAAAAATAGTCAAATTGTGTGCGAATATGACCAGAGTTGGACAGTCAGCAATATACCGACTTGTAGTACGAGAATAAATTTTACCCCAGATATTATGAAACAGTTTTTTAATAATTGCAGGAGCCATTTGTTGTCACAAACTATACCCTAGATTTTTGAATACAGAGGCATCAGAAAAATGATATAAGCAGTTTCACAAAACATTTGTGCGGTTTCATAAAAAATATACAAAATTTAACTTAGTCTCGATTCATTCTTTTTGTCCAATAGTAGAGTTTTCCAATTTTACAACTTGCCACAAATCCATATAATTAAAGTTGTAGTTAGTTCTGCAAAATAGTACTTGAAAACAGTTTTGATTGCGGATGGCTATGGCTGGTCCACACAAACCAATTTCCTGCAAAAAAGTTGTTACATGGTTGTTTAAAACATACAGTAATTTCAAATTTACTTTTTCACCTTCTCTCCAAAGATCTGCATAACAATACAGAATCCACACTAAATCGGTACCTCAAATAACTTACAGTACTCAACTTAAGGTCTCGCAAGAGACGAATTTAAAAAAGTTTCATTGCCAGCTTGTGACAAATTCACATTACTTATATCAAGAATTATAGGAGATAAGTTGCCTAATCGAACCAACTGACTTAGTAAGTAGTAAGTAATAATTATTTAACAAATTCAAAATATGTGTAATAAAAATATTCATTTCGACTATCATACCTATCCAAAGTGCCCAATTTAGACCAACTGTGCTCTGTTTTTAACCGACTTTGTTGGTGAGAAAAAGATTAGTAAAACTGCGCTTTATAAAAATGAAAAAATAATATTCTCAATGTGTTCATAGCTTTTTGCCACCAAAACTGAACATACAGAGTTACAAAAATAATTAACTGTGTTCGACAATGACTGGAGTTGGATGGTCAACAATGTACCGACTTGAGGGAAGAGCGGGAAGAAGAATAGAAACTGTAACAGACTACTTTTTCTTAAAAATAATGTCTGAATGTCTGTTATAGTCATACAAAATGCCAGCTATGATTCAAGAAAATTACGAAAAATACTCGTATCTTCTTTTAAAAAAATGACATCGTTCACTGGCTTACTTTAAATAAAAGGATATTTTAGCAAGATGTAAATATAACGGTATTTCGGCTTTCGTCATATTACCATGGAATTGGTATGGGTGCAAGTAAAAGGGTTTTTAGCAAGGCATAACACTAATTTTAAACTGAGAGGACGTCGAAACCCTTATAAGAGGGAATAAGGACGGTGGATTGTGAAAAATGGAGTAAGTGAGTGGAATATGAATTGAAAAAGAAACATGAAAGTGGGAAGAATTTTTTAAAATAATAATATTTATTACAATCTATCTATTTTCATAGTATTCTTACTTCCGTATAAATTTTTATTTACTTGATCTTAGAATAATTAATATCCCTAATTATCTGCATATCTCTATAATTACAATAATGTATGTTTAATTATATTTTACTTTTCTAATAAACTACGTATAGTAACGCTGCTGTCACATTACTTGCATTCACCAAAGTCAATTGTATGCAAATTAGTGTGACCCTAATTTTGGTACGATTCGGGATGTGTGGGTCTTGATATGGAATTTTAAAAAACTACGACTGCAATTTATCTAAACTTTGCGATAATATATAATATAATATAAGTTGTCCACCCTGTTTAAAGATCCCTGTCATTGCAAATTAAAATTTTGTGAAAATGTCAATTGGAACCTAACTATACAGCTTACATTGTAGGTTATGGCCGGGTCTGATAGCCTGCGTCCTCTTCAACCTAGGAGTGATAAAGTATTTGAATGACGGGCCCTTTTGGGCGACCCTTATGCATAAAGCGGTAGGTACTTGTAGGGCCACTTGGTGGGGTACCACATTTTTTGTCACCAACTTGCTCAGCTACCCGTATCACGTAAGCTACCTCGAAACGCGTCTGCTACACGTCTCGACGTACCTTCCTGACTGTTTCAGTGCATCGAGCACAGCTGGTACCTTGCGGTAGACATGCAGCTCTATACCGCATCTCCGCTGATAATGGTCAACCTGTGCAAGTACCCAAAAGCGACGGCGTTCGCCGCGCTTTGCGCCTGCGCGTTGTCCGCGGTCTACAACTTCGTGACAACGATGAAGTACCAACTCGGGTGCGACGCGTTCGAGTAAGCAGCTAAGGAGGAAACCAAATAGAGCCAATATTTTTCAATTTTTAACAGCTTCGATATCGTCTACTTCGATTACATCTATCAGCCCACATACGCCCGCCTCTGTCCTTGGGTCTTCGGCGTTTTACTCGGTTACGTCCTCTTCAACGTCGAGCAAGTAAAAGTACCTAAAGGTCTGGCGATGTTGATGTGGACTTTGGCGTTCACCACGATATCCTACTTGATTTACGTCCACAATATAATCGAGAGCAGACCTTACGATGACGTAGCCGCGGCCATTTTCAATTCCTGCGCAAGGCCCGCGTGGTCCGTCGCCATCAGCGTTATCGTCTTCATGTGTGCGACGGGTAACGGAGGTAAAGCAAATCCAACGAAAAAAATACTGCTAAAATACCCATCCCACCAGAGGCTTAGTTAAACCGAATGAGGCGGATCTTAAATTGAGGATATCTCTAAGAGGAAAGGCGACTCCGAGGGACGTGTGGTGCATCACATATGCCCGTTTTTACTTTTCAGGCGTCGATTTCATTTTAGCCCGCACTTGTTAGGTGTGGCCTTCATTTACTCTCCGCCTCTATTTTGTTTGATCTGATCGCCTGTTGACATGATCGGTGTTTCGGTAGTACTATCGTCCACATCTAATTATTACCTTACTTATTGAGTCACTTCGGCGTTTCAGGATTGGTCCAGCGGTTCCTGTCCGCGAAAATATTCCGCTTCACTTCGAGGATTTCTTACAGCGTCTTCCTTGTACACATATTTGTCCTCATGTATATCTCGGGTGGTGTTAGAACGATATCGTACTTCAGCAACTTCACCGTAGTACGTATGCCTAGATTTTTCTAGAGAAACGGTATATTGAGGTTTCGCTAACTAACGAAAACTAATTAGTGAATCTGCAACCCACTCTGACGCCGAATCGATATTTTTTTCAGTAAAAATCATATTTTATGTTTAGGTTATTGAACTGGTAGTACATAGTACATTTTTATGGGAAAAAACAAAATCAACAATACCGTTTATGCATCGATTTCAATTAATTATGATAACATATGCTGGTTCCATACCTGCACATATGTGTTCTAATTTTAAATTTAATTTTAGTTTTGGTTAGTTTAACTCTGTCTAATGAATAAAATTATACGATTTTTGGTTACGCATTTAAAAAATTGTTGTTAAGATGTTAGTGAAAAGGTACAGTTCAATTTTATTATTTCTTGAAGCGATACTTGCCCACATTACACATTCTAAAGTGCAAATCATTAATAAGTAAATGTAAAACAGAGACGAGCCCAAAAATAAAATAGAAAGCATTGCAGTAAGTTTATGCGCGTGCCCAGGTCGACACCGGTCTATAAATGCTTGTTTAGATTCCTATTGTTAAAATTAATTTTTGGTTTCAAATAGAAGCTTGTGAGAAAATTTGTTTGTTAAGGAGTACTTTAGGAACACTTTAGATTGAATTGAATTGTTCCTGGTAAAAAAAAATTAATATATCTTTTGTTTGAAAATAGTGAATCCTCGGGTGTAAGTAACAAAAAGTAAAAGCAATGGCGAACTAATTGTGTGTAAATTTGTTGCGTAATCGTGGACTATTTTTTGCTGTTTAAATTTATGATAACAGCAATGTTCGTATCTCAGTTTGGACGCATTAAACAAATGGTCGCCAAATTTTGTTAACACTAATAATAAAAGAAATTATATTTGGGCTTTGAGTTTTTCATTAGCAATGTTCTTGCTAACAATTAATTGGAAATGCTTTGTAGTGCTAGTAGACAAAATAATAAGATCGCTGAAACAAGTTTGTTCATATTTGAGCTTATTAAACGCGGGGTTGCACGATTTACCAACCTAGCACCATGGCAAACCTCATTATCTGGCCTATCGCTATCAGTGGCACGAAAAGCAACATTTTTCAAGAATGGCAGACAAGAAATGGCAAATATTCTCTGAGGTCCTTTTATTAAATTAAATCTTTTCCGTAACACCTTCTATAAATTTGAGAATATATTCTTTGCAGATCTACCAATACTTCGGTGACCTTTTCTTCATCTTTGTCGCTGCGCTAGTATGGTACGCGGCGTTCGAAGCGCCATTTCTCGTGCTAGCGAAGATCGTGTTTACGAGTGGTAAGCGCGTCCACGTCCCGTGCGCGAACTTCCGACGTATCGAATTTTTAGGTGAGACGATGTCGCTCAACATAGCCGTTTCCGGTAGGAAGCTGACGAGACGCCAGAGGAGGAACAGAAATCTGACCGTGTGCATATTGAACGAAAAGAAGTTCTTGTAAAAAATGATAATGATTAAATTTGAACGATTAACTTTAGCGTTTTATTAAAAAGTTGATGGAAATTTAAACATACGCACTATACATCTCTACACTAACATCTCGTTATGTTCAGAAGCAGCTGGGGCAGAGACTTTTTAAGTAACAAAAACGACTATGGTTGTAGAGTTGTAGGCTGAGTACAACTGGGAGTTACGACCTCATTGCAAAAAAAACACGTGTTTGAAGAAAGCACGGATGAAAGTTAGCTCTAGAAAACGAAAGTACAGAGAACTTAATTTTACATTTTCCTTTGTTGTTTTTGTGGCTCGTTGCAATGCAATGATAAATATGTGAGGCGGAGTTTGTATAGTCTCTATGTAAAGCCGGTTCACTATTTACCTTGATTTTCTACAAAGAACAGGAGTAATTTCGATGCGTACAAGCGAAATCTAATCGGATAAACAATACGAAAGATAACGTTCATCCTAAGACAACAGTGGCGACCAGAAGTTCTGCCTCAGCGTAGCCGTTAGTAGAGGAAAAAAATGCGCACGAGATGGTTGGTACTAACGCTCTTGTTGGCGCCAATGTGCGAGGCGGCCGAAGGCGGCAGTTTTACGTCGCTCATACCGTTCGACTTGAGCGATTACGGGTTTATTCTGAACGAGATATTCAACGAGACAAACGCGTGCAACGAACAAATCAAAATTTATTTTGACGGGCTGGATAAAGGCCAGGACTGGGCCTGGAGAAGTAAGTAGTGCGAAATCTTGATATCGAAAGGGTCTTCTTGCTGTGTGCCATTTTCCTCAGTGCTCGATGCCACAGCGAAGCCCCAGACAGGTCTGGCGACCGGGAACGTCCTTCACATAGGAAATTACGACGAATGCCTCGTCGTCGACCACGTCCATAATGCATCCCTAAGGATAAGCGGAAAATACTGTACCGCGCCGTTTGATCAGAGTGTGTCAGCTTCGCAGGTTTGTCGTCCTATCCACCATAAACAAAACGCACAACCTATGTCATCAGATCGACGACATGTTGGGAAGGGACATGTCGAGGATCAGGACGTCGTTTGGCTTCTGCGTACCCCGCGCATGCGATTCGGCCGACCTCAACAAAGTCTTTGCCAATTTAGAGTCTCTGGTAATGTCGCCGTACCACCTCCATTTTTACGACGAGCTTTGCGCCAACGGCGATGATCAAAAGCTCACCACGTTGGATATTTTTGCAGTGTAAGAAACCCCCAGCGACGATATGCTTTGTGTCAGCTTAAGTTTCAATCGTAGTCAAACGGGGTTAATGCTAACGATGAAGCAATGTTCCAAGCAATGCCTGGGTAACGTTTGACGGAAGAAATGCCAACGGATTGAAAGTTTAGCTGGAACAGAGTATAGATAACAGTTGGTAAATTTGTTTCAGATCGGTATTCGGATTCATTTGTCTTTTGGCCGTTCTGAGCACTATATACGAATTACTGGTTTGCAAAGGTAAGTGTCCACTACTGAGGTAGACACTGCATGGCGTTGGTATATGAGTAAAACACTTTTAGAGCTACAAAATTTTAATTTTCCTGTATATTTTTCCACCTTATTATTTCTCTCCTCAATCGATGTTTCAGATCGGAAAACGCCAAACTTATTAGCCTCATTCTCATTATACGCCAACGCGAAAAGGCTATTTTCAACCGAAACGTCAAAAGAATCGTTGGGATGCCTCGGCGGCATCAAAGCGATCAGCCTGGCGTGGATTATACTAGGGCACAGGGCATTATACACCCTATACGTGCCTCTAGTAAACATGGCCGATATTCTGGTGGTGTTTCGTAGCATCTTTACAGCTGTGGTATTGACCGGAGGTCTGGCGGTCGATACTTTTTTCCTGATCAGCGGGTTGCTCGTAATTTACGTATTCTTGAACGCTCGAAGTCGAGACCCCAACGTTTCTTGGCTAGCATTTTACGTACACCGAATTTTGAGGTATAGTTTGATTAGAATTATACTCTTTTTTTATCTTTCCTGTTATTTTATAATAACAATATGGTAGTTAAATGTTTCATTTGAAATAAACTGTATTCGAGAGTCGTTTTCAGACTAACCCCCGCTTTAGCCGCGACGATTTTATTGTACTCGACCCTGCTAGACGATTTAGGATCAGGCCCGTACTGGTTCTTGGTTTACTATTTCTTCCAGAAAAAATGTGAGGACAACTGGTGGTCCACCTTAATGTACGTACAGAACTACGTCCACCCAACCGAAATGGTAAGTTGATAATCTGGTGTATTTTTTAATCTAGTTCTGATAATGTCCTCATTCAAGTGCGTCGGTCAAAGCTGGTACCTGGCGGTGGATACCCAACTCTTCTTCGCTTCGCCTGTGCTACTTGTGGCTATCACCAAGTGGCCGAAGACCACCGTGGGGAGCATACTTTTGACTGTTTGCGCCTCTTCCGCGTATACCTTCGAGGTCAGCTACGAGCGTAGCATTGGTCCGGCCTTTTTTGGGTAAATTTGAAATTTAGATTGATCCCCGGTTTTAGAAATTGGCCAAAGTTTTGTCTGTAATGCTAAGACAAGGATTTCCCGAGAGTAGGGATGTTAATGGCCGCCCCTTAAAGTACCTCGTTATAGTTGACCTATATACAGGGCGTCTCACAATCTCAATCTCGAAAAATGATCAAAAAGCCTCTAAAAGATACATTTCGCTTAAGTTTTCGAATAATATCATGATTTATTAGATTGTTTGCATTGTTCTCAGTATGACTGACGAAATGTTCGAGTTGATTTACACTCCGACCCACACCAGAGTGGCACCGTGGCTGATCGGTACGATCCTCGGTTACATCATTTATCATTGTAAAGGGAAACGGATTAAATTGAGAAAGGTAAAACGTTCTCGTTTTTTGGATGAAGTTTTTAAGAAATCTTCGGTAGGTCGTCGTGTGGTTCAGCTGGTGCCTGCTCGCGGCAACCTTCGCCGCCGTAGTCTATGTTCATCAGTATCTAGCAGATGACGAAACTGGCGAGCTGGTCTTCGAGGCGGCCCTCTTCAACTCCACTATCAGGGTGTTGTGGTCTCTAGCACTTAGCTTACTCATTTTGCTCTGCGTAACTGGATACGGAGGTACCTGTGATGACAACAGTTGACTTAAGTTGACCGGATCGTTTCTAGGAATCCTCAACGACATCCTCTCGTGTTCATACTTCAAGGTCTTAGCCAGGCTCACCTATAGCATGTATCTCGTCCAGATTATCGTCATCATATATTACGTGGGTCGTACCAGGGTACCGGCATACGGAGCCATCGTCACCATGGTACGTAGATATATTCCAAAGGGTTTCGATTAGAAAATATCAGCAGCAGAGTTATTCACTTGAAGTACTGGTATTACTTTGTGTTGCAGGTTCACCAATTTTGGGGAGACTATTGCCTCACCCTTTTGGTCTCGGTACCTTGGTCGTTGCTGTTCGAATCGCCTTTTATGCAGATAGGAAAGATCGTTCTAAGAAGAAGCTAGCGCCGACACGTTATAGTATACATGATGTCAAAGGAAGTTTTATGAGAGTGAAGTTGATAACAAAAGAAGTCATTTTTTATATACGCATAGACAAATAATAAATTGATGATAAAAAATGCTGAATATAACGGAGTGTTATGAAAAAAGGAGAAATTCCCTCTACAAAAACCATTGGGTTCGTTATACGAAGACACAAAATATTTAAAATAAATAAAAACTGCTTTTGTACATTCACCATATTTGTTCAATAATAAAAAGATTTACGAAAATAAGTGTGCACGATTTTATATTTTTGAAAATGTCACATTATATAAAAAATAGTAAACAGACGGCCCTTTAAAAAAAAAGGAAGTTAGGTCCCATTACTTACTGATGCGACCTCGTATACTTATTGTGAGAGCGGATCTACGCTATGCTAAAACTTATGTAAGGAGCGGTTATTAGCTTTTCGATAAGCCATGAAATTGAAAAAATGCGGTGTGATACCCCCTTTAAAATGTCATGAAAACGCCCGGTACCTGTTAAAGCGTTACGAAAAAGCGTAGTAATATAATAATAATAATAACAACGCCATTTTCAAATACGCAAACGTTTGTTTTTGTTACGCTCGATTTCAACAAAATATTTTGGCAGGAAAACGCGACGTAAGACCTAATCTTGCGCGACCTTTGCGCGTAGCGATTAAAACAAACTCACCCGTCAAGCGAAAACGAACAATACGAAACAGTAATCCCTGATGTCGTAAATCAAGCCGGCGATTACTGTGACGAAATTTCCGCGAAAAAAAAAACAAATTTGATCATTTCAGCTACCAGAAGGTTTACTCAACTCTTATCTGTTAAACGGAAGCCAGATCGTGGTGCAAACTAGGCGGTGATGTGCCACAAGGATCTATGTTGGGCCCCTTACTTGTTTCAACTAGTATTTTGCGAGATCTTGCAGAGATCCCTTAAACTGACCACTTTCATTTTTTTCTAATTGATAGAGAGCTCCTATGTTTAACTAAACTTTGTATTGGTTATTGTCATAAATAGGACTAAATCAGTCAAAAGCTGTGACTTATTTTAGCTTATATTAATGACCTAAATGATTTTGTAGCAGAAATGTCTTGAATAATGGACCCATGTTGCATAAAACTCAACCCAAAACCATTTAAAAGTCCTGATGCGTAGTAGAACCTATAACGAATTCTCTAGCTGTAGGAGTTTTACAATTCTTTTTTTTTCTATGCAAATAGTTTCCGCGTTTACCTTCAAGTAAAACATTGTATTAGTTATTGATATCAATTACAGCTCCCTTACATCTACTGTTCTGATAGCACAGGCACTTTTAAAGATAACACCAACAAATGTAGAGAAGGGCGATTCAATACGCGCATACGTGAGTTATTTCAAAATTCGCTTTCAACAATCAACACGACCGTGGACCGTTCGTCAATTCGGCAATGTTCAATTTGGTGGGGAAGGGTACTTGGGGTCGCTATACTACGTTATACGGTTTTACCCGAAGAAAAGGCAAAAGCGACAATAATCTGGTGTTTGCTTTCACAAATCTGAGCAAATAAAACCAGCAGTCAGATAATTAGATTTTCAAAAACGCAACATAGATCGAAACGTTCATAGTTTTCGACGATGCTCGTGTTGAGCCTACTGTTTACGGCGTTGATACTGCCGCATCGCGACGCCGACGGTCAGCGGTTCGACGTCGCGACGTTGGGCGACCTCAACCTCGACTGGCTAGGGAACTTTAGCCTGCCGATTTTAAACTTTACAGTGGCGTGTGAATCCCTAGAAACGGCCAACGTGACTTTTGCGTGTCGGCAGCAATTAAAAATCGTGTGCGACAATGACACTGTCATGGCGAGAAGTAAGTGGGAGGTGGTTTGTGAATAAAATTTACGGCTTGAGTAATTTTTTCTGACAACTATTTAAAAAAACTGAAACTGAAATACGGAAACCTTTTTTGGGTGATGTTCTACCTCTGCGCAGATGTTAATTAATTCTTAGCTTACCTACTCGTCTCAATTGTCGGTTTCTAAATAAACCCACCATATAGTGCTCGACTCGTGGTCCAAATTCCCGTACCCAGGGGCTCTGATTGCCACCAGACTCGATTACGGAAACTTTGACGAGTGCATCGAATTGGATCACAGCGAGAACGGAGTCAGGGTACTCGGAAAACATTGTACAGGAGGCCTCCTTTTACCGACGACGCCCCTTAACGACTCAAACTTTCTAGAGGTACGTGAAACCTTGTCCAGAGTAGCTTCACTAACCAAATTTTCTACGATAGAAAGCTTTCAAGCTATCGACGTGCACTCCAGACGCCTGCGACACGGACGATCTCTTCAATCTTCTCAACGTCCCGTTGTTTAACCAACTCGTGTGCAACACCAAAGAGAGCTGGAAATCTCTAGGCTGGGACGACATTGCGGTCATGTAAGTACGTCCTAAATTAGCATATCCTCGTATCCGAAGCCGTTTTACAGCACATTCCTCCTGCTGATCGTAACTGTCATGGCGGTGTCCACCTGCTACGACTTGTACTGGTACTTCACCGAGCAGAGTAAGTTGTAATAATTTTTGCACATCCGGGTCATCCTGACGTACGCTGTTTCAGAATGCCCTCGACCTATTCTATCCGCTTTCTCCGTGTATCGTAACGGGAGGAAGCTCCTACAGACTACAAAGGCAGGCACCAAAGACCAGATCATGGCATTCCACGGCATCAAAGTGATTAGTATCATGTGGATCATGTCGGGACACGCTTTTGCCTCGTTTGATTTCTTGTCCATTTCATTCCACGACTACGCTCGTGATGTAAGGAGGATTTCGATAAATCGCACAGAATCTAAAGCGGGCGCTTTCTTGCAGTGGGAATGGTCGAGGAGATCTTTTTACATCACCACCGGTCATCTAGCTGTAGACACTTTCTTTTTCGTATCCGGATTCCTTTTCGCATACCAGTATCTCAAGCAAGAACCCAAACCACTCGCCGCTCACCTCAAACAAGTACCGTATCTTTACTTCCATAGATATATTAGGTAAGCGTTTAGATAAGAATTTTAAAGTGTGTTTCATGTTTCGCGAGGCCAAGAATTTGGATTTTATTGTATTTAATGTAAATATTTTATCTATTTGCGTTGAAAATGATTTTTTTAGGATAACCCCGGCCCTCGCGGTCGCTTTCTTTACGTACAACACCGTTTTCGAACACATGGCCAATGGCCCTATCTACGCAGAGGGCGTGCGCGAAATCACAGAGCCGTGTAAAAAGTACTGGTGGTCTTTTTTTCTCTACGTTCAAAACTACGTCAACTACAAGGAGATCGTAAGCTCCAGTCGCGATAACTCTTTCGATGACTCTATGTCTCAATGTTGCAGTGCTTAGTGCAAACTTGGTACCTCTCGGTTGACATGCAGCTATTTCTGATCGCCCCACTCGTTATGATCCCTGTATCCCTACTGGTGAGACGTTACTACGGACGCGTAATCATCCAGCTGCTTCTTTTGAACATCGCGTTTACAGTCGGTCCGATCGCTTTAAAAATGGCTCTGGGGGTGTTTGAAAAGTGACTTCACGCACACCAGGAAAAAGTTTCGCTCTCACTTTACTCAAACATTTTTAGCGAGTACGAGACTCACGGCAGACTTAACGTCTATTTCATCGGGGTGATGCTGGCAGTGTTCATGAAGGAGAAGTGCGACGCCAAGTTTAAATTCTCGAGGGTAAGCAGCGACGAATACCAGGTGACCACGAGCTCGCGATTCCGTGTTGCAGACCGCGAATTTTTGCATCTGGCTCGTCGTCCTTCTCCTTATGATGATCTGTGTGCTGTCCTTCAAGGAAACCCAACTGGTGATGCACTTTAACCGAGACCTTTCCGTTCTGGTATACCACATCCTGCTGAGGGCGGTATGGAGCGTCTGCCTGTGCTGGGTAGTGTACTCGTCGCACAAAGGGCACGGAGGTAAAAAGAAAACGGACGTTGGTGCCTCGCATCGTTACAGACGAAACCGCTTTTTCTAGGCATCGCCAATTGGTTTTTGACAAGGCCCGTTTTCCAAATTCTGAGTAAACTGACGTATTGCATCTACATTACCCACATATTCGTGCTGTTTTTCATCGCACTGCAGGTCAGGGAACGAGTGACATTTAGCGTGTTCTTGGGAGTGAGAGTGGCGCCATCTTCCGAGCGACATGTTCAAACAAATCATTTTTTAGGTGCTGCTGTGGACCAGCAGTTTTTGCTTTTCGGTACTGGTGGCCGCCTTTTGGAGCTTGGCTTTCGAGTCGCCCCTCATTGTTATCGAGAAGTACGCGTTTGGGCATCGAACCACAAACTAGGAAATTTCAATGGCCGCGGCTGTGATAAAACGATTGGAATAAATAAAAGATTTGATAAGGAAAATCGGCGAGTATTGAAAATGATTGCGACAACTTAAAAGGCAAGGGTTGATGGATCTGAGAGCGTAATTTTAAGCGAAACGCGGAACTAAAATCGACTTACTTGTTTAAGTAAAACTGTTTAGGCCTGAAATTTCATTAATAAATTATGTTTATCGGAGCTTGCTTAATTTTTTTCCAACTCCTATTTTTGAAAATTTATTACGTATAATCGTAAGGATTCTAAATTAACGAGTGCAAAGAGAAAAACTGACCAAAAGTTGCCATACTTTATAATTATGATATAATATTTTTGCTGCTTTTTTATCATAAAAAAACATGGTTACTAATGGCGTCTAATACTTTTCTGAACAAATTTTAAGTAGCAAAGTAATAAAATATCCGGTTTGCAAGACACAGGGAGTCGTAGTTTCTTTTTTAAATATTGCATCACATTTTGTATATCCACAAAACAAACAAATGAAAATACTCACTAAAACCCTTAAGTTGTGCTTGATCACATATCATAAATTTACCCTGCCACAAATTGCAGAAAGTGACGTTAACAAATGTTTGAAGGAATTGCTACATAATTTATATAAAATACAAAGTCTAACCTACATAATATCAAGATTTTAAAAACAAATATTACTTTAAATTTGATATTGAAAACAAGCAAATCTTACATGTAATTATTAATCTTTTTATTTTGGATATTTTCCCCTTTTTCGTTATTTATTCTTGTTTTTTTCCTCATATTTCGTTTACTTTTTGTTCTTTAGGCATTTATATTTATGAAGTTGTTTATTGCTTCGAGGCTTACAGTTTTTTAAAAGCATTGAAATGAAATGAAATCTTCATCATAGGAAATTATAAAAATGGGCCTGCAAAAATGTGTAAGATCTTTGGTCTATTAGTTTTTAACACTTATTTGTTATTACAGAATGGTCACTGATATGTTTTCTTGGTCCAAATAATTTATGTATAGAATGATTAATAACGGATCACTAGGGAACACCATAGGAAGTGTTTTTTTTTTTAACTATAAGTATTATTAATTTTTGTTTTCTGCATTCTTTCCATAAGATAGCTTTCAAATAGTTTCCAAAGTATTCCGCGTACGCCAGAGTCCTGCAACATCAGTTTATGATCAACTGTGTCAAAGGCCTTGGAAAGATCGACAAAACAATGAGCTGTAAAATTGTGAAATTAAAGAGGCTATTGTGTTTTCTGTAGACTTACTTTGCCGGAATCTATATTGATTTTTATTTAATATTTTGTTTCCTCTAGGAACTGGACTCTTTAAGAACCTTCCCAAAAATGTTTGCTATTTTACTTATAAGTGATACTGATAGGTTTTTGTCATTTTTTTTACATTGTGGTATTACAATAGAAATCTTGAATTATTCAGGACAGTATTACGTATATATTAAGTAAAATAATGGTTTACTAATTTTGTGAGCAATCGGTTGTAGTGTTTGCGTTCTGATGTTATCAAAACGTGGTGATTTTTTGGATGGTTTTTTAAAATATAATTTTGCCGGTATTGTGAAAAATTTGGCAGCGTCATTTGGAGAAGCATTTAGAACAACATAATTGAATTAGTACGTAGAGTATGTATTAGGTAGCTATAGATTACAGAGCGGTAAATATAAGAAGATAATTCAACGTACCATAAAAGTAAAATTTTCGGATGGTTTTTACTTTATTTAATTTTTTTCAAATTTACCTAACTGCAACTTACTTACTAGTGCATCAAAATTGTCATGTTGCTAGAATATTAAAAGGTATTTAACATGAACGGAACACATCGGAAGGAGTGAAGAAAATGAAAGTGCATACTCTACGTTTTCGACGGCTAATGGCCGTTTTCGAAACATTTTCGCAAAATACATTTACATTCACAAACCAGACATCGTAAAATGACACTTACCCTGAATTTAATCCCTCCATAATTTTATATCGACTAGGGGGTGGAAAAGATTATTTTTATATTGAATATAACTCAATCCAACAAAATATTGAATCCGGACAACTAAAGCTATATACTACAAAAGCGTTTGCATTAATCGAACATCTTTCGAGACAAGGTAAATCTTATCACACCCTGTATGGCGAGGCAATATACAATCCTATCGATTGGCAATAAAAGTCCGACATTTTGTCCAACGCGTAATCGCTATTAACAACTCAACCAAGATAACCAGCCCGTCTTAATTTACTGCATCTGTCAAGATGCAGAAAACATTCGGGATTAAGACACGGCATCGTCAACTCATTTCTGCTCGCGTCAACGGTCAAAAAGATGTGGTTCGGGTACCCGTTGATGTTGACGACGTTCATCGTCGCGACCACCGCGAACCTTCCTCAGGATTTCAGCTCGCTAAACATCGGCATCAACCCAAGAGTGATCATCAACAGGTTCATGTGCAGCAACCTCACCCGCATCCTGAACATAACACCAATGTGCAGACAACAACTAGACGTGATTTGTCGCGATTCGGACTCCACCATGAGAAGTAAGTTGTAATCATGCCTTCGACGATATACTCGGCTCATTTATACGATGGGCTAAGAATAATATAAAGCTTCAAATGAGTAAAGAATTATAAAGACATTCCTTCATCCGTAGACTATTAAATATCGTTCAACTCGGACTTCTTCTTAAATTTGTTTCATTTCTGCCAAAATGTTGATTCAGTGGCGGACGCCTGGACGTCATTTCCATATACGGGAATGTTCGCGAGTACAAGAATAGATTTGGGCACCTTTGATCAATGCATGGCCGTGGATATCACCAGAAACGGCGTCAGAGTCCTGGGCAAGCACTGCGCGTTAGGTATAGTAATACCCACCACCGACGACGTTTCCGACCCAGTTCTATGGTTCGAGGTGAGACCATCGTCACATTCCTCCAGGAGTGATGGATAGAACGAAGCTATCCGTCACTCCTGGAATATTGATAATGTTAAGTAACCATTAACCATAACTTGTAGAGCGCGTTCAAGCTTTCCTATTGCGTGCCCGACCAGTGCATCGTACATGACGTGACGAGGTTCTTGCCGCTCGTGCCAACCGAGTTGATCAACGACGAAGCGTGCGTGACCAAAGAGAGCGGTAAAGAACTCGATTCCGAATCTGTGGTCATTCTGTAAGGCCTCACGCGTAACTGTATTTCCATATATCATTGAATGTTCTTTTTAGCACTATATTTTGCATTGTCATCGGACTCATGTTGGTAGCAACGATTCGCGACTTGGTTCTCTACGCGAAAGGCTCGAGTGAGTTCTTTTTTGCCCGTCCTGTAACAACTATTTGGCATTTTGCAGGCAGTTAGAAAACATTAAACAGATGAATTATCTTTTTCCTGCTACCCCTTAAGAAATAAAGAAAACTTTCTTTGCCCAAAAATGATCATTTTTCTCAGGTTCTAACAGCCTACAACAAACTGCTACGATCATTTTAAATTTTTCTGCTTTTCTGCCACTTTGCTGACTCTCGCTTAAAAGATATAGAAACGTTTATTTAACGAAAATTGATCATTGCATGGAAAATCCTAATCACACTTAATTTTTCGACTTTTACAACCTTGAAAGAAAAATTTAATTATACGCATAATTGTAAATTTGAAAACTTTGGAGACCAATGTATTTCATTTGGTTTTCACCATATTAGAGAGCCGGCGTAGCTTTCTGATGGCCTTCTCCGTATTTACTAATACCCAAAAGCTGTTCCGCACCGCACCGAGCAACACCAGGGAACAAATTCAGTGCTTCCACGGAATGAAAGTGGTCAGCATGATGTGGATAGTGGCGGGTCACGTGGCGGTCGCGTGGGGCGGTGCCGTGGTTACCAACGACGCGGTCGTCAACGATGTAAGCTAAAGATATTACGGTCTTCGACGTGCCCCCCAAGCTCGTCCTTTTTTCAGTGGGTAAACCAGAGATATTCGTTTTACAAGGCCACCGCCCATCTCGCGGTAGACACTTTCTTCTATATATCGGGGTTCCTGCTGGCGTACCAGTACTTCAAAAGCCAAGCCCAGAAACCGGCGATCGTCCAGGTGCAGTCCCTGCCCGTGCTGATATTCAATCGATATTTAAGGTAAACCTTGACGATGAATCCCGGCAGTACCACATGCTTTATAACGTTCGCAGACTCACGCCAGGCTTACTGATGATCTACCTCTACCTCATCGGACTGGCTCGATACGTCGGAAGCGGTCCTGTTCACAAGCCGATTTTCGAGCAACTACGACAGCCTTGCATAGACAACTGGTGGACGGTGTTCCTCTACATCCAGAACTACTACAATCCCACGTATATGGTGAGCTTCAAGCTCAGAAAATCATATTATCTATCACTTATATTTCAGTGCATGACCAGTCTGTGGTACGTATCGGCCGACATGCAGCTTTTTGTGTTCGCACCGCTGGTCATGATCCCTATCGCCGTGCAATGGAAAAAAAGCTTCAACATGGCGTTGATCGAACTGCTCGTCCTTAATCTGGTCTTCATGGGTCTGCCGATTTTCACGAAATTGATGTTCAAAGAATTCGATCCGTACGCATTAATTCCCCTAATTAATGGCCAATTAGAATATCTAAGTTAATGCTTGCTTAAACGCTACTAATGACTGCTAAGTCATGGTTGATCATAAATAATTACCAAAATTACACTATACTAATTACTACCAGTTGTATCAAATTAATGCTTGATTTAAAAAATTTTACCTTTTACAATTTTAGCTATTAACACTTCAGCTTAATTGTAACTAATTGATGTTTTATAAATTTTGGTTACTGCCTAAATACCGTCTATGTTTAACAGTTACTAATTGAAAATTCATTACAACTATTTACACGTAAATAACGTAAATGATAGGTAAAGTATATTTTAGAATTAAAGTTTGCGATTTTAGCCACGAGTTTGACATGTTGCACACAACACTTTTTCTATAACTATGTTTTTGGGGTACATGTTTACAAAACATCACGAATAAATTCACTGAGTAACTCGTGATGTGATCGTCAGAATTGACAAACGTCAAAATACCATCTGTGGTTAAAATTTGGAGAAAACATTCTATCGCTCTCAAACCCGTCGCTAAAGTAACGGAAATGTCGCCGTTAATAAGAAAAAATATTAAATATATATTTCGATCAATTCCTATTGGTAAATTGATTGATTTTTGGTCAATATATGAAGAGCTGAATAATTTCTTATCACCACCAGATTCATTTACTACGTATTGACTGTTTATTGACCGCAGGACGTTTGTCGAGTTCGACTCACACTCCCGACTCATTGACTACTTCATCGGGTTCACCTGCGGCTTCTACATGCGTCAGAACAAGGACCGTTCCTTTCGATTCGGCCAGGTAAAACCTAATTAGACCAAAGGTTTCACGAGACCGAATTACGCTTCGCTTTAGGCCGCGACAGTCTGCTTCTGGATAGTCAGCCTCGGTGGCATGCTGGGCACAATGTTGGTCCTCCACGAGATCAACACGTACCACGGGTACACCGCCAAGGCATTGTGTTACAGCTTTATGAGGCCGGTCTGGTGCCTCGCCCTCTCTTGGATCGTTTACGCCTGCGTCAACGGACGGGGCGGAGCGATCAATTCGATTCTGTCCAACGGGATGATGCAAATCCTCGGCAAAATCACATTCTCGATCTACCTGGTCCACGCGAACGTCATCTACGTGTGGGGCGTGACGACGAGGACGAGTCGCTACTTCAGCGACCTCGAGATGGTACTCTTCGAAAATCACATGTCCTCGACCTTGTTTATTTTTTTTTCTAATTTAGTTTTACACCTCCTGCGGAATTTTCATCGTTTCGTGCGTGGTCGGACTGTTCTGGACGCTAGCGTTCGAGTCGCCGGTCATAGTGCTGACGGGTATAATGATGGGGCATGGCGGCACCTCCACGAAACCAGCAGTGGTGGTCAAGTCAACAGAAAAAACGGTACCGATCGAGAACTCGTGAACCGCGTCAACGTACGTCGCAGAATCTCCCGGAAAAATTTGGATTCCGACCTCGACTGTATTATACCTATACGATAATAAATTTTATGTTATCGACGACTTGCGCTTATCATTCAACCTGACGTTTTTCCTGATACACCTCGGAGTTTTAGCAATTATCCGCACGGGTCAAATAATACCTGTCCAGTATCGATTCTTTAATTTCTGATTTTTCACGTAGGTCTGGAATTATAAATTATTGATATCTACAGAATTAAACTTTTTGACAGATGTTTTTATTTTGAAAACTGATTTTATATAAATTTGGTAGGCTGACTTCAAAAATTCTATGCATTTATTTGTATCATGCAAGGTTTTTCTGCAAATATTAAAAGAAAAAAAAACGATATTTCTAAAACATTTTTTTCATTCAGTAAAAAAATGTAATCCTGGTTAAAAAATAAAATTTACTCCGACTTTTTTGAGTGAAATCTTCTTCATTTTTGGCAGAAGGGTGCGTTGTCTGGGCATTCAGCTGTGTGTTTTTAAGGGCATATCCCGTTTTAACATCCAGCAGTAGTCCGCGATCATCGTTATGTTCCAGCTGCCTTAGTATCGCCGTGCCGTTCCATTTCCTTGTTCCCTGTTAGGTCAAGGTCAAGTGTGAAAACAAGAAATGCTCTTTCATACCCATATTGCAACCTAGACGATGAAAGTGTTGTAACATATTTTTGACAATACTTCAGTAATTTTCGTCCTTCGTCCTTAGAATTCCCAAGAAACTTAATAATTACTTCTTTAAATGAAACCTAGGCGTTTTTCTCGACATTCGTCTTTGTGTTTTGAAAAATCTTATTTTTGTATAATGTTTTTATCTGCGCCCCAACAAAAACACCTACTTTTATCTGCTTGCTTTATCAAGTCAAATTTGATATGAAGAGGAGGCAGTAAAAATTTTTTGGGGTCAACTACAACTCTTAATACATTTTTGCTTGCTACCAGGTGTAAAGCTGGTTCTAGAGGGCCATTCTATTTGAATCCAATGTCTATTGCCCAACTATCCCGCTCACAACTAGGATCATGCACAACACAAAGCATCCACTGATGTTCTTGGTAATTTATTTCCTTCAAAAGAAATCCTAAATTTTCATACGTTTCTTTTGAATGTACTGATCGTGCAAAGAAACGCCTTTCAAACTACGCTTCCTTGAGTCAATGAACAGGCACCATTCTTCTTTTATATACGGCACATTAAAAGCTATAAAAGCTTGATGTGACACCAGGTGGATGCATCCTTTGGAAGAAGCAAATCTCTAATTAAATAATTTAATTCGCTTTGGTTAAACACCTCGCGCTCTCTGCAATTTAGTGTGAAATCTGAGTGAAAAGGGTCCCCAAAAATATACAAATACGCAAAGAGCTTTCACACATCAAAATCACTGTGTATTTATTTGTCGATGATTATCAAATTAATTGTTCAATGCTCTCTTTAATTTAATTAATCAATAAAGGGTAATTCGTCATTAGCAATTTGGGAAATATTAAATTATTTTATCATCTTTGTTATACCTACTATTAAATACATATTTTAAATAAATTGTCTCCATTTCATTGAATCAGATCCAATTTATTATAATTTCAACCTCTATTTATTGCTCACATTATTTTGATTCATCGACTAGTTAGGCAGGCAATTGGAAATTAAATGAGAGGAGAATGGGAAACAGTGATAATAAAATAAGTTATCGACTAATAAATATGACGTAATAGCTATATATTGGGAAATAATAAACCATTGATTATAACGAATTGATGATTCATTATAATTATTTTAAAAAAATCAATTAAACCAAATCAAAATCTAAATTTTTAATAGGCCTACAGTAGTTATAAATCAATTTAAAAACTATTTACTTTAGTTGTACCAACCAAATTGCCTTATTTTTTGATATTGTTTTTCTTTACTGGTACATATACATATTTATATTGAATTAAATTTAATTATCTAAAAATAATTGCATGTATAATAAAAATAAAATGCAATACATTTCCAACTACGATTTTCCACCTGCGGGCAAAAAGTAAATATATAAAATACATATAATTACGGACAATTCCCATAGTAAAAAACACCCGCTCTAATGTGTGCTGCTTGTAATTTGACTCCGTCTAATTTAAACAGACACGGGAATCGCGTTTCATTTCCCTCATTCATTATATTTTTTACATTTTTCTGTCTGCTTACCCGCTGCTACGGAACCACGCAGTCACGACATTTTGAAACATTTTTGAAATATCACACGCACTCGGGACGGACGGACTTTAGAGACAACGGATTAACTTTTCATGTGAGCCTGTCAAGTTTCCGGGAACATTGTCGATGACAAATTACTTATTAAGACCGCAATAAAAATATTGTCTAGGGCTCGGGCGATTCATTTCGATCGCGAATCGTATGACGGAATGGCGACGACGAAGCTGCTCGCGTTTTTCGCCCTCCTGAAATGGTGCTCGGCACTAGAATACGGCGAAGTGCAAATCAACCCCAATGTCGTCGCTTCTTCCTATATGTGCGGCAACCTAACGTCGATCTCGAACATATCTCTCGCATGCAGAAGTCAACTGGACGTACTCTGCGGCGACCCAGACTTAACCCTCCGACGTGAGTAGAGTTCTCCAAACGATATACCGTTTATACAACCTTATATAATAAGTTTAAAACAAGCACAGCACAAGCTAAGGTGTATTTACGATGTTAGCCGACAAGAACTGTGCCGTGCGGACTGTTCTATTTTGAGAGTATTGAAATATTCTTTGATTAAACTGTTATATTAATTCATATTAGTGTGCCTTTTATAAATCTTCCTAAAACAGTCTAGTTGAATTTGCCCTTTAGTTTTCCTATATTAAAAACACATTAGAAAGCTTACTTAAACTGATTTCCAATTCCCAAAATCTTATGTAGATAATTGATAATTAATGGATGTTTTGGTTGATTTGAGGAGGATGGTGAAATCGGAGTATGCTGTTAATTTTATGGAACAGTTATTTTCCTAGCCGTCAAGCTTTGGAGTAATTTCTATTCCGTCTTGGTTTGTAATTAGTATTTACCAACTTACTTTTATTCAATTGTTTTTCAAGACCCAATGTGCCATTAATAATAATCGAGGAATCTTACCGATAAAACTCTACACAAATACGTCAGTTTTCGGCATTTCAATGCACCAAGTACCGCAGTACGGTTCTGGACGGCATTGTGGAATTGCGAATCTATTTATTGAGGTCTCCAAAGAAAAACTCAAACGAGGTAGTCCTGCAGTTAGACCTACATAAAAATTTACCAAAATTAAATAACGGATTAAGTCGTAAAAACGGTATATCGCTTGGAAAACTCTAACAACAACGGGGTGATCCGGATCCACGTCGCAAACGTGTCGTTTGTATTTTACAGTGGCGGACGCGTGGTCGTCCTTCCCTTACACGGGAATGCTAGTTAGCACTAGGATCGAGCTTGGCACATATGACGAATGCATCGGCGTCGATGCCGACCAAAATGGCGTTAGGGTATTGGGCAAACACTGCGCAGCAGGAATACTGCTACCGACCACGACAGATCCTGGGGATTTCGTAGATGTAAGTCGTTACGACTTTGCGTTAGATCAAAATTAAATTTTTAACTGTAGAAGGCGTTCAAACTGTCGTACTGCGTCCCAGATCAGTGCACAGTGCGTGACGTGGGACGGATGTTGCCCTTTATTCCAGAGGAACTAATCAACGACCAGTACTGCAGGACCAAGGATAGCAACAAAGACTGGACTGCTAGTTCGATCGTGATTTTGTAAGTATGGTGGGTCTCAAAGTATGTGGTCTTAGCATTTAACGAACTAAGTAATTACGACTTTCATACCTATTGTTACTGGGTAAACTCAACAAAAAAGAATTTATTTATAGGTAAGGGGCTACTCTGGTAGATGTCGATCACGCGACTGCTGATATCAGTGGCAGTGTTAAATAACGGTTTTACCATGTGTTTCGAAAAACCTATATCAATAATTGTCATTAAATACAAAAAAAACTGCAAAGAAGCTTTAAAAGAATGCTTACTTACAAAAATGCCTCCACATATTTGTGCATGCGTGGAACCAAATAAAATTAAATATATGAGCACAGCTAGATGCTTAAATTTCGAGTGTAATTTATTAAGGATATAATTAATAATATACCTGAGAGTTGAGAGTTGGAAAAATGCAGTACAACATATTTTAAAAATTGCAGATCCTTATATTTGCACACAAAATAACGTTATTACTTTTAATTTATATCTTTTTCAAGCACCTTAAAAGTTAGTCTCTATCCTAGAATGCCGTCTCGTCTGGTCAGGCGTTTTATTTATAATAATAATTATAACTGCCGTCAAAAGATAAGCCGATATACTTTAATACAAACCAAACAGGATTTGGCGAAATTTTTGTCGATCTAACCCAATAATATCTGGTCTATCAGGGATAACCGACGCTTATAACTTTCAGAACTGCATTTTGCATCGTCGCAGCCGTCATGGTGGCCTCCACTGCGTACGACATCGCCCTCTACGCCAAAGACACGAGTAAGAGCATCTATGAGGATACCTACAAAGTCAAAATCGTTCTTTTTTCTCCTTAGAAAACAAGTACCCGGCACTGACTGCATTTTCCGTATTCACAAACGGACGAAAGTTGTTCCACACCAGCAGCATGGCGTCCAAAGAGCAGATCCACTGCTTCCACGGACTGAAATTTATCAGCATGATGTGGATAGTGGCAGGACATGCTGCGGTCGGATGGGATAGCCTGCCGATGGTCAATGACGCGAGAGTCAAAGGGGTACGTGTAAAAACACGTCTGTCACGAACCTAATTTGCTCAATTCCTCGTAAAAAAATTAAAGAAACTCTTCGTTTATGGCTCAATTTAGAAAAATGATTCTGAGCTTTGATATTCATAATGTTCTTTTTCTTATCCAGTGGCTAACGGAGAGGTACACGGTCTACCTGGCAACCGCGCACCTGGGGGTCGACACGTTCTTCTACATATCCGGATTTCTGCTCGCCTACCAATACTTCAAAAAGGAAGCTCAGAAACCGGCATCGGTCCAAATAAAATCGCTGCCCTCCCTTATTTTACACCGGTACCTCAGGTACAAAAAAAAAACAATCAAAAACCTAACCAAACTAACCCGTACCGTGCACCGTTTCAGGCTGACACCGAGCTTGCTGATGCTCTATCTCTACTTCATAGGGCTTGCTGGGTTCGTATCTGACGGACCCCTTTACCAAACGATAACCGCCAGCCTCAGGCAACCTTGCCTCGACAACTGGTACGCAGTATTCCTTTACATCCAGAATTACCACAACCCAAGGTCTCTAGTAAGTTAAGACGCCGTGACTACCCAGGTGGTAAAGGCCTCTCAAAAACATCATTTTCAAATCATTGTAAAGACAATGATTTGAAAATGATGATAGAGGTCCAAAAAATACGTCTTATTGACGGTAGAAAAATTTCCGTCCAATCATTTGCAGTGCATGACCAGTTTGTGGTACCTTTCCGCGGACATGCAGCTCTTCCTGGTGGCGCCGCTAGTGATGATTCCGATTGCGATACAGTTAAAGAGGAGCTTCAAACTGGCGATGATCGAACTACTCGTTCTGAACCTGCTTTTTGCGGCGTTGCCGATTTTCACCAAGCTGGCGTTCAGCAATTTTGATCCGTAAGCGTCAACACTACGTAAAGCGAAAGGGCTGAATCCTAGACTTTTTTTTTACAGTAATTTCGACGAATTTGATGCCCATTCGAGGCTGACCGACTATTTCCTCGGTTTTATGTTCGGATTTTACGTTCGGCAGCAGAGAGACCGACCGTATCCATTCAGTGGGGTTCGTACACTATATAGTGTAAAAATGCGGTTAATCGTGACTTTTCAGTTATTTTTTCAACATTATTTTTGGTATACATACAAAATACGGAGGTTTTTAAAAAAATTTCTGGTAAAACACACACACTATAAAAAATTATCTTTTCTATTGGTAGGTACAATTTTTGGAGTGTGTCAGATATAAGCATAAGAAAACCAATAGAGTTGCAGGATCTCTTGTGGACTCGGACACCCTGTACAATTTTTTTAGTTATATATGGCCATTGGGTAACGACACCTTCCAAAAAAAACACGTTATTTTCTATGTATTATCTTTAATATTTCCAGAAAACAACAATTAACAATATGCGCGGTTCCTACCTTATTGTCAGTATCGGCGCATGGGAAAAGAACTTTCCCATGCAAGGTTATCAATGTTATCTGATATTACGATTAGGCACTCGAAGCGTACATGCCGCATACTCAAAGAGTTATATTATCGAAGTACACTTCCAGATTGTCACCGTCTTGCTTTGGGCCCTGTGCCTCGTGGGAATGTTCGGTACGATGCTGGTCCTCCACGAGATTAACATCTACCACGATTACACAGCCAAGGCGCTCTGCTATAGTCTCATGAGGCCCGTATGGTGCATGGGCCTCTCGTGGATCGTCTACGCGTGTATCCACGAAAAAGGAGGTAAAAAATACACGACAATGGAATATAAAAATAAAATCACCTTCAGACAATATCAACGTCTATAGTCCAAAACATCTCAAAGTCTAAATGCTAAAATTGAAACTGAAAAAAATACCAACGGCATTCAAGTGATACTTTTAACTGTTTTGCGCGACCATGATGGTCCTACTGGGCCGGACCAAGTTGCAAAATCGGAATTCACTAATCAAATTGTATCATACGAACTAGTAACCACCTTGTACACGTTCAAGGGGCAATCAGCTCGATCCTATCCAACAGCGTGACTCAGGTGGGAGGAAAACTCACTTACTCCATCTACCTGACCCACGGCAACATCATCTACTTGTGGGTGATGTCGACGAGGACGAGTCGCTACTTCAGTGACCTCGAAATGGTACCGCTGATTTACACGTGCATTTTACAACGCTAACGTGTTTTCTGTGATAGTTTTACGCATTCTGCGGCATATTCGCCACGTCTTGCGTGGTCGCCCTCGTCTGGAGCTTGGCATTCGAGTCGCCGATCATTATACTGACCAAGATGCTGACCGGGGGTGCGGGTAAAAGGGTTCCGACGGTTGCCGCGTACCAGAAACACCCTGAGAAGTACATCCCACGCGGGGAGTAAAAAAATCTTCGCAAAATCGCGTCGCAGAATCTCGCGTACCAATAAAGACGTTTGGACACTTTGCGATTGTTTTTTTTTTAATGTAGGCGTAGGTGTCCACACAATAGTGCGTAGGATGTCCAACATAATAAAAATGAAGAAACGTGCGACCTAACCAAACATTTTAAAGAGAAGATTTGGGAGCCATCGTATACATGGTCTCCATCTTGTCGGCTAGGACCGAAGGTTCTCAACGACCTTTACTGCATTGAAATCGGATATTTCGGGGTCTGCTCGTGTATGGCGGCCTTTAACGTTTGCAAATATAGATTAAACGGGAAATCGATGAGTCAAGACACCATCATTATCGTTCTCCTATTAATTTCGTTGTAATCACGTCACTTACCACTCGAAAAGGTTTTATCAAATTGATTTACCCGAGCGCACCTGCAGATCGCCATGGACCAAATTTTAGTAGTTCGACGGTGGAATGATGGCGACGACGATGGGTCGTCTCCTAAGATTCCTCTTGTTCATGACGGCGGCATCGAGATTCAGAGTCAACGCCGAAGAAATCGCTCGGTTTGACAGCACTTTGAGTAAAATATGCGAGAACTTCGTCCATGCCTCCGGAGTGAACAATGAATGTACTAGCCAGCTGAAGGAAGTGTGCAACGACCAAGGGCTCTTCTTAAAGAGTAAGTCATTGTTGTATGATGTGGTTAAGACGAGTAAAGAAGTCATGACGGAAGGAAGTGTCCGACACTGATGATGGACAAAGAATAAAAAGCACCTAACTAGAAATGCGCAAAACAGAGATTGCTATAATTTATAAGCAAAACTTATCAAATATCACGATCTAGAATAATTTCAAAAAAAGATAATGATCAAGCAAGGACGATTTATTTGTTGTTTAAATATAGATATGATTCAATTTAAATTAAATTTTCTTTCTTTTTTTTTTCGCATCAGTAGGAATAGTAGACCTTGGAAAAATTCCGAATCAATTTTTGAATTAGCGAATAATCTACCAAAATACTTCGCAGTGTTCCTATCATAATTCGTAACATTATTGCTTTCCATAGAGTTATTAGATAATATAGTGGCCCTACTACGGCAAAAACTGACACGCCGCAGGCGGTATTGTTTATTTGCGTAGAGAAGAAAATGATTTTCCGCGCATGCCTCTATGTGTCACCCACTAAACTGTACTTTCTGCCATTTTCTTTCTAAACAGCGATCTCTACTTAACTCGTTTTCGATTAGTTGAATACCGCAAAGTCATTGGTTAAAAACGATGTTTTAAATCTCGCGCATGCGCATGTTGAATAGACTTGCTCAGAATTTTTTTTCAAAGTTTCTTCATAACGTGCTGTATTCTCTCCTTAAAGTTCAAAAACCGCTTTTAAAGGAGTCAATTTTTAAATATACAGCCCCGGCGTCTCATATCTTCTAACCGACATTCTTGGAGAAACGTAATTAATTATTAATTACGCTAGTTGCCTTCCCTTTGTGTCGACAGGCACAGAAAACCTTTTCGCGAGTGCGTAGAACAACGCTATCTGGAAATGGGGTGTCATCGACGCGATCTATTTTCAGTGGCGGACGCTTGGTCGAAAATTCCGTATACTGGTATGCTGTACCAGGCGCCCATGGACATGGGAACTTACGACGAATGCGTCGCTATCGATTACCAGAGCGCTGGAGGTGTCAGATTGCTGGGAAAACACTGCGCGATGGGCCTCCAAGTTCCGATCAGCGTTGCAAACTACTCGGTCGATGTAAGCATCCCAAAGGTTTTTCTCTACGAAAATGCGCTTCGTATAATCAAAATTTGATGTTCGTTTAATCTATATGTGTATGTAAATCGATCTTAACTCGTGCGTTTGGCAGGTAGCTTTGGCATACTGCGTGCCGGACCAATGCGCAAAATCCGACGTTGCCAAACTGTTGGGACTCGAAGGCGACGCGTCGGCACTCGTAAACGATATGTACTGTACTACAAAAGAGTACGGGGCGCGCCTCGAAGGACCAGGAATTGCGATTTTGTAAGATAAACGACGTATTAACGAACATTCGTCTTATGTGTTGCGTTTCAGAATGTTTGTAGCAATAATCGTCGGGTTTATGATCATCTCCACGGTCTACGACGTCTATTTGTACACTCACGACATGAGTTAGTTCTTGTTACTAATAATGATTAAGATTAAATTAAAACTATCCCGCTTATAGAAACTAAACACCCACTACTGACCGCTTTCTCCGTTTTCTCCAACGGCAGGAAATTGCTCCAGACTTCGAGCGGATCGAAAGACCAAATCCTCGCGTTCCACGGTATCAAGTTTATCAGCATGATATGGGTCGTAGCGGGCCATAACGGCGTCGCATGGTCCATGATGCCGATTTACAACATCGAATTTGCCGCTGATGTAAGCTTCGAAAACCACATTTGTGGTGCCATGCGAAATCCATACTTATCGTTTACTTATGAATAATAAAGAAGTGAGACATATACGTACAAGGCAAAAGAATGTAAACAATTACATAGCTACAATGGAGGACCTGGCTATGCCGATAATACAAGTACATAAACAACTATAAACAAAAATTGAGGTTTTAAAATCTCGGTTTTAACCACCAAAATGATGAGGTATTTTTACTACAGTTTTTTATCAAAATATGCCGTTAAATATTCTGGGATAACGCTGTTTAGAAAGAAAAATTCGTACAAGTACAAGTTAGTGCGTTAAATCGTTACCTTCTGTACGAAAATTTTTACCGTAGTAGCTCCAATATATTATCTATATGGTAAAAATTGGTACGCCTCAGGCGGCACTGATATTTTCGTAGAGACGATATTCATTTTCCGCACATGCCTATAAATTACACACATTAACCTGCACTTTGCATACTTCGCTTATTTCAATGAAACATTTAACAAAATCTGGACATATTTAGCGCATGGTCAGAAGATAAGCAGATGGGCTGCGCGATTCTTATTGGCCGATTCGAATTGGCTTATTTCACCTCTTTCTCATCTGAATGAGTCAGTTCAACTATTTTTATCGAACTCTTTATGACAATTAGTTGATTTATATAAGAACGTCTGTTTTTAAATAAATACGGTGAATGTAAATACGGTCCTGTCTGATATAATCGAGTTTCCGATATTTCACGGCCACGCTGCATGAATTTATTGACATTGGCATTGGCACTATTTGTTTCTGGAAATACTAGGCTCTAATCCAAAGCAAACTGGATTTAAGGATTAACAAAATTGGTGGTGTAATAAAATGAATGAAACAAATTGCCGCAGTCGTAATTTTTTTGCAATTCACGACGATATATTTGCAACCAATGCAGTTAAATAATATCAGATTCCTGTGTCTTCGACAGGCTAAAAACATAATCTATATATTTCGTCGTTGATAGTAATGAAATAATAGCGTCTTGCAGTTTTTGAGATGTGTGACATCGATGACCACAACCCTGTTTTCCGATTTATTTTTCAGTATGTGACTGCAAGGTACAGCCAGTACATCCAAACCGGTCACTTGGCGGTTGACACTTTCTTTTACCTGTCCGGATTTCTGCTCGCCTATCTTTACTTCAAGGAGCATGCGACCAAATCGTTGCGCACGCAGATTTTTTCCATCCCCTATCAAATAGTCCACCGTTACTTGAGACTGACACCGGCCATGATAGTCGTCGTATTATATCTGATGTACGTCGCGAAATATCTAGGGTCGGGCCCAGCCAAAGAATACGGGATCGAAGGCCAAGCTCAGTCTTGTAGAGATAACTGGTGGGCAGTGCTGTTGTACATCCAAAACTACCACAACCGCCATGAACTAGTAAGTCCACAACACATTTAAATTCAAATTCATTTACAATCAAATTCGAATTTGAAATAACGGTAAAGCTGACGGCCCTTTTAAAATTGTTGTTTGCTTAATAGTTAGACCTATTGTGGTTCGAACGCAACTTTTGATGGCCGTCAAACTAAGCTAATTGACATAAATTTGAAAGTAAGCGTGTTGCAGTGCATAACTTCTCTATGGTACCTGTCGGTGGATATGCAGCTGTTTCTGGTCGCGCCGGTGATCAGCATCCCGATAGCGATGCAATACAGGAGCCATTTTCGACGGGTCATGATCGAGCTAGGCGTGCTTAACGTCATTTTTACTCTGCTTCCGATATGGACGAAACTACAGTTCAAGGATTACGATCCGTATGTTACTGAGCGCGCATGCGTTCCACATGGCGCTGCGTATCCGTTAACGATATTTCTTGCAGGGGGTTCGAAGAGTTCGATACGCACTCGCGGTTGGTGGTTTATTTCATGGGATTCATGTGGGGCTTGTACATTAGGCACGGGAAACACAATCCTCACATTATCAGCACGGTTAGTATCGACAGCGCTGCGTATTTTGTGGCCGTAATAATGAACAGTTCGGAGGCTATAAATTTTTCCACAGGGAGTTAGTCTGTGCCTTTGGTTTTTGACGCTGGGAACAATGTTCGGCGTCGTGATGATGTTTCAGGAGGCGACCTTGCACTACGATTATACCGCAAGGGCCGTGACAAACAGCCTCTTGCGCCCCACTTGGTCTCTTGGTCTTTGCTGGATAGTATATGCCTGCTTCACAGGGAAAGGCGGTAAGATCATAGAAAAATAACTTATTTTGGTTAGTTGGTAAGAGCGGAAGCTGGTCATGGACCACAGGATAAAATATTTTGCGCATTGCCGCGGTATGTTTCAGGCATTATAAATTGGTTTTTGTCGGCGCCGTTTTTCCAAGTTCTTAGCAAACTGACGTACTGCATGTACTTGACGCACGCACAGGTCGTCAGCAATTGGGCCTACACCACCAGATACAGGCAATATTTCAACGACTGGCTTCTGGTGAGTCGTTCGATTAATCGAATTAGAATTATGATTAAACATAGTTTTCATTACTTTTGAAAGTTGTGAAATTAATTCTGTGACAGCTATAATTGGCGAACTTGTTTTATCACGAAATCATTCAAATCAGTCAAATATATATTTGACTCGTTTAAAGGTCAATCTAATCTCAGAATGGCTTTCGAAAATTCAACAAAAACCATAAGTTATTAGGTGTGCGACAATTGCAAAATTTTCTCCTTGGTTATTTGCAAATAATTTAATATTTCTTTGTTTCACTTCGCAAAATTTTCAAAAATTAACCAACAAACGTCCATTATGAATCTATTTCCACCAGTAACCGTGCACATAAGTGCGGTCAGTACATCAGTTTATAGTATGTACATTATTTTAACAGAGAAATTGTGAAAATCGACCCATTACAGTCCTTCGGAACTATAGAACTGTTGTTTAAAGTAGCCTTTGTTAAGGTTGTAATTAACTCTGATATGGACTTCCGATCCTTCAAAAACGTGGTAAACGAAAACCGAACTTTTGAAAGAAGTCGCAAAAATTCAATTTTTTTCCGCGAAAACGTCACAGGATAGTAAATAAATATAGTGAATCAACCGAATATAATATCTTTGGTGGTGCAACGTGAAAACGAGTCGTGAGACGTAAGCGCGGATGATATACAAAATATATCCGTTTCAGTTCTACTCATGGTGTGGTCATATCGTGGTGACACTACTGGTGTCGCTGTTCTGGACTCTCGCTTTTGAGTCGCCCCTTATCACGGTGGAAAAATACCTGATGGGAGGAAGTAAGTCCTGCTTTCGACAATTTCTGCATCGGTTGCAATTTTTGCTTGCGCTTTTGCAGGATCCAGGACGAAGAAGGCCCCCCACCAACATCCCAAAGTCTGATGAAGTTGTCGAGATTATCATTAATAAAATAAACGTGATTTGTAATTTATTAGATATTATACCTTCCGTTTTTAATTTTTAGAATTAATTTGCTGCCTAACCAAATTGTATTTTTCTACAACATTTGATTTCATTTCTACATTTCTACAACATCAAACATTTGATAAAGACATGGTGTTGTCCTGTAAAAATATATAATTTCGTGAAAATCTGAACTTTTAGTTCTCATTTATTTTGATAAATGCATCTTCATGAAGTAAAAGCCACCTCAGTTCAAATTGTGTTTTTCTACGTCGCTGTGGTAAAAAAAAACAACCCTCTATGTGCAACATATTACATTATTTTATTTGTACAAAAATAGGTAAATGATCATAGTAAACAAAGTCCCCTCGACCCGAAAAATGTCGATGATAGGTCAACAAGGCAAAATTGGAGTCTTTCCGACAATACTTTATAATTTTCAGAAACCCTATTGTTCGCCGTACAATTTACTTAATTTCTAAGGTGCGCGGACGGCGCAGTCAGAAATAGGAACGGAAAACACACTTTTTTTTTTCGTTACAATGCTTACAATAAATACGCTAATACAGTAAAATCTTTTATACACCCTGTGTGCAAATTTCAATTCGAATGTTCGCTCCGAAATGTCTATCCGCCATCGATGTTGTTCGGCCTCGATTCGTGAAACATCGATACGAAAACTACCATACACCAATCGATTCGACGGCCTCCGCACGGTCAATTCGATTGCGGTACAAGGCAAATTATATAAGGCTGCCGATCAATTCGACCCAACATACGATATGACCAATAGTGCGCACGATAAAAACTAACGTGTGCGCGTCTACACACAGAAGGGGAGGAGAAGTCCGCAGGAGGCTCCGGACTTTTTCCCATGATTCCCGGGCGTTATAAAATATGTCAAAAATGTAAACCTTTTTGTCGGCGCGAAAAATTAATGCAACACATGACCATTTAATAAATTAGGATTTCAAATTAAGGTCGCAGCGCGACAACGGTGGTCGTTTGAACCATTGTGTAGTACACTGAAATATAGGCTCAGTAGTTGTTAATGGGCGGTGTAAAAGAAAGAAAAAAAAAAACGGAGAAATAAGAAAGGACAGTTAAGTTTTGTTTTTGTGACATCGGTTAATTTAAGGTACTAAAAATTATATTAAATTGTTAATAATAATAAATAAAAATAAAAAGGGTCTTATTAAAAAAAATATTTCCGCAATTCTTTTACTTTTCACTAGGTATCGAGTCATAAAAGTATGAAGTAATTTGTTATTAAATATTGGGACAATGATTTTGATGAATTTTTGTCCAGGTTTGGTTTCCATATAAACTGTTTGGTCACCTGCTGTATGTGTGATATTTAGATACACAACAGCTGTGGATGACATCAAAACAAAATACGTCAAAAATATTAGGAATTGCCCTCCACCACTTAAAAACAACAAACCATACTTCTTTGCAAGCAAAAATTAGATTAAAGCCCAACAGTCACAAAACGTCCACCAAAATCATAATAAATCAATACCTATAATGTACTAGCGAATGGTTTAACATTTGACCACTAGGTGGCATAACGCTTACCTTGAAATCCCAATAGGATGGGCCGCCCATTTTCGTTTTCGAGATTTTTTGCTCCCAACGAAAAGGTATACGACACGACAAGACGGTACCCCTAAAATCCGCGTTTTCCGAATTGTTTTTCTTTTGTTGGGCATCCAAGCACCCCGATCGTGGTGAAAGTTTCGAAAAAATATGAGATGGACAAATTTGAGGTTAGAAAGTAAACGGGCTGTGAAAATTTACTATCAAAATGGTGAAAATTTTACTGTCACTTCGTAAAATTCGGGCAGCTCTCCTCATAATCAAGCCTGAAACATCAACTCCTCGAAGTTCGCAACAATTGGCCATCATCATCCGCTACTTCACGCTTATAACGTTCAACAGTTCAACTTCAACTTACATCCAAAGAAACTGACTGCACGGAGGTTGATGATGTGATTTGATACCAATGACGTACTTTTTCGAGTGCCATTTGAAAAACCGAATTTACGTGAACAAACCACAAACAACTGACGCTCTGAAAGAAGAAATTCACTGAAGCATTGGCCGGATAAGGGAAGCTTTATTGCAAAATATGGTTCAAAATTTTGCGAAAAAGGCCGACATGCTAGAGGTGGAGGTTTGCCGGACATCATATTTCATTATTAACTGCTACATTTCTACTTTATATATGTCAGAGTTTGTCGACAAAAAGTGTACTCTTAAACCCATTTACTTCCTAACCTCAAATTTGCTCACCCTATACTACCTAAAACTATGGTAAAACGGCGCTTATTTAATTGTCTGGGTATCTCAAAAGTAACACGTGTCCTTTAGCAAAAATTATGGATCCAGTGGCGTAGTCAAATTTTAAAACAAAAAAAAATAAAAAAAAATATGAAAAATGCACTTCAATATAGCAAAAAATACGCAATATCGTATTTTTTGGTGAAAATTTTGAGAGTGTCTTTTTGCGACGATCGCGGATATAGTCAAATTTTCAAAATGAAAACAATGGCAATTCAAAATGCATCGAAAAGCCTTTGATTAAATGAGTAGGGCTTCCGTCTTGGTGTATATATAATAAAAAACCTACAACCCCCCTCGATAAAAAAAAAATAATACTGCAGAAATAGAGAGAAAGACGTATACAAATATCATCAAATACGAGATTCTCGAACGGCGTGACGGGGGCGTGGGAGGTAAGCGCTTACTACCGCGGGTCACCACGGGGGGCGTATTACTCGCATGCCAGTTTCCCGTCGAAGCTGCTCAGCGCCACGGCGAAGGCCTGGAGCGCGCACAACGGATACCTGTAGTCCATGGTGAAGACGTCTTCGGCGACGCGGCCGAACTGCATCACCACGTACTCGGGGTCGCTGTCGTGTACGATTTGGAAATTCTTGACAGACGCCTGGGTAACGCGTCCGTGAAAATTCAACACGTACGACTGCGTGTCATCGTTCCATACGGGCGTCTTGTTGTGCAATTCGACGAGGTGATCTGCGCGGCCAGCCCGCCACAGTTCCACCATCGTCTCGGAGTTTTCCCGCGGGCACACAGGAACGCGACGTCCTTCGGCCATTCCCGGCACCAGCACCGTCATTTTTCGCGGCCCCTTGAAACCCAACACGTTCGTGTCGTAAATGATGGCGGCGAGTTCCTAAAAAAAAAACAGCGTGAAGAAAAACCCTCGCGGGCCATTTATCTCTTTTGTCCACGACAGGGTTCTTAGAAAGTAAAAAAAAGGTAGTTTCATTTTTGGGTCTCCGCGACCTACCCCTTTCTTTCATGCAACATGCAATCTGGAATTGTGGAATTTCTATGACTATTTCCATATTAATAACATAATATAATAATATTAATTATTAAATAATTTTTTATTTTTATGAACATCATTATATTATACAGCGTGTCCCACAGGGAACTTCGTCGACCTGTCATGGAAAAACTGTAAGTAGCAAAAACTTGAAAAAAAACTGACTTTGGTGGGGGCGTCCGGATATAAATTGTAGAATATATTTAAATTTTTCCACGCACCTATTTTTATAATCCTATCTTATTTAGCACAAAACATTACGACTATTTTGTATTGTCATTTTTCATAAAAATAAAAATAAAAACTTGTATCTTGTTATTTGCGATATAAAATATATTATCAATAACTATGCCGGCACGCTTAAGTAATAATACGCAGGTATTTGATTATTATTTATGACAGACCGCATTTTCTACCGCATAAGTTAATAGAGTAGAATTTTAAAGGACTCACTACGGGAAAAATGTACAGATATTGTTTGGCCTGCAAATTTGAAGCCTATTTTCAGTAATTCAGAGCTTTTGATTCTACATGTCAATATTAGAAGTATTAAGAAAAATACATTAAAATTAGAAACGATAAGTATTCTTAAACACAAACCAGATATGTACTGAAGCATGGATCATAGAGAATATTAAGTTTAGAAATATAGCAGGTTACACTCATTTTATAAACAACAGTAGAATAAATAAAGCGGATGGGGTGATCATTTATGCTAAAAATAATTTGCAGTATCAAAACGTAAACAAACAATTTCATAAATTAAAAGTCACTAGTATACTTACCCAATAAACGAATAAAAGTATTTTCAAAATCTCTGGAATTTATCGTTGTCATGATTATGAAATCAAGAAGTTGATTAATGATCAGGAGAAATTCAATTCAATGATCATGTAAAGGGTTGGGGGAAGGTGGTTGTAAATCACCCTCAAAATTTAAACGAGAAAGAGCGGCAAGAAAACGGTAGGACATACAACACCCGAAACGGTTAATCACCCACCTTGATGGTTTCCCGCGTCGTCGTCTGCCCGGCCGGGTTTTCTTAGGGGTATTTTCTGGAGGGTTGGGGGTGGTAAGGACCACAACACAGCGCGGGGTTCTCGCGAACCGGTCACAAAAGAGAGCTTGTTTTTTCGTGGTTCGCACTACGGACACTCACGCAAGTCTGTCTTTTCGCGCGGCTTAACCGAGGTTGGGTATGGTGGGGGTGTTGTATACACAGCGCGAAAATAAAAAGTTAACCCAAAACAAAAAAATTATGAAGTTACCGAAAAATGTTATTCAACCCTTAACAGATCATATTTTCATGAGGAGAACGAGCATAGAAAAGTCAAGGCAAAATAATTGATTCAATCTCCGACCACTACCCTGTGTTGGTTTCGGTTTGTGGGAATAATATAAAATGCAAATTCCAAGAAAAATCGCAAATAAATAAGAACAAATTCTGGAAATTATGTGTCTCTGAAAATTGGCAACACCTAATAATGAAGAAGCGTTAGAAATTTTAATAAAGAAAATTCAATATGTCTATAAGCAATCGCTTAAAAATAGGTCTAAAAGTCAAAAATCAAGAAAAACATGGATTACTCCTGCTCTGATTAATTTAGTCAATAAGAAAAACAAATTATATAAAGCCTGGAAAAGCAATCAAGATAATTTGGTCATAAAGGGACAATACACACAATTCCAAAAAAAAAACTTACGTCCCTGCTGAGGGCTGCTAAAAATAGGCATGAAGATAGACAACTGCAAAATGCTGACTCCAAAAGAATGTGGCAATATGTAAATCGTAAATTAGATCTTGCAAAAATCTTGAAAAGGCAAACTATTTTAACGAGTTCTTTTAGCACAGTGATATCTAAACGGATTGAAAGTGTGACTCCTCCAATAAGACATCATCAAATAAAAGGTATACCATATAATCCGAAAAGAATATTTCTAGCACCAACAAATGAGAGAACTTTATCAGACTATTAGTAGATAAACAAATCTGGAGGGTTTGATGACATTCATGCCTACATAATTAAGTTAGCTGCTCCGATCATAACCCCAGTACTGACTCACATAATAAATAATGCAATGGCGCAACGTACTTGTCCATATCAATTCAAGACAGCTGTAATTTGTCCAGTTGATAAGCAAGGTCAGAGAAATTTGGTGAACAACTATCGTCCAATTGCATTAATATCAAATCTTGCTAAGATTTTTTAAAAGTTCCTTAATAAACACAACATATTAAGTTTAAGGCAATTTGGTTTCCTCAAGAAGAAAGGCACAGATGATGCTATAGCTTTACTTAGCAAATTTATATACGAAAACTTAAGTCTTAGCCTATCAACAGTGGTGATTTTTTTAGGCTACACAAAAGCTTTTGATACAGTTGGGAATAAGGGGTGTAAGTTTGTCCTTGATGGCAAGTTATCTGAGAGATAGACACCAATGATACCTGATGATACTGCAGTACTAATGAAAGCAAAATCATAGCCCTTTCAACAGCCATGTCATCAACTCTGGATATTATATACTCCTAGCTCTATCAAAATAAACTGGTACTCAATGCAGACAAGCCTGTTTTTGTCTCTTTTTGAAACTATAGAGACTCTGTTCCACAGAATATTGAAATCAAGATTAATGGTGTGAGTCTGAAAAGACCTACCAGTAGTAAATATCTAGGAATAACTTACGACTATAATATAAAATGGGATGTTCACGTGGCTAACACAGTAAGAAAAACTAAATACTTAGCTTTTTTTGTATAGACTCAAGGAAATACCAACAAGAAAGCAGTTGATAAATTGGTTAAGGCTTTCGCGGCCCGTTGATAAGCTATTATCTTCATTCGGGTTTAAAGGCCGTCGTCGATTGGAATTACTTCCTAACGTTTCGCTAGCACGAGTGGCGAGCTTCTTCAGAGGTCCTTCCATCTCCGATGTTGGTCAGTCTACGTCCAACATCGGAGATGGAAGGACCTCTGAAGAAGCTCGCCACTCGTGCTAGCGAAACGTTAGGAAGTAATTCCAATCGACGACGGCCTTTAAACCCGAATGAAGATAATAGCTTAAGAAAGCAGTTATTACAAATTTATTATGATCTTTTCCATAGTGTCACAGTGTATGCAGTCATAGGCTAGGGAGATCTCTACATTTCTTCGTTTGACCCGTGGGATCGGCTTCAGAAGCGTATTCTTATAATTATGGGATTAAAGGAACAAGATGCAGATAGACCACTGAATATCAAACAACCTTTTGTGATGAATTCAATAGTGTATCAATATAGTGAATTAAAAAATTAATATTTACAAAATCAAATGGATACTCGTAATAAAAGTATTATTTTGCCCGGACACCAACTGGCTAATGGACAATGAAAATATTTTAATGAATTACCTAATGAACTGAAAAATCTCGATGTTGACAAAAAGGTACTTAAAAAAAAGGTAAAGAAAGCATTAGAACTGTTACAATCTAATAAATAAAATGTAAAAATAAAATTCTAAATATCTAAAAGTTTTTTTTCAATTTGTAAAAGTTATAAAAAATAAAATATATTTGTCTATAATTGGCGAGGTGCAACTCACAACCAATATTAAATAGTTGTAGTTCTAAGTTATGTTAGGGCCAACTTATGTACGGGCAGCATTTGCCCAATATAGGTCCTTTACTATAAAAATATTTTTTATGTAAAACAAATTTTTGGCAACAAATATTATTGTTATTATTAGTAAAACGCAATTTTTTACAAAAAATGTAAAATATTTCAGAAACAGCAAAATTTAGTTATAGGATATTATACACGAAATATTTCTAGACTTTTCTGATGAATTTAAAATAAGAAAGTTGACCAAAAAAGCAATAATTTAAAATAAATTAACATCCACTTACGCTATATAAGGAGGTACTGCTAGCTTGAAATATTTTAGCCTTTCAAATTTTTGCTACTTAGGAATAGGAATAGGAAGATGGCTAATTCTGACCTAAAAAACGAAGCGCAAATTATTCAAAATTGAACATTGCCATGATATTTTATAGGCTTATTTTAAATTCCCAGATATTTAAAAAAAAAATTTTGTCTTGTATCAACAACACTTACTCTATTAATTAATTATTAATTAATTAATTAATTAATTCTTTATATTGTTCATTTAAATGAGTATTTACGCGGTGCTCACCTGTCTAGGACGCCGCTCCAGATCCGTACCGACTCTGGGCCCGACGCCGGCGTCCCAAGCTGAAAACTGAGTGCCCAAAAGGTTGCTGCGCAGCTTGCCCACAAACGAAGGCCCCTTGCGGGACAAATCGGTGGGATCGGTACTGATCAAGTAGTTGCTGGTCGCGCTTTTTTTGCGCTTACGCGCCGCCAGCAGGAACGCCCTCCTGCCGTACTCGCGCTCCAGGTGCAGAAAGTAGGTGGGATAGAGACCGCGGTCGACCCCCTTTCTGTCCCGCGTGATGCGGCACTTGAACAGTGACTTAAGGGGCGCCGGCTCAAGCACGAAACGTTCGACATCGCCGCCGATCAGGTCGCCCTCGACCTCGCCCGCCTACAATGAATCCGTGTGAGTGGGAAGATATAAAAAGACGAAAAGAACAAAAAAGGAACTTATTTATTATTCGGTGACTATTTGTCCGCTGGACATTGCAAAGCTAAGTGTTAATGGAAAGCGTTTTTTTCTTTTTAGTCCAGTGTAAAATTAATTCTAACAGCTGGAAAAGACGCCAGCCGAAAATAAACTAAACTTTTTTTATTATTGTTCTAAATCACCAAGGAGTGAGCACATATCAGGATAATTATAAGCAGGGATATGGACCATGATGCTGTTGTGATCGACTTTACAGTTCACAAAAAACAAATGCAAAAGTCATGAACCTTGCTTTAACTTTTCAAGTGCAATTAAAACCACTCCTAATTAAGGTCCCTTAAAGGAAATAAATAATAAAAGAGAGGATGAAGGTCATGCAATGTCAAAATAGCTAAATTAAATACATCCTTGGTTGCTGCACAACTATTAGGGCTTTTTATTAAACCTCACTCACTCACCCCAAGTGATTGTCCATTTCCAAAATTAGGCTGCTCGTTGATTGGATTTATAGAAACACCACTGTTTCCATTGGGGGTCGACGCTACAGGCGATGACTCGTCATCCTCGATATCCATCAGATCCCCGACAGTCAGGTTATTGGTAGTCAAATCTTCGACAATAGTACCATCCATACTATCCACACTGGACATGACTGATATGACCTGATCTGGGTTCTGGTCTCTCCCCATAGCGTATTGCAACGGGCCGTCATAACAGTGGAGTTCCCTACGAGCGCTGCTACTATCTCGGCTCTTGGCCGATGCGTTCTTCACGTCGGACGCCAGGACCATGCCTGAGGTTAACCGCTTCTGTTTCATTTTCTGCTCCATGATTTGGCGCTAAAACGTTATCTAGGATTAGATTCTGAACCCCGCAGGGCTCGAGTGCACGCTTTTCTCACTTGCTGTTCTAATTTTTGCGTTCTGAGATCCATTGCTCGCACCAGTCATGCCAGATCCGTTTTATTTGTATCTATTATATTGTTTTGTTGATTGTTACTCGGGGAGATGAGATCGATCGATTTTTAAGCGCGCCGGCGAGAAAAAACATTGTTAGACCGATTGTCACCGAACTGCTTTGTTTATTTGATTCGACCGACCGTTCCCTTTACGCTTGCGTTGTGTAGGGGTATTTTTTAAAAATCGCCCTTGTTTATTTTTCGTTTCGCTCGGTAAGTTCGACCAGTTGCCTACCCATAGAACTGATGTTGGCGCAAACGATATTTGGCTAATTCTGTCATGTTTTTTCTTTCTTTAAGGAATATTGTTTAACGTCGTGAAAAACATATACTAATAATTAAAGTCGAACAGCTACTTGCCCAAAACTCAACAAAATGAAACGAAACTCGGGCTCAAGTAACAAAATCCAGGGCACGTACGAGCACTATGATTACATATTAGTAATCAACGATTTACACAATCTTGTGAATCTTTAATAAAAAATGCAAAATTCCGTGGACCGCAATACTTGACAATGCAAATACAATCAAGTTATTCAGGTAATAAAGGTGCGCGGACGGCAACAAATATGTACACAAACATCTTGATAAATAAAAATAGAAAAATATTTTTGCAGATTTGGTGGTCTGTGTGTTTTGCGATAAGTGTGTTTGGATGTTTTTAATTAATTATGAAATGATTATGAGAATCGATTACGAAAGAACTTTGTGAACATGGCTGCTTTACAAATTAGCATTTGCTGGTGAATTTTTAACTTTGTGCCATTTGGCAACCCAGCTGGGCCTTCCACAAAGTAGTTGTCATTATCAGCTGATTCTTGGACGAATACTAACAATTATTCAACGTTTGCAGCAAGATGTTTAGCTCGAGAACTGCCGTGTGTATCCAGTAAATCGACGAATTGACAGTTGTTGTCGATTTGAACAAAAATTTCTTTCAGAATAAGGAGGAAATCAAATTTGGAAGCGCTACGAGAGAAAATCGCGAAAGGACCTTCGTTCCAGGAGTTCGTCAAGGATCCTCAGCCGGTTTTAACTGATGATCCGGAAGAATGGGCCGGCTACGATGGCAAATTGAAACGGGCAAAGGGCGACGACGAGAGATTGAGGTTCAGTTGCGGATTATCTATCAAATTGCATAACTATTGGCGGAGTTGTGATTTAATATAGGCTACCGCCATGGCTGAAAAGAACTATCCCAACAGGTAGGAATTTCAGTCGAATCAAAGAACAGTTACGGGATTTGAATCTGCACACCGTGTGTGAAGAGGCTAGATGTCCGAACATAGGCGAATGTTGGGGCGGAGGCGAACACGGCACCGCCACGGCGACCATTATGGTAAGGAATAGGCGCTCGGTGATTTTTTAAACTTATCGGACAATAACGCAGTTATTGGGGGACACATGCACTAGAGGTTGCAGATTTTGTTCGGTCAAGACTGCGAGGTCGCCACCGCCTCCCGATCCGATGGAACCAATTAACACGGCGACGGCAATAGCCTCGTGGGGTTTGGATTACATAGTGTTAACGTCAGTGGATAGAGACGGTAATTATATACTTGGTTGTGGCACAGAAATGTAGTGGACAGCTGGATCTTTGGAATTTTAGATTTGGCAGATGGGGGATCCCAACATTTTGCGGAAACGGTCCAGGAAATCAAAAAGAGGTAATATTTCTGACTCACGAAATAGAACATTTTAATTAGCAAATAAACAAAAAGTGGAAAATATTTTCAACATTTTGAGGAAAAAATGGGGTGGCATCTTTCTGTGTTGAGTGATGGACCTAGTTTTGGAATATATATTTTTTAAAGAGGCAGTAAAAGAGTAAATTGTTGTGATAGGAAATTAACGGATCTGCCAAAAATTCGGGAATGTTCTTTATTTAATTTATCATTAATTAGGTATTGTTAAAAAGAAGAAAATGTCGACACTGTGTTTTGAGACAACTTTTACTAGAGGTGACATTTATTTAGTTCCCTATATTTTTAAAAATGACTTTTCATTGGCTGCAGTTGGCTTCTGTATCTCGACAAAGTCGTCCCATACTTGTTTTATTTTTGATATTGAGCGATTTTCACAAATTCACATTGCGATATTTCGATGAGTTCGCCACCGCTGTTCTATGCAAGTCAAAGAAAACCCTGGGTAAGTAGATTATAGCCCGATTATTGTGTAATTTGATTGACAGTCGTAATTGTTCTGAGGCTGACCAGCCAAAAATACAGTCCAGTTTGCAACAACCCCGCCCCTAGAATTCATCTAGCTCGAGGTGCGCAATCCAATTACACCAGAGCATGAAAGTTATTTCGAAGACATTTGTAGGGGTAATTTTAAAAAGTTCATTATTTAGAAGACTGTGTTTCCTTCTTTTTAGCGTTCCATAATGAACACTTTTTCACTAAACATTTATATTCATTTGTAGTCTGTTGCTCGGGTGCACAGAGAAGAAAAAAACGCCGTGTTTAATCGATATTGGTTTGACTAGTTTAAGTTAAAATTTTCAAAGTGTTAGGTGCCGTTTCTACTTTTTTCCTTGTCGTCGTCATCCCATCATTTTATTTTACTTCCATCAGAAACAAAAGCGTGTTGGTCGAATGTCTGGTACCCGATTTTCGCGGCGACGAGAAACAAATCGAAACTATAGTCAATAGCGGACTAGACGTTTACGCCCACAACATCGAAACGGTCGAATCTCTGACACCTTATGTAAGAGACAGAAGAGCAAGGTATCGGCAGTCTCTGTCTACATTAGAACACGCAAAACGAGTGAATGCCGACCTGATTACGAAATCCTCCATTATGCTCGGCTTGGGAGAAACTGACGGCGAAGTAGGCGTGTGCCTGCGTGATCTCAGGGACGCAGGAGTCGACTGCGTCACTCTCGGACAGTACATGCAACCCACCAAACGTCATTTGAAAGTGGTCGAATACGTCACGCCGGAAAAATTCAAACGGTGGGAGATCGAAGGCTCCGGGATGGGGTTCCTTTACGTAGCGAGCGGACCACTGGTGAGGAGTTCTTATAAGGCGGGAGAATTTTTCATTGCGAGCGTGTTGAGGAATCGAAAATCCGGCGCCGCCTAGGTTAGAAACTTGTAAATCGATGAGCGATTAAAGGTGTAAATAAGAGTTTTGTGTTCTTTTCTACGATCCAGAAGAAATCTGTCATAGCGCGGAAACTTATTTAGTAAACGTATAGTTTTGACAGGTTGTTTTTTTTTAACAGAGCAACGTGAGTATTTCAAAATATGGATTTTTCATGGCTTTGAAGATTCCGGATTATTTTTTGACACACCATCTTGTGTTATTATTACTATTATTGTATTATTAGGCAGTAGGCGGCAATGCCGGTAAAACTGCACTGTAGTATATGCATATACTCCATATACAGAAGTGATGTATTGACACTGCATTCACTTTCCGTTTAAAAAAATTCAAGTCTTTTTTTAAAGCTATTCAGGGGTAGTTGGAATCACAATATCATCTGATAAACTGTTCCACTTATTTTCTACACGGTTTGTGAAAAATTTTTGGCGTGAAAGTCTGTGACAAGAGACAATGTTAATGAATGGCCAAGGGTTAGTTTCGATGAAAAAGGTCAATATCGCATAAGTAGTGGCCATACAGTAGTACAGTAGCATTCAATTAAGTCCCCTTCTTCTCCTTTCTTCTAAGTTCGTTGATATGGGAGGTTCCTTTAAAGATGGCGAGATTCCAGAAGGTCTATGTCCTTTTGGATGTTTGGAGGCCATGCCAACTACTTTATTTGTTGTTTAAAAGGGATGTTATTCTATTGTTTCTGATGTTTTAGTTACTTACAAAAATAAAAATATTTTTAAAAATCGTAATCCTTAATGATTTTTTTTTGTCAATCTTCCTCACTAATAGGCAGAGATAGAATCAAAACAAAATTGAATAAAAAAAAGCTATAATCTACACTAAACCCGGCTTACACAAATCCCTAAAAATCTACGCCCACTGGGTGACGCGTTCCCCCTCCTCGATCTCACACCAATGCGGCGACCTCTTCTCCGCGTTCAGCCAATTGAAATCGTCGATACCCCTCCAGTTATTCAGAGAGCTGTCGAGCGACGCTTCCTCGAAGTGACCGTCCAGTCCCTCATAGTTCCAATTGTAAGGCGCGACTCGAATGGCGTCGCAGTCTTCCATAATCGCCCTGCTCGTGACGTGTAGATAAATATCGACTCTAGCAGAGCCGTGAAGTCTCAACTGCTGACACGCTATGACAAAGGTGCAGTCGTTGCAGCGTTCGGCAAATACCGACGTCGAAACCGGACCCGACAACACTCGACAGTTACTCAACCCATTAAGAAACAATGTGCTGGGCACTCCGCGTATGATGACGTCGCAGTCGCGCATGCGTTCTAGCACGACGTCCTTTTTCCTCACCTCATCTGCGTTTAGTACTAAAACTTCGTCTCTGCGGTCGGAAAACCCACAGGACGGCAGGAATTGCAACCCGACGTCCTGCCGAGCATCGGAGTCGACTTGGTCCTCGATTTCCGAATGTTTCTGATCCTGCGTCGGTTTTGTTTTGAACCCGAACTTTTTCTTCGGCAGCAGGACAGTTTCGAGGCGGTGCGCGTGGTCGTTCAAGTCGCGCACGATGTTTTGACACCGCGTGACGAAGTAACTCTTCAGGAACAGGCTCGACGCCGCGACGTACTTCTGTAGGAGCGCGATCTCCTTAAATATGGTGTCGAAATGGCCGGGCAAGTCTTGAGTAGGTATAGCGCGCGTTTTGGCCAGTAACTCCTCGACGGCGCACTGTCTTTCGGCGAAGCTTTTCTCAAAATAGCTCAGCTGTTCGACCTCGGAGGCCGCGCGCGCTTTGGTCTCCTGCCGTTTGAGCAGGTTGGACTGGCGCTCCGATTCACGCTCCTTCATCGTTTTTATTTTGCCGACGCCCGCGTCGAAAATATCCATTTCGTATATAAGCCTAGGGATGGGGATTACAGCAGGGCTACTGCTACTATTACTATTACTGGTGCTTCTTCAACTCCTTCTCGATCTCCGCTTTGGACAAACGGTAGAGGGGGGCGTCGGAAGAGGCGGCCGCTTTGAGCACATTTAAAATTTGCTGGTTTTTGCTGGTGAATTGTTGACGCTCTTCCGCCGGCTGGTTCTGCAAAAAGAGAAAATCGCGCTTTGAAGATGCCACATTATCCTATAAGGGACAAACGAAGTTTTCGAAATATTTTAGTAATCAATTGTGCTGCATTTTGGATAGCAGCAAGTGGATTTTACCCCAAAGTAGTGAACTAACCAAAAGTAATTTTTTTCTAAATTATAAATTCGGCGAAAACAGTTCACAGTTCAACATTCATCTTTTAACATTTATGTTAAAAGAGCAACTTCCTTACCAAGGGATAATTTCTTGAGACTTTATAGACATCAACTGTCTGTCATCTGTGTCATTCAAGTAAAGAACTGGAATGATCATTTAATGTGAATGGTGATCAGATTAGGAAAACATAATTCCTCTAAAATTTTAAATACCACAAAAATGTGAGGTTACACTTGTCAATTGACACTGTCTTTTTAAATAGGGAATTGAATTTAGGAAAGAAGCTTAGAAATAAAAATTATAAAGTTGAGTTAATCCTAATATAAAATGCGAGGCTCAAAATATATTACACTTCTGAATATGTCGCTTCTCTCTTGGGAAGGTGCGGTAAGAACCAGTAGCCCGTATCCCAATCCGGAAATCGAAGTAAGCCAAAATAGGGACTGGATAAGTCTAGCCATTAAAAGACTCGTTCGCCTCCCAATAAGTCTGGTCTAGTTGACGAATTCTGTTGTTGGAATCAATGAATTCACCCGTTTTGTAATATACTTCCAACAGAGACGGGTAATTTAGTTTCAAGTACTTTCGGGTCTCTAAAAAATTACCAGCTAGATTCCGGTTATTTGCAAACCAAAGCCCACAAAGGCGTCAGAAAAAAACAGCTTATTTACCTCTGTCAGTGTTCACTTTGTACCAAATACCGTAGGTCGCGACGAAACACAAAGACTCGGCTACGAATAACGTCAAAAAGCCACGCTTTAAGTACTTTTTGGCAGTTGATTTAGGAGTTTTAATCAGCATTTCTTTTTTTGACTATTTTTGGACATATCGCATGACAATGAATTTAGTCTAGTAATAACGCCACAGACCACTCTGGAAACGACTCACAGATCATGATACTCCATTTCTGACAGAAGCGTCCAACCAATTGGTTGACTGGCGAACGGCAAAAAAAATAATATAACATTTGTGGCAACCTTGTTGCAAACAGGACAAAAAGAACGCACGCCTTTCGGCGACTGAAGTCACCATTCGAAAAGAGATGCTTCTTCCGTTTGTATTAGGTGGCCAGTTAATATCACGGAGAGCCATTACCTAATTTATTCTGTGGTCTGAATGCGCCCTCTGTGGTGTAAAAATTAGCCTCCAGTGTTTGGTGAGGGTGACTGAAAAAAAGTGTGATAATAATTGTATACAAATTAAGCAGTCGTAAACGAGTCCGGGACAAAAGTTTTTGTTCGCGTTTGATAGCTGATTCGATGTCACGGTGTAGTTTTCCTTCTCCAATATGACCTAAATTAGTATGTGATAAGTGAAGGTGTGTAGTTTATTTGCAATGTTATTAATGACCACCTGGTTAAGTTAAGCCAGAATTGCGATATCACCGACGGTTTTATTTAATAAGATACCGTCCAAGGTCTCCCGAAACGACGATTAGATTCGTCAAACTTTTCGGCTGCTTCCCTTGGGGCCAGGGATGGAAGGGTTGCGTTTTCAGTTTTACAAATGTCGCAAAGAGGGGTCGTTTTTCCAGATTGACAGTGTCAACGAATGCCTCCGTTGGTGGGGTCTGATGACTGCCGCCAGCTGAGGTCCATGGAACCGCCGCGCAATGGAGACTTCGTCAGCTCGGTTCACATGGCGTCGGCTCTGGTCGGCAAGGTATGGTCATCATCAACGCAGCAGCAATCCAACCAGCACCACCATCAGTTCCGGCAGCTGCCAATTACGCCCTACCTGCGCACCGCGCTCTACGACTACGACGCACAGGGTGAAGATGAGTTGTCGTTACGTAAGGGGCAAATTGTGGAAGTTTTATCAGAAGATGCCAAGATATCAGGCGACGAGGGTTGGTGGACTGGAAAGATCGGCGATAAGGCAAATATATAGAGTGTTAATGTCCGTGACAATTAAGACAATGGACTTTTTGTACAGGTAGGGATCTTTCCTTCAAATTTCGTGGCACATCATGATATTGACGACGAAAGTGAAAATATCGATTCAATCATTGCCGACGTTAATCTGATCAAGATTGACTTTGCCGAACTGAAATTGGAGGAGGTAATAGGAGTTGGCGGTTTTTGCAAGGTAATTAACAGTCACAGTTCGTCATCTAATTTTTAGTGTTTAATTAATGGCGCATGTGAGAGAACAAACTAATTTATCGCCGAGTTTTACAAGTAATGTTGGGGAAACCCTTTTTATATTTTCCAAATTACAGAGTAAGTTGACCTTTGAAGTAACTGGTCGGGCTTTACAGGTGTTCAGAATATTTTGTTTCTAGTCTCTTTGTGTTCCCAGTTGTCATAATTTTTTGCGTGTATAGAGAAAAAAAACGATATTGCAAAATTTATAAAAACATCGCTGTTTTTGTAGTTAAATTTGTATTTTTCTTAAATTAAAATTAAAATTAAATTTATTTGGTATTAAAAAGTAGTGAACACATAGAATATTAATAATATTATAAAGAAAATTTCATGTGAATATACAACTTTTATAATTAAATGGAATTAAGATGAAATTTATGTTCTACATAACATTATTATAAATTAAACATCTGATTTATTAAACAAATTATATGTAATTGCATATTTTTACTATTGTTATTTTAGTACCAAGTAAAGTACAGTAATATCCATTACATTACGTACATAAATTGAACAATAGGAATGAAAAATCAAAATGAACTTTAAAAGACCAATTAAACATCATAATTTAATAATAAGTAACTAAATAAGCAGTTTTACAGCATATTTTAAATGACTATTACACTATCAAAAAGACGCTATTATTATTTAAAATTTTTAGAATAAAAATATATAATAAATAAACTTGGACAGATACAAGTTAATCATGAAAGACGGTGCGCCGTAGTTTACTTCGGATTCAAAATTTAATCTCATTGTCTCAAGAAACAAAGAGAGTATTAGAATGAAAATGAGATGTGTGAATGTATTATATTAATTGATAAGTTTAAAACAGTTATTTAAATATTTCAGAAATACCGACTTTTTATGTTTAAGTTTTTTTAAAAACAAATTTGGCCATCGTGGCAAAAATTTTCCCACTGAACTAAGCCGCGCCAATCCTATGGCTCAGGTTTACCGAGGAGAGTGGCAAGGCCGCGAGGTAGCGGTCAAAGCTGCGCGCCAAGACGCCGATGAGGACCTGACCTCGACCTTGGAGAATGTTGTCAAGGAGGCGAAGCTGTTTTGCCTGTTGCGCCACGAAAACATCGTGTCGCTAGAAGGCGTCTGCCTGCAGGAACCAAACTTGTGCCTGGTGCTCGAATACTGCCGTGGGGGGTCACTGAACCGGATCCTGGCCGGGCGCAAGATCAGACCAGACGTTCTGGTCGACTGGGCTATCCAGATAGCTCGCGGCATGAACTATCTGCATTGGCACGCCCCCATTTCGCTCATCCATCGCGACCTGAAGAGTTCGAACGGTAGGTTAGAACGATCGTAAAAGTCGGCGTTTTTAACTCTTTAACTCTAGAATTGTGTTTTTTACACTTGCCAGACTATCAGCTGTCTATTTCTATCTTTATAAGTCGTTATTCTTCGAAAAAATGTTTTAAAAAATTCATAAAATCGGGAGATCAATGTCAGAATAGTATATTATGTAACAAGTGCGGTAAACGGTATTTGACTCACGAGTTTATTTGACACGAGCGGAGCAAGTGTTTAATAAACGAGTGAGTTAAAAAGTTTACTGAGCGCGTTGCATACTATACTTTTTCTACGACCGTTAGTTTTTGGATAAATTTCGCAAAACACGAATACATTCACTGACATGACCGTCAAAATTGACAAACGTCAAAATTCAAAGCGTGGGAAATATCTCCGAAAACATCCGATTGCTCCCAAACCCGTGCGGTAAAATCCCGGAAATGAATCATGGGAATCATGGGAAACGAAACTGACGTGGTAAATTGATGTTTCCCGTACGCTAGATCATTGGGTAATTAGGTATTTTAAGGACGGGAGTAGAAAAATATATTTTCAAATATACAGAGTATGTTATAAGAATGTGTTTTTTCAAATGGAACATCCTGGTATAGGACCAATGAGCAACAACCCAACACAATAAAGTAGTTAAAGTTAAAGTGTTGCTTATAAAAAAATCACAAAAACTAGTTTAATGTTTGTCAAGTTGGCAAGACTTGGGATATCCCCATGTATGAAGTAATATGTTTGGGATTCTTATAATTTGTAGATAGTCTGAAATATATCCATAATTTTTTCTGTCCTTTTGGTTATTTTTTCTTATTGGAGGAAACTTTTTATTTTCGCGAACATTTATATGTACCTGGGATCGCTATGTGCGTTTTTTTTGTTTTGAGTCGGCATTGGAAGCAATAATTTTCGGCCAGTACCTTATGAACCTTAGTATTCAAAAGAGAACGCATACGCTGACCATTAAAACCATTAATTCTGTCCAGTCTTCCAATAATTTGGGTTACTACCACCAGGAAGCCATCACTTGTGAGTGTCTTGGTTAAAATTCGTTTTTCGCTAATCGAACCGCAAAATCTAACGGTAAACTCCCAACAAAATGACTTGGGCCCTTTACAAACTTTTATGTTGTTTTATGGCTTTTTAACTTCGATTTCAGCTGCCTCTTATCTACGTCTGCTTTTGCTTATTTTTTGTGAGAAAAGTAAATTTTAGAAAGAGAAAAGGTGTTTTTGTATATTGCAAAAATACCACAATACTGACTGACTGAATTGAAGTGTCATTTCATGTTTGTGTAACCGAAGAGGTGTTCCCTAAGAGGGGTACTTATTTTCTTGTTTTTTGTTTTATCTATTGTAGATTTCCTAATGCAATGTACCCTCTGCACTTACGTAGTTTCCAGATTTATCATAGACCGGCGTAATTATTTTATTGTTAGCATTCATTTTTACCATCTTACACAATAATAATAATTAGAAAGTTAGAATGTTCAGCTTTTGATTAGAAATTTGCTAAGGGGCAGTGAAATTGAAACTGCTATTAGTAACACATCGAGTTGAGATACATTTTGGAAATTACAAATGTACCAGATTGAAAGATATACCAGACCATTGAAAAATTTGTTCTATTTTCTCCCCAGAAGTTGCAACATCGCATTACAATGAAAATATTTTGTTGTTACCGTTGATTGGTTGGTTTCCCAAGTGACCAAGGTCAAATGGAATACTGGACAGAGACTTAGGCTGTTGATTGTTTCGGAATTTTATAACATAAGGGTGGTGAAAAATCTGGAAAAACGCTTCTGATTGCAGTGCTGCTCAGCGAGGAGATTGAGCATGACGATCTTCTTTACAAGACCCTGAAGATCACCGACTTTGGGCTCGCTCGCGAAGTATATAAAACGACGAGGATGTCCCAGGCTGGGACCTACGCGTGGATGGCGCCCGAGGTTATCAAGAACTCGACGTTTTCCAAGGCCAGCGACGTGTGGAGCTACGGCGTGCTCCTGTGGGAGCTACTCACTGGCGAGGTCCCCTATAAGGGAATAGACACTCTGGCGGTCGCCTATGGGGTGGCGGTTAACAAGCTGACGTTGCCGATACCGAGCACGTGTCCCCAGCCGTGGAGGAAACTAATGGAGAGTATGTAATCGAAACTGCTGAAAACTCGCGGGTTTTTCGAATTAACGGGACACTAAAGGAGTGTTTGTTGGGGCTGTTTTTAGAATGTTGGGCCTCTGACCCGCATCGAAGGCCTTCGTTCGAGCACATTCTAGAGGATCTCGACGAGATCGTGCACTCGTCATTCTGTCAGACGCCCCACGAGAGTTTCCATGTTATGCAGGACGACTGGCGCCTCGAAATCGAGGAGGTGCTCCTCGAGCTGCGCAGGAAAGAAAAGGTATTGCAGGTTCTTTAATATTATTTTCTTTTATTTTGGCAGTCGCTTAAGTGAGAAATCCATTTTGTCTTTATCCGTTTCTCTGTTTCAACCATTCCGCTCGCCAGGCTTGCAAAACCTACGAAGAGGTAATTTTGTGTGTGTCGCTTTAGGGTTTGCTGCTTGCATGAGGGTTGGGGGGGACGCACCGGCGGCGCGCGGGCTTTTTGTTGGGGTGTGGCTCGAAGGACTAAATGTAAGCAAGCCCGCGGTGCCCAGATTCGCGCGTGCTAGGCTCGATATTTATATTGAGAGTTAATTGTGTTAATTGTAGTAATTTACAGTGGCCGAGCGTTACGAGAGAGAAATAAAATAAACTCGCCTTGAAAATTATCAATCCGCTCTATGAAACGAACTTCCACGTTTATTTTGATTACTCCCTTAGTATCGCGGGCCAGTATACACGAACGCATGTTTCTATGCATTATCACGGTGTGATTTATAAAAAACTGTTATTGACGAGACTCCCGCCATTGACATTTATAAAAGGAGACCAGAGGCAAGTCATTGGTTAAACACCAAGAATGAGTTTGATAGTAACTGGTTCTAGCATCACATTATATTTTCACTTAACCAAAACTAGACCGATAAAAGTTACTACAAGGTTTTAACAATAATACAAAAGACCTTTTTTTTTTAATTTTTCATCTATTCTTTGTTTTTCCTTTCATCCACTTTTTCCTCCTGCACATTTCTTCCATCCTTTTCACGTCTTTGCCCATGTCGTTCCTTACTACTATCACTGGTGGCCTAAGTGCTTGGACGCCCGCCAGGGCGCCCCCCTTTAATACCAATACCAATACCAATGCTACTATCATTCCTACTTTCTAAATATATATATATATATATATATATATATATATATATATATATATATATATATATATATATATATTACCAAAACCTTTAAGAGTCAAGGTAACTTATATAATTGGGGACAAAAGTCAGCACGATGAAGATTGAGACATATACATTTAATATTTATCTCCCTCCAGCTTTCTGTTACTAGCTTGCACCGCTGTCTCCTACTTACTTTTTTGATCCTTCCATATTCATTTACTCTTTGTCACTTTTCTTCTTCCATTATTTGTGTTTCAAAATTTTATTTAAGTCAGCATTATGATGCTGACTGCCGGTCTCCTTCGCGCATAACATTAATGTCATTGGTTTCCCGTCCATTCTGGTAATACTTAACGCAGTCTCGTGACGCTCAGGAGCTACGCAGCCGTGAGGAGGATCTAAATCGCGCGCAGCTGCAGCAGCGCGTCCACGAGGAGCAGCTCCGTCAGAAGGAGCAGGAGCTACACGCGCGCGAAATGGACATCCTAAAGCGCGAGCTCAATTTTATGATCATACAACACACGCCGACGCCAATCAAGCGCAAGGGCAAGTTCAAGAGGTCGAGGCTGAAACTAGTAAAGAAGGAGCCGGCGGCAAACATCAGTTTCCCGTCGGATTTCCGGCACACCATCACCGTGCAGCACACGATCGACCCTAAAGGCATCGCGGGCTTGATGTCGCCCGTCAGCCCGCCCGGCTCGCCCGCCATACCAAGGCTGCGCGCGATTGCGAGTAAGTGATGCGCGTGGCATGAGAGCGTGGTTTTTGTTTTTTCGGCATGGTAATTTTAATTTTTACCACCTCGGGGGGGGGTTCTACTGAATGGATTTAATTCCATTGTTGTAAATGGGGGCATCCAACACTATATGTAAACTTTCTTACCGCCTTTTTATAACTAACACGCAATTTATAATTCTTATTTTATAAAACTTGCGTCCTACACAATAAATGTCTAGTAGGGCTTATAGCTATCACTCGATTTATAATTGTAGTTTTATTTAAAAAAAAACTGGCGCTTAACACGATTTTTTATACACTGGGGGGCGGGGGGTATAAATCTGGCTTCCGCAACGCGGCATCTCCTTAAGGAACTGGCGACCGCCCCGCCGCGGTCCCGGAACCGAAGGCGCGCTTTACGTGCTTTGCTTTCGCAGTGCCCGCGGACGGTGTCAAGGGCAAAACGTGGGGCCCGAGCACGTGTCACCAGCGCGAACGCGGCCACATAACGATGTTGAGGCCGGCAGCCAACAGCAGCGCCTTGTGGTCGAAGAGCGCCCCCAACCTGGACAAGACGCGACCGTCGCCTAGCCACCAAGCGGCTCAGTCGTCTCATCGCCACCACCAAGATGATATAGGTAACATTTCGCCCACCGATAGCGGCAGCAAAAGCGCGTCCAGGCTGCAGCTGTTTAAAAAATTGACCGCCCTCACCGCCCCCGTCGAATGGAAGCGATTCGGCTCGGCGCGTAACAATAGCATCGCCGCCGCGACGCCGGCGGGAGCACGCGAAATCGTTGCCTCCGCCGGTGGACGGGGCGGTCTTTTTAAAAATAACCGACTGAGCAGATCGATCGGGAACGTGGCGGAGGGCGGCCATTACGACACCGTCTTCGCCACCGACAGTTTTATCATTGCCAGGGGCGTGGGCGGCTCGGCCGACTTTGACTGGACGCCCAAGTCGCAGGGCTGACCGGAGGGGGGGGAGAAAGGCGGGCCGAACCGCACGTATTTATTCAAGGTTAGGTTTTTGTGGTCCTCGTTCGCAAGAATAATGAGTGGTGAAAAAAATAGATGTTAATATTTTACCGAGTAGTGTCCGCAATTTGACGAGGCAAAAACCTGATGAGAGGGCCTTTTCTAAATATTTTCGAAACCTAACAATGTTTAAATAAATAAATTTTTAATAATCGAGAGGAATGAATAGGAACAAGTTGTGACCACTAGTTCATAAGAATAATACGTGATTGTACTTTTGAGGGCCAGTTCGCAACAGTTCGCCGCCACTGGCCAGTATAAGGCGTATCTAACTGTCTGTTAGAGGGGGTATTTCGCTAGAGAAAATTCGGCTGCGCAAAGATCTACTAACTGAGTTTAAATGCCGAATTTCGAGCGATATTTCATTTACGTCCGCGAAAATATCGATGATTTCGAAGTGCGCAGAGGTAAATGAAATATCGCTGGATATTCGGCTTTCAAATTCACTGAATATATTTTTTCGCCGACTTTTCCTAGCAAACCGTAGCTTAAATCAGTAACACAGCACCAAGGTAATAATTCATCTTTTGTCTATGATAATTGTAGTAAATACCAAAAAAAAATAAGGGTTGAAAAAAAGTAATAAAATGGGACCAAGATTTTAAACAGAACATATATTTTTGTTGCATTATCCGTTAATTAGGATTTGTTTAATTTAATTATTTCCAGCAAATTGGACAAAAATATCGACCAAGGCTAGGATCCCCCTCCCCCACGCCCTTAGTTTGTAAGCATCCCTCCGCATGTTTCGATGTGAACCTTTTTTTTTTTTTGTTCCAACGTAGGGTAGTTTTTTTTGTAATTACAGCGTAGCGGCTTATGTTTTTAGGTATAATTTAGGTCATTTTATTTTGCAATTCGTTCGCCGCGGCAGTCCCCTCCAGAAGACGATCTGCCGTTTTTTTTTTTTGGATTGGCTTTGTTTTTTTTTCCCGAGTGCCTGGCATGCGCGCGGCGGGGTCTCGAGGAGTTAACTTATGCGCGCTCTGGTGGTGACGGTCTAATGCACTGTGTAAAGTTTGTTTTAATTTTTTTAAAATTTTAATAAACATTAAACACGTTCCTACCCGCTGTTTAATTTTTTACTCACACTCGGCATGCCCTCTTTTTTTGGGGGGGGTGGGGAGGTTGCGGCTTAGCGCCGACGACGGACCAGGTGGAAGGAGGTGACAATTAACCCCGCATCTTTTAACACTTAACAGGGTGGGGCCGTTGGGAATCGGAATAAATTATCGCTAGATGGCGTAAGCGTTGCATAACCACGAAAACATCCATATTTATGACGTCCGTTGAGGTTACACCATCTAACCACTATTTGATAGTTATAAATGACTGTGAGTGGGGCCCTAGGTTGCCCACCCTGTACATGTTCCGCGCCCTATTAAACCGGCGAATACGTACTAATAATCCTTACATTAAAAGAATAATTAACAATTCCCTAATAACTGATCCAGCAAGGGCGCAAGCTGGGAGGAGACTTTTCTCAATTGCGTTCCCCGTAACGATTATAGAGGAATTATTATCATTTGGATTAAAAAAGGGCAATGAAACGCAAAAAGTACAGCCGGAATGTTTCGTAGTTATAGTCGTAGTAGTAGTAGTGTCATAGTTGTGGACGTGCTCGCAAGGACACAAAAAAAAGAGTGTCGTTTACTTTTGACAGATCACGTGCCTCCCGAAGACTGGGGACCGGAATACTTGATACCCGGCGGGTTTAGGCACAACGTACCGATGCCCACCCTGTACAACGCCGAAGGTAAGTGCACATGAGATCTCAGTGCGCACGTATGTTGACCTGATTTTATTTAGGTCAGAGACTGAAGCCGAAACTGGGCATAGTTGAACTCGTATTGTATAATATCGCCGCCATGTTGGCGGGCGTAGCGTCTGGCTACGACGTGCGACTGTCCAATGTTTCTCCGCTTCACCCGAGGCTACAACCCGCCAGGTAAATACTGTCGCATTGGCGACACTCCACCCCTAACGTTGTTATCTCAAAGGACGGAAGGCGTGGACCACCTCCCCGCGTGGAGGCCGATCGAACACGAAGAGTATGAGTATTCTACGGTGTCCGGCTACAACCACAACACGTACCACGGACCCACCAAACACTACAGGTCGGCGCTGACAGGTTCACAGCTTTTAGCATTGCGGAATGAGGAGAAGCGTCCTCTAAGGTTCACGGATTCCCCACCCCAATGCTGTCCCCCAAACCCATCACCGCGGAGGAAATCTAGCTCGACCAGCACCGACGGGTTCGAAATCTGTGCCGGTTTCGATCGCACTCCTATATACGCCCCAGGTTTGTTTGTTTTATATATAGGGTGTTATGGAATTCACGTCGAATAATTTAGTAAGGTGAACCCCGAAGTCAAGGAACACATAGATGGTGCTTTATCAGCAACACAGTAAAAGTTGTTGAGATCTTTCATAGTTATTATCAATTGCCCGATTGGGCCTAATAAGGTCACTGAAAAATATCACTTGTTAAATTATACAACGTCGATTACCGTATACATCACCGGACACTAACTCATAAAGTCGGCGTGCAGGTGACTACAGCGATCGATGCCCGAACGAACCGGGGTCGTGCCTAAGATGCAGCTTCAGACCACCCGACAGTACTTACTTGGCAAACCATTCGGAATGCAGCACGACCACTCTTTACGGTTACGGCACCGATTATGCATACGACAATCCGAGCAGTGTGAGCAGTCACAGCGGTTCGAGGACACCCCAAAAGTGAGCCCCAATCGGTTCTTGTTTATTGCATATTTTTTTGCTAATTTTCGGCCCCTGCCAGTTTACCCTTCCAGTTGCACCGGAGGACATCCTCCAACATTTCCAGCGCCAGCTCCACGACAACGAGCGGCTCGAACGTCAATCCCAGCTTTAAGTTGGAGGACGAATACACCTTAACGTCGAGTTTCCGACGGCACGACTCTACCGCCAGGACCGAATTTTTGGGGTTGGAGACGGCGGGACACGCGAGGCTCAGGTCAAGCCTCAAACGCAATCATTTCCACGGGTCGCCAGGTGGCGGCAGCGGCGACGCCCCTACTCCACCCGATAGTTTGGCTAGTGACGACAGCAGTTACGTATCGGCCAGTTCGGTCAGCAGAGTGCGGTTCTCACCGACCACGCTTATCGACTTACCGGCCCCCGGCCAGAACATGGACCCGACGGTGCCGCTGCAGGCCCGCAGGAGCAGGCAAAGGCCATCGCTCGCGGAAATGGAAAAGGAATTCTTCTCGTAACGAGTTGATACGTATTCAGGGTTCTCAGCAATTAACAAAGTTATAATTCTCGGACTTGTCCAGATATTATACAGACTTGCAAATGACATTTTCGAGGCATGCTTAAACAAAAAACTAATTGTAAAAAAACGGTTTACATATATAGTCCTAAGGAAGTTATTGGAAAATCTCGAATCATTAATGCAGAATTTTTGAGACTTCCAGGTTGCTGAGATCCCCGACATTTTTACGGAACGGAACTAGTCTTGAATTTTATTATATTTATTTGCGCCTTTTAGCGTTCTCTTTTTATATACATTTATACGTTTTATGTTCTAGCGTACGCCAGGACCGTATTTAGGCTTAAGTATTTTTATGGTTTTAAGTGATGACGGACCGTTTTAACTGATTTAAAAGTAATTACTAAGATAGGGAAAATATTCCGTTGTGGTGAGCTTTCTTTTTTTTTTCGACGAAACACGGTGGCATCGCGAAGAGATTTTACAATTTTTTATCTAGTCATCGAAAGAATATTTTAAAAAATATGGGCGGGATGCGGCGGTACCAGCGCACGGAAGCGAGAGACTTCGCTGGGGTGGGCTATAGGAATCAGGTAGGCATACGTTTCGAACTTTTTAACCCTATTTTTGTAGTAAAACGGATTTTAATTGACCGTAGTTTGCGAGTGGACGTTTACCGTAGGCTTCGCCTCAACCGTACGCTTTCACTACTGGTGATATCCGCTCGATTCCGGCTGGTGTGCTGTATTCCTTTTATAGACTGTACAGCATTACCATTAGCAATTACCCGTAGCGCAGCTGAAGCTTGACCGCTTCAATCAAAATAAGCGCTCCCAGCTTCGGAGTGGACGACCAATCCCATCCCCCTCCCAGCATAAGACTGCCTCTCGACATTCCAGCACAAATTGCACCAGTCCCACCTAAAAGCCCGAATGTACTTACCTTTTTTTTTGCAATAGCACTATTGTGCGACTGACTGTATATATTGATATAGGGTATCCACGGATTCGTCTGCGTGTATACAGTGTGTTACAAAGGTGCTAGGCCAAATGCCTAACAGCAATTTAGGGCAAATTAGACTTACCTCAGCCTCGAAGTGGACGCTTTCGAAAACTTTCTGAGGCACATTGTATACACCATTCTTTCTCGGGGGCGTTATGGACGGGTCGACCCGCGTGACGTAGAGAAGAAAAAGACGACAAACGAGACCGTAGCGGTCAACGCAGCGTCCACATACAGGGTGTTTTAGCTTTGTGCAGCCTCAACCACTCACCCTGCATAGGTATTAAAAAAGTAAAAAAAAATCATTTATTATAGTGCTAAATGTTTTTAAAATGAAGTGACCTTGAAGTTAAATCTATATGCAGCATGTTGCAGTTATTCGAAACGGATTTGCTAATTTGCTAAATACACCGCAGGGTGGGCCAGTTAGGTCGCGTCGGACACCCTGTATATAAGACACGAAGTCCCGTGTACATAAATAATCGCCATTTGTAAAATACAACCCTTACCACCGCCATCGCCGAGGAGTACTCCGTGTGCTTCCGCAACCACTAAAGAAATTACTTGTACCATACATTCCATATTATTATTAAAAAAATCGTCTTGTAGCCCGTAATAAAGAAAAATGATTTACGTATTTTTTTTATTATTTGTTTCACCTTGTCGTTAATTAAAAATCTGGATGTTGAAGAGCCCACCGCCGGAGAGGGTGGCGGAGACAAAATCAAGCAGAGACACACAGGCCACATGCATATCAAACGGAATATATTACAAACCAAATTTCGCCACAAAATTTACAGACGCGCACGCGCGCCAAGTCCGTTTTCCCCACTCCGCGCCGTTCACAAATTACACTACGCACTTTATACAATAAAAAAAAGCAAAATTATACGCGGTGTCGTCATATAATTTATTTTTTTTAAAAGTCTCGAGGTACGCAATACGGAGCGTTGGCCGAGCACATGGCACATGTAAGCAACGACTACCTGGGCGTTAATTTTTAAGTAGATTTATCAACGCGGTTCCGCGTTTATCAAGATAGGGATTAGTTTTTTTTTCTTTCTAAAATTCTAAATTAAAGTTCCAATTTTATATGATTGCGAAATTGTTACTACTACTCGTGTAGAGAATTTCAAGTCAAGAATTTTAACTGTTTCGTAATTACTTAAGTGTTTCTATTCTGTGGATGAGTGTTTAGTCAGTGCGAAATGTGAACATCAATGTGTAAATTTTTCCTCCTATTTTAAGACGCCAATGACTAGGAAAAAAATATATAATATAGAAAAAAAACGAAGGTCTTAAAATTAACCCCAGGAATCGCTCCTCAAAGTTATGCCACACACATACTTTAACACCCGGTATAAATGTTATATACCACTACTCTTAATTTGTTTAGGGTCTGTAAAAACGCAGTTCCGCACGCGCAAATCTTCCCTCTTCCCCCGCGCTTGCAGGGGAAGAAGGCGCTCCGTTTCCGCCGGAAGCACCCGAAAAAATATTTAACGAAAATTTGAAATCTTGCCGGTACCGCGCGGGAGTACGCGCGACAACGTTGGGGGGGCGCGGCGCTGCGCCCTGCCGTTTCCCTAGCCGATCCGCACCAGCAGGAGACATCAGTTGCCGGACGGGTCGTCTTCGGGGCTGTCCCGCGTTGTCTCCGCGTGGTGGTTGCAGCCGCTCGTGTCTCCGTTATCTAGCCGGAACGCGGCGGCGTACGGGAAGCGGACCGCGCACCGCCGCCTAAAGTCTTCCGCGAGGGCGTCGCACGCGCCCAACTCGCCCGCCTCCAGAGACCTCAAAATGTCCGCGCACACCTGCGGTAAAGGAAAGAAAACTATGGATCGGTCGTATGATCCATCGGACCGTAGAGTTGAGAGTAATAATTTGAAAAAGATAGTTACGTACGACTAGTTTGGAACAAAATCCCGTGTACCATAAGAATACACGACAAAAACAACGTAGGTCGTAGCAACACGCAGCCAAAACAGTGCAGGTCATAATAGCACATGACTAAATTAGTCTGTGACTGAAGAGTGCAAGTCATAGTTGTTCAGGTTACTAAATTGAGTGACTGAAGCAACGCAGCGAAGGGCATAACAGAACATGGTCGAAGCAGCGATGGTAATAACAGAGCGTAGTCGAAACTCGGGTCTAGCGCATGGTCAAAAGAGTACTGAACCATCCTAGTTCCAGCCCCACGTTACCATAATGTAACTTTTAGAAAATTCCTATTAGCGCAGACTAATATAAACGCAACATTTCAAGTTACTGAAAGCATTTGAGTAAAGAGAAACAAGAACACACACGGAGACAAGGAGCTATAGAAAGTGTGTGCGACGAGGATGATTATACCATCTTGTACGTTGTGGGTCGGTGAGTCATCTTAAAGCGCCTCAGATTAAAGCCAAGCAAATCGCCCGAATGGATTTAAGGCCGCAATGCTAAGTAAAAAAGAACACTCACCTCAACGCTAGCGTCCGCGCATTTGTTATTGTCTACGTTGGTAAGAACCAAATCCAGTGCCCGCTTCTGATTGGCTGGGTCTAAGTGGTAGAGCACCTTCGCGGCCTCGTGGGCCGCCGCCAAGCTGTCCGCGTTGCGCGAGAGGAAACGTTCATTCAGTCGCGCGACATCGCGTGCGTCAAGGAACGCCTTCGTCTCACTAGCAACGACCTCGACTACGGCCGGGTCCCACTCCTTTTGATCGTCGATGACCCGCAGGAAGCGAGCTAGGCAACCGTGCAGCTTCGCATTGGCGGCATCGACGCGGTGCGCCCTCTTTATCGATTGTAGCATCAGCAGCACTTTTCCTGCGAGCAGACCGTTAGAGATCCGAGATTGGAGAAAGTGCAGACAAACGTGCCAAAGACGTAAACCCGCATTTAAATGTTAAAAACTTGCAAAATCGCTTTTTTATTAATTTTACCATGACACAATACCCTGTAAAAAATTAATTGCTCCCACATCTTAAGTCTTTTTCGCGCGCGCGCGCCCCACGATCCTTACTTTTTCTATAATACACCTCGAACGCCATCAGGTGCGTCTCTATCCGGTCCTGAGCCAAGGTCTGGAGAGGCTGCAGGAACCTGATCGCCTGCTCCAACGGGTCGTCGACCTACAGGAGGGGGAAAGCGATGAGTTAGCAAAGACAAGCGGAATGGGATGGAAACCAGAAGCGACATTTGTCGACGTTTAAGTTACCCTGGCGAGTTTGTCGGGGACGAGTTCGTCGAGCTGCGGCGCGTCCGCCTCGACGTCGCCCTGTTGCCTCGACTTGTGGTGCTGGTCGCGTTTCACTTGAGCCTCGCGCGCCTGCGCGCTCTCCTGCTCCGCTTTCCGTCTCGCCTTGCGCTGCTTGTTCCGCAGCTTTTTCAGTTCGGACGGCGCCAGGTCGTCTTGAACCGGGAAAGAGGAAACAAACGTAAAAGGTTTGAACGACTTCAACGCAACAAAGACGTTTGTCGTGTTTCATTAAGTACTCACATCACGAATTAGTTACAATAAACCTGAATATAACGACCATTGCGCGTCTAAATCGTTTCAAATCACCGCATAGCTGGTCGACTACGCAACATAACCCAACTTTACCATAATAACTAAATTTCGTTACAAGAAGCGATTTTTAAGTGTCACACATACATAAGGTAAGCATACTAAAAAAAAATTCTCAAAGAACACATAAAAATATTAGATGTCTCCAAAATAGTCGTGAGGATCTCAAAGAACCGCCTAAAGCGTAGTCTTTCCCCGATGTAAAATATAACTAGCAGGGTTTCAAGGAAAAAAGGCGCGAAATGTAAATAAAAATAACTAACCAATACAAACTAAATTTTAAACTTAATAGAATGGAGGATCAGCGAAATTATTAGTGTAAAGTTGAGTTCGGTATATCTCACGAAGATGTAAATTCCGCATAACACGCCGCATAAAGATCATAGTTTTCCCACGTGAACGGTTGACATTACATTCGAAAGATAATTATTTCAAAACCAATACGAGCGCGACTTTGAGAAAACAAAAGGGGCGTAATTTGACAGGCTTAAGTAGTACCCAGTGAATTCGATCTAAACTGGAATGGTTCCAGTTATGTGACAAATATCGTTTATTTGAAGCAAATTTTAGTTGGAATGAGTCGGATAATAATATCTCAATTTTTCAATTCCAAACTCGTGTTGATTAATAAAACTTTTTTAAAATGCTATCTACAGTCTTATGGTGCAATAATGTATGTATATCTGGAAAAATATATTTTTTTTGGGAGTACAAATAAAACAAATAAATCATTTTTTCTGCATTTTTATCTATTCATTTAGTTTTCACAAAAAAATTAAATAATTCCCTTTTTAGGTAAATTATTTGGAATACTGCGGGATATTTTTTAAACGTTAGAAAAGACTTAATTATTTCGAATAACAAGCTAGGTCATTATAAATTTTATTTTTTACAAATATCTAAATAAAAAATTGTTTAATCATAAAATCATAATATGAAAATGATTTCGGTAAGAATTGTTTCAGTAAATATATAGCAATTAGGGCCATCTGCAACCTCGTGATTTAATGTAATGCTTTTTGGTTATGCACCGTTGAATTTTCACTTCTATTCTAGGGCTAAACTCAATCAATCCCAGAATTTTCTATGTCACCTAGTCACCTCCCTGTACAGAATTCGCTGTAGTCAGTAGTCTTGCTATCGATCTGCTTAGCCTAGTGCTTGTTTGAGTGAATTTAAATCGTACGGTTCCGAGCCGCGCGAAAACTAACCATTCAAATACGTTTTGTTTTGGTTATTTAAGTAATATAGCTACTAGAGATATAGAGCCCCCGCCTATGTCAATAATATAGGAAATTTCGAGAAGGTCCATTGGACATGTGCACGCGCGAGATTAAGAATCAAGTTTTTAACCAATAAGCTTGTGGCATTCAAAAGCCAATAACTTTTGATGCGGCATTTTTACGACAGTATTTTCTCTAAATATGCCTTGATTTCGTTAAATATCATGGGATAAAAACTGAAGTGTGTGGAATGTAATCATTAGCTTCTTTACGACAATACCAATGCCGCCTGTGCGTAACAGTGGTAGGGCCACTATATCATATAATAGCTATATGGTTTAAGTGAAGAGGTAATCTGGCTCTCGAACGCACGCACAATAATAATATGATCCTGAAAACAGAACATCGAATTTGATTGGTCAGATTTCGCGATGTGATGCCAGTTATAGGCCGGACGAGCCCGGATGGTCCAAGAGGAAGGTAACTGTTTGGAATCGGTTGGATTCAGAGTTTAATTATTTGATATCTGATCTGATAATTTGACAAAAAGTTAAAACTGGGCCAAAATTGACTTCGGCATGATTGCAATTGCAGTTCGTTAAATATTCAATATTGTTAATTAGTTTTATTAATTAGCGCCAAACAGTGCATACTGCCACTAAACAACGGTAACACACAGACAAGACAAAAGAATACCTATTCCTAGCCGTCATTTCTATTGTAAAGTTTTCACCACTTTTCCATCAGGCCGATGCCGTTCCAGTTTAGGTCGTGTTCACTGGAAAATCCTTCTATGGTTTAGAGACGTCGCTCGACCATACGATACATAAAAGTAATTTATTTATTTTTTTGGTGACGTCAGAAGACAGTAAATATAAAACGTCAAATGTAGGAACCAGAAAATTAATCGGTAAAAATTTTGAAAATTATTCACAAAACCAAGGTAGCGAAATCGCGATCAGAGTTCCTCTCGCACGCAATGTTGAATCTTCTGCCGCCGCGAGCCATCACGGGCGGAATTCCATCTACGCCGGCGACGAACTTGAAGATCGGTACGGTAAAGGTCGGACGCGCAACCTCTGAGGTCGTCTTCGCCATTCTCTTTGAGCGCTTCTTCCTTTCCTATGGTTTCGATGGGCACGAGCGCCTTGGGTCACACCGCTGTCGCGTGCGGAACCAATTAAGATCTCGCGCGATTCGGCTTTTACGAGTGCCTGGCACTTCAGACGAAATTTTTTCTAATAAATCGTAAAAAATACAATGAAAATACCTGCGTAAAAAATACTTTTTCAATTTTGAAATTTAAAGAAAATTCCCAGAACCGTCGTAAAAACAAAGGCCCCGCGCGACCCTCTCCCCTTTCCGCTGCAATTATCTCGTGCACCTACGAAAATGACCTTTCTATTGGGCGCGCACGTATATATACCGGACGGTAATTTAAAAAGAGTCACCGCCCAATGGTTGCGACAGCCCCGTGCGCTTTCCGCATCATATTACTGTTAACCCGTTGGTACTAGCGCGTCTGCGACGCTGTGTGGCCCCCCAAACGAAAATCCAAATTCTCTTTATTGATTTCGGAAGATCACACTCACGACATTCGAGCCCACAATTAAATTTTTTTTTAATTTACAAAATATTCACATATACACAAAAGTTGGGCGCCATCTTTATAGCAACAAATGGAAGGGTTGGGCGCCAAAGTTTCGAATTAGATATTGATTAAAAACTGAACACGAGAGTTTTTGGTGTCCCGGTGTAAAAGAGAGAAATGTCGACCTTGTTCAGATCACGCTCGCAGAATTCTTTGTTGCGGCGTTGCAGACTCGGAGAATGGTTCTTGTGTGTCAAGAGGTCGTGGTACGCCGCGAAAGAAAAAAAAACACACGAACGACGGTTATTATTATGTTCCGTTGCATTTCGGCGGCTCGCGTACGATTTTGGTGTATTTATTATGCTACGTTGAGCTAAGTTTACATAACATGGCGTAAAATAGAAAGTTTAATAACCATTTTTGAAAATGTATCACAAAATAACAAGTCCGATGTCGAATTAGAAAAATTTATCGCACAATAATAAACTGGGAGTCATATTCATAACAACGTGTCATAAGGTACCAAGTTTTCCTACAAATTTATAAAACTATATCATAGAAATTCATAAAAAAATATATCATTAGATACCATTGGACACACTATAAAATCTAAAGTTTACATCAAATACAAAATTGCAAGCCCAATTTATTAAAATATTCAGAAGACTGGGCGTCAAATTTATAAAAACAATTATAAGATATCAAGTTGGCCACCAAATTTATGAAACACATACAATCCCTACCAGGATAAGCACCAAATTGACACACTTGTTGCAATGTCGATTAAAAAATTATAAAAACGTATGTCGGCGCCCTTAGCTTTAAGTGGTCGATATTTTCCCATATTTCGTTTTGGGTGTTTAGATTGTTTGTTTTTGATTCGTATTATTTATCGATCTAGACTAAGCAGCACTTAGGTTTAGGTATTTTTCCGAGGTGGACCTAACGCGACCCGGGGGAAGACAGTCTTGAATTATCGAAACCTGGGATAAGTCGAATCGAGTGTAGCCCCGATAGCCGATGAGCGGTTGACGATTTTCCCTAGTGTCCCTAGCGGGCCGCGGATCGTTGGATTCCCTTTAATAATCAATCAATCAAGTGATTAGATTATTCGTTTGTTTTAAGCACTTGGTCCTGTGCAATCTTTTAACATGTCCGAGAAGTCTAACCCTATTTCGCCTCGCTGGCCATGAGAACCCGCCACTCCGGTTTTCTATTTCTATTTTATTATTTTACTTCCGACATATATATCATCAGATATCAAATTTAAAAAAATAAATTCAAAACAATTTAAAAATACATATCACAAGATGCCGTTTATATATTTGAACGCTCAAATTATAAAAACGTATCATGGAATTCTCTCTGGGCGCTAAATTTGCAAAAACCTATTATAAGACACCAATTTTTGCTCACATTTATGTAAATATATCGTAAAACTTCCGCATTGTATTCGTGTTTGCCTGTTTTATCGGCGGTGTTTCTACATTACGAGCCAGACAAATGGCCGCTATTGAGAGAGTCGATACGGAAACAAAACCAAGCTTCAGCACTCGGCTAATTAACGAAAAACGTACACGTTGCGTTAATAGCAATAAAACGAACCTACACCAATTAAGAGCGTTATTCTTTTCGCGATACATTTTCTCCGCCGGGGCCGACCTTGTTTCGATAATTATATGCGAAATAACGCGAAGCATTATACATTTTCAACAAAAGGATAATGGCTGTGCGCGGCTGTAGCCGACTCTCCCACAATCGATCTAGGCGCGCACCATGATTGATACCGAGAAGAGGTAAGCCAAGTCGTTTCGAATTAGCGCACGAGCAAGAAGACAAAAATAAGCAAAAGTCAACAGACATCAAGAAGGGTCGAGCCCGTTTACCTAAAAGAAATCGAGTTAAGAGTCCCCAGAAAGAAAGCAAACCTGCTGGCGCAGAACGATCGATAGGAGCACACACAAGATAAAAGACTTCATACGGAGGACTGAATGAACTCGATGAGAGTGTGTCGAAGAAGAGGAAACGATTGTGTAACGATCAAGAAAACACACTCGATCTGGATTTGATTTATAACAAGAATGCAATCAAAGCGAAGAATTAATTATTAGAAAAGTAAAAACTTGCAATATTGCAATAACAACTGATGAAAACGATCGAAGAAATTGCAAAATTCGCACTTTTGAAATCAACACTATAAAAAAAAAACTACTTCATTCTATTCTATAAGGTCGCTTCGGATGATTGATGAATGACTTTTGACCCAGTCTGTATACAAATAATTAGACTTTGCTTTAATTTAGTAACAAACAGTTTTTTTCACGAATTTGATTAATTTTATTGCTTCTGGGGCATCCTCTAAGAAGACGTGTCAATTAACAGGACTGACTGACCTGCACATTCGTCGTCATAGGCACTGGGGCTTTAAGAACGGCTCGTAAGAGTTAGTGCCTTTATAGACCGTTTCAGCACTATGGGACACTATGGGATATGAATGGAGGGTAACAGGGTGGACAAAAAGGCGCCTACTAGGGGCGTTATGGACAAGGACACGAACGCTCAACGCTAGCTTAACAACGTGTTACAATCTAGCGCGTTGCTCCACTAGACCACATACCGCTGTAGTTACTAGAGATTCCGTAGCCTGCAAGCACACCAGATAGATATCCATTATCTGGTTCTCGGCGTGCCGCACAGTTAGAGAATGCCGAAACTCACTGCGCAACTGACTATTGAATTTTTACCATTTTCTTTAAAAAAAAAAAAATGCTAGAAACTTAATCGATTGCTATTTATTCAATATCCTTCCGAACATATTAATAAAATATTTATTTACATTAAATAATGTATTTTCTTCTTACTCGGCGTCCTCATTTATTTAATTAACAATTAAAAATGAAAACCCGGGAAAGTTTGCGAAAAAAACGGAAACCAAATGTGCATTGTTTGGAGGAAAAATAACGAACTCCCCTTCTTCCACCACGACGGCCCTGACCCGTACTGTCGAAAATTCCGCGGGATAGAGAACCGGGAAATAATTAAGAGTCATTGTTCGGCAATCAAAAGTCGACCGGCAGAGCGACGCACGCCATCAATCAAACGTCAATGTTTGACACAGTGCCGGCGTCCCCCCGAGGGCGAGAGGCCACGGGATTTCCCCACCTGCTCCGTTTACCGCGCGCCAGCGGTACCGATTTTCGCCCGCGGCGTTGCCGCATCTGCTCGGTCCGATCGAACTGTTTCTTTCATCCCATTTCTTTGTTTTTTTTTTATATTAAACTCTCAGTTTTTCTACTCGCATCTGTAATAGTATATTGTGCAACAAGTGCGGTAAACGGCATTTGACTCACGAGTTTTTAATAAACGAGTGAGTTAAAAAGTTTACCGAACGTGTTGCATACTATACTTTTTCTACGACTACGACTAGTTTTTGGGTACATTTTCGCAAAACAACACGAATACATTCACTGACATGACTGTCGGAATTGAAAAAGCGTGGGAAATATCTCCGAAAATATCCGATTGCTCCCAAATCCGTGCGGTAAAATCCCGGAAATGTCCGAAGTGGCTTGCATTCATAGGAAACGAAACTGACGTGCTAAAGTGACGCTTCTCGCACGCTAGATCGGTGAGTAATTAGGTATTTTACAGACGGCAGTAGAAAAAATACCTAAATACACATCGATCCAATGTGCGGGGAGCGACACTTTACCACGTTAGTTTCGTTTCCCACGGAACCGAGCCACTTCGGATGTTTTCGGAAATATTTTCCACGCCTTGAATTTTGACGTTTGTCAATTCTGATAGCCATGTCAGTGAATGTATTCGTGTTGTTTTGCGAAAATGTACTCAAAAACTAACGGTCGTAGAAAAAGTATAGTATGCAACACGTTCGGTAAACTTTTCAAGTCACTCGTGAGTTAAATGGCGTTTACCGCACTTGTAGCATAATATACTATTATGTATCTTCTTTATTTTAAAATCTCGTGATGTTTTACCTTTCAGTCATTCAGTCAAAGGAAGACAAAGTAAAAGTAATATAATGTTTTTGAATAAACATAATTTTTAAAAAAAGTTTGGGTGATCAACAATTCAACTCATTAACTTTAGTAGCTCTAATATATTAGGTATGAAAGAAACAAATATTCTGACATCCAAAGTCGTATATCTAATCTACATAACTGAATCTGTGCATGTTTTTTAGGATATATTTATAACTAAATTTAACTAAATCAAAAGTGATGCAAATATTGACACAATATTTCAAAATGGCTCCTTTTAATCATCCTTTTGAAAAATTTTCTCCCGATGACTTCATATTAATATATATCTCCGAATTTAAAATGCCCTTTTCTGCAATTTGAATCCGAGCAAAAAGAGAATCTTTTCGGCAATTAGTTTTAAAAAGCCGAATCTTAAATGTAGTGACGCCAAGAAAAAGATCTGAGGCTAAAAAAGCAGGCTGAATAACAAATGTCTAAGTACAAGGTAAAACAGAAATCTGCTCAAAACCTCAGGAGGAATTTATATTAGGTATATAAAACCTGGGAAAACTGCGACGATCCGGCAACGCCGCCGCCGCGACTGCGGGTACGGCTCGCCACTGGCGCCGAACCGCCAGTCGTGAAACCGCCGGCGCGAGCAAGAGTCGTACCGCGTCTGCCGCCATTTTAGTCAATCGCGACTCGTGAACTGCCAATGACAGAGGAGCGCCTTCGACCCATTAGTTTATTCAATACCGAGCGGTGGTGACGTGCACGTGATCAGATGTGACCGAGTCGAGGGCAGTGCCGGATAAATCTCCGCCCTTCTGGGGGGGCTCCCGACCGAAAAAAAAACGGCCATCCGCCTTTCTCTCTCTTTCTCTCCATCTCCCGCGGTCCAAAACGACAACACGCCAAAACGACAGTAAGATTTGTATATTTTCGTTTACGAATTCCACGTACTCGATCTGGTATTGTTTACTTTTAGGACGTAAAATTTTTTCGCCGATTGCTTTACGCGCGGCAAAATTTAAAATTTCTTCAAATGTCGCGCGCTCTCTCTTGCGTAAGGCAACCTCGCTGATACAGAGCAATAAGTATCGCTTTTCAGTGACGGTAGAAAGAAATATTTGTTTCTATCGTTTGTTTTCCCAATATCGCCCCGAACCGATATAATCGGACACCAATGAAATGTTGTATTGACGTAATGCAGTTTAAAGCTTCGTCGTTATGTAGCATATGCTAAGAAGCAAAGGATTTGGAAAGGCAGACAAGATTCTTCACACAAGAATTTAAAATCAAATTGACGGCAACATTGGACGACAAAAGGAAGATTTGGGAGATCGTACCCGTTAATCCCAGTTAACGTTATCGCAGTAATTAACTTCAACACATTTCTTGTAGCCTATTAATTACCCGATACGGCAACCCCGCATTTTAAAAGAAATTCCACGCTCTACTGATGTGGAATATATATTGCTTCAATGCTGCTGTCCATAATCCATATCTTAAAACTTTGGGCGAGCCTCGCGTCGCATCCGTATGCAAAGATATTTCATTTCTGTGATGCTAGTCCGACTATACAGGGTGTTTTTTGAAGCGCGACGTGGGTACGGAAGTGTCGTTATTACGAGGTACAATAAGTCAAACTTAACTTTTGCAACAAATATATTTTTTTCTACTAATGCAATGATCAGGCAAAGTGTCACTGCATTACTAAACACTGTCGCGAGCCACTAAGACTATAGTCGTGGTATTTTGACGTTTGTCAGTTCTGACGGTCATATTGCACGGCACTCGGTGAATGTATTCGTGATGTTTTTCAAACCACGTTAAGATAAACTTCTTTAGTCACTTGTTTAATAAACACTCGTTGGTGCCTAAATAATCTAGTTGATGAAATTTGACAGAAGTGGTTGCGGGATTTAGGAGCTAATTTCGTTGCAATTGCATTGAAATTGTTAAGGCCAGTGGCGTCCATTGACAAATATTTTGCAATTGTATTCTTATTTGACTAATCCAAAAAAAATCAGTGCAGCGCGTTTTTTTTTTGTCGAATACGTTTTATATACACTTTTCGTATTAAAATCACCACGTATAAAAACAACACCCTGTGTGCGGCGGACCCGTAGGGGGGCGAATGGCGCAAAAACCGCGAGATCCGCACCCATCATGGGAAAACTGTCCCATTGTGGTCGGCGTCGCACTACGTTTATTTTCGCTTCTCAAGGTTCCGGCCCGCGTAATTAAGAATTTTTCCTTTTGTCAAGCACAATGGCCGCGACTTGAAACGGCAGAATAACAAATCGCACGGCAATGAGTGTTAATAGCTCATATTTGCTTTATTTATTTAAAAAAAAAAAGGCTCGCGACCTTCGCGCGCGGAAATTTAACCGACTTTCGTCGTATAAAAGACAAAATCACCTCGTTCCGCCATCGTAACGGATCGGCCGGCGCGCGTTTTTGCTCTTCTTGTTTTCACCGATATTCAGCGTCAACCGCGACCGTTCATTTTTCGCGGCTTATTTCACTTTCGCTCGGCATCTCACACAGCTATTTTTTTTCTCGCATTAATCTTTTTAATGAAAAATCGAAAAAAAAAGTATAAAACACAAAAAAAAAACAAAAATGAGTATTCGCAACTACATAAGAAATAAATGTTTCTTTTTTTTTTTCGTTTAATCATAACAATTGTGTTTACCATGGTTAATGGCTAATTCAACTATTTTGGATTAAATATCCATTTTTAACCACATGAATTGTTAACAAGGCATTTCTAATCTAATTGTTAACCCAGCAACTACATATATAACATGTTTGCTGACCAGCAAACATTGATAGTTCCGTCCGTTCCGATACGTAAGGGATCGCAGTAATCCTGTTAAAATACCCAATGAAAAGTTTGTTTCGACTTAAACAAAGATACCAGCCGACATTTCAATGGCGAAATAGAGCCATTTAATGAGGCTCCACGACGAAGACACAAACTTTGTCTTTGTTTATAGGTTAGTCAGGAAAAATCGGGTATGTTGAACAATGTAGTTTCAATCTTTATTATCTTGGTGGGTACTAGATTACGGCAAGTGAACACTCTATTTGGTCTAGTTGTAGGACCAAGACTACATAAGGTCATTCGGCCAGTTTACAACAATTTTGAACATAATTCAAAAATCCTAAAGGATGCCTTCCCAAGAGAAGGGTCTGGACCATTCCATCATACTCCAGGTTTGTTAACATATACTTAAAAGGTTCTAAAAAAAAAGGTACTTTGACCGATAGCAAAAAACATTCACTAAACCGATTTCAAGTTTTTTGGGGACACGACAGAATCCAACAATAAGGTTAGGAATATAAAAGCAAAAAAATCCTCGTCTATTCCAATCGAAATCGCCGTACGCCCAACATGCAATTAGCATCGCCAATCATTGGTTAAGTCTTATTTCATAACCCTTATTGGTAATATGAATTTGTATATCCATATTAAGGTCGTTTAAGATTTAAAAAATATCGTTATTCACGGTCATATAAATGTAGAAATATTATTTCTCATAAGAAAATTAGTGACATTATTGTTCCATTGCCATTGCTCATTGAAACATTGAAATATTAATTATTCACTGTCTAATTAAATCATAATTAATTAATTCAGCCAAATTTATTAATCGAGCAAGAAAAAAAATCGCGGCCGGCGGAAACGCCCCCTACGCCACATTTATTTAGTGTTAACAATAAAACTGCTCGTTTTCTTAGTCGTATCCGCAACCTGCTGTCGCAATAATATTTATTTACGCGTTTAGCGCGTTTCTAGTTCAACCAGAGTGCGCTGCTTTCGGTATTGTCCCGTCTAATTCAACCTTTTTTTGTCGGCATTGTTGTCCCGCGTGCAACCGAGGTCGTCCCGAATTCGTCTCGAAACAATAATAACAACTTTATATGATCGTAATCGATTAATTTTTTTTAATATGCGGAGAGAAAGATGTGTCTTCGTCCGAACATTATAATCTAGAATCGCGACACTGAAACCTGATTTTCCCCGACATATTTCCGCGTAATAAACCCAGTAATTCTACAAGTTAACGCACATGTTGCCGCGGATAAAAACCGCACTTTTATCATTAAAATTAAACCTCGATACGATTTAAGTTTTATTGGTTCAGTCGTTAATATCATTACCCGTTTGCTAATTTATGCAAAACGCACTGCACCGACCTTGAAATCGTTGCAATGAAAAAATCAAATCGGCAAAACCTTACGTAGGTTCGTTTTTCTGCAAGACCGCACCTTTTGTGAAAAAAAAAAAAAAATAACAACGTCAAATCATTCACCATAAAATTTTCGAATATCGTGGAAATTTTACGGAGAAACTTTAGAAGATGCGGCGGCAAAAATTGCGTCCGTCTCCGGCCAAAGTGCAATGACTAGGAGCCTCTTCATGTCAGCGAAGACCATATGCGGTTTTCACCCTTGATCACGTGACAACCACAAATGCCCATGCTAACCAAAGCCAGTAAGGTTATACGAATTAAACCCAAATGTGACGAAACCGCGTCATTTTTTTTGGTTAATTTTTGAAAACAGCAATTTTAAGTAAATTACGTACAACAAGCAATAAGGCTGATGTTTATTACTAAACACTATAAATATATCAGAATATTTAATTTACGTGAGTTGGTTTTATTTCCAGAATGTCTCAATACATGTCCATCGAAAAACTTTAAAGTTCCTCAAACAAACGAATATACAAAATACTCTGAGGAGAATCTGGGCAAGGGTGCTGAAAGGGCTTAACATACACATAAGGTGAAAGCAAGTTCCCTGAAATTTTTAGCAAAAATCTTTGAGTTTTAAAGCTGACAAATGTATCTGTTGTTGCATTTTCACGGGATTTAGGACTCCTCTAAAATATCTTAATAATAAAATCCATTTTGAGTTTGAACTTCAAGTATTAAAAAATTGCAGTTTTATAGGTTAAGTTAGGTTGTCGGAAACGTATGACCCGCATGCGCAGCGGCCGCGCGACGTTCCCGTCGCGTTTTCGTTCGCCGACAAAGTTGTAACACAAATTCCATCGTTTCAAGGGAGAAAATTAGCAAGGCGGCTGTTGCCGATTTAATTATCGCCTCGACAAAAATATCGCGACCCTGACTCGCCCATAATGCTGAATAATATCGTTACGACTATGTTCGTAACGTCGCTTTAGTTTTTCAGCAAAATTTACCTGGCCGATTTGCTTAATGTCACATATTCGACGTTGCGGGGATCCGCGGCAGTAGGCGTAGGTGTGGGATAGGTAGGAAGGCACCGGCGTTTTGTAATAATAAATAGTTGAAGGATCGCCGCATTGGCGTGAAAGGTCCGACGGTCCTTCAACTTTCCTGCTATACAGATGGCGGCGGGGTACGGTCGACGACATTTCAACGGAATCTTCGGGACCGGTGGTGTTTTTTTTTTCTTTTCGAACAGCCTGCGACAACATTGTGGGTAAATCACTTAATTTAGCACCCAATATTCCAACAGCTCAAACTTCCAATCCTACTTTTCATGTCGATTTCTCAAAAACAGCTTGAGCTATAAAGAAATAACAAGTTCAAGAACAAAAATTTAACACCCTAATGAGCGACACTTAGGCATATTTGGTTCAATATCCTTAATTTCACTAGTTTAATCTAGGATTGCCTTTTTCGAACCATCCTGTATATGAATGTCAAAATCAGGGCCTTACAAATTAGAAAAAAAATGAAATAATAAATTATTGAAAATTATTTTGTGAAATATTGGGTTACATATAAAAATATTACTTTTCAGAATAAATAATGGTCACAAAACAGGTAAAGACATTTTCAAAAAAGCACAACATCTGGAGATTAAAAAATATGCCACAGAAAAGTTCAAAAAATTATGACAGTTTATTTACCTGATAATACATGGCTGACCTCATTGGAATACGAAAATTTAACGATATAGTGCTTATTTATTAGCAAATTTTGTGCTCAAATTATTAGGGACTGATTGGCAATACAAATTTCATGAATTTTGATCATTTGGGTTTTATAACGTGTTGGATGCTAATTTGAACGAATTGCCCACAGTGCCACGGCGGCGCGCAAATTACGAATACCTCGACTCGGGAAAGTGCCTTTTCCGTTTCGGATTTAGGGTAAAAATCGTATTCGGTTATATAAGAGGCCGTTTCCGAGTTTGAGGCGCGGGGTTAGTAGAGCGCGCAACGTTTCGTCAGCCGCGCGCCCGCGATTTCATATTAGACGGGGCGCCGCGCGTTGAATAACATTTTAATAAAATAATATTTACGAATATGCCGTATTCAGCACGGAACGTTATTATCAAATACGCGACTATTAGAATGAAAGTAACAGGAGGCGCCCAAAAACGAGTTGACGTCATTGGTTCCGATTTTCGCGATGTTCCGCCAGCATGCTTTCGCTTACAGATAGCAACGATTTTATTTAACAAAAAATCCTCGACAAACTCCAAACCGCTGTATCACTCCTATTATTTTTTTATCTTTTCCACGTATATATTTAGTTCATTTAATAAAAAGTGATCGTTTAGGTTAATTAATTTTTCGACTTTTCCACCGCTTTTCCGACGTTCCCGTAACACATAACGAAATAAAATATTTGTCACAAAAAACGATCGTTTCAAATTGTTTTAAGGTCTCGCAAAAGCTAAACTTTCTACCATTACTTTGAACGTTCGCGACTTTTCACCACTTTTTCGGCATTCTACCTAAAATTGTAAATTTTTCGCCGTAGATATGCCGCGCCGACGCCGATGGCCGATTACCACCGCGTTGGTTTTCCTCGCGTGCGCGATGACGACGTCTTCCGAACAGCGCCAGCGGCATCGCGAGCTGCAGCGTTTGGTCGGCGGTCACCTGCGGCTCGACTCCGCCGCCAACGACGACGCCGAACCACTGGAGGCGGCCAGCGCTGGTGCCGGCAAAGACAAAAAAACGGGCGGCAACCACGACGAGGAACGCAAGACGCTATCGCAGCAGGTCGCCGACGGCAAGTACGGCCTCATCCAGAAGGAGCTGTTCGCGGAACCGCCCCGGCGCCCGGGCGTACTGAGCTACGACCCGAACCCCGAAGTACTACCTCGAAAAACTAAATCGCGAGTCGGCGCCATTTTGACCTCTCTCTCGTTTTTGTTTTTACGATAGGTACCAAAGGACAACGTCAAAACGTACGGCGGACTGAGCAAAAACGAAATTTGGCTGGCGGAAAACCATCTGCTCGTCATCAGAGGCGGCGCGTACCCGCCCCACGATGACCGAAAAGACTACCACCACCACGAGCCCGTGTGGCAGCCGATCGACGATTATAACGCGCCTCTACATCAGGTAATCACGCTTTCCTCCCTAACAAAAAAGTATCGATATGGCCGATTATCGACCCGTATCGATATTTATCGAAAAAGCGTGTCGCTACTCACATGTTTGGAAAGCCCATAGAGGAAAATTTCCAAAATTTTATTAAGGTATTCGGTAATTTAGTGGTTTCCAACCTTTTTCAAAATGCGCATCTTTAGGAAAAAATTGTTGCGTCGTCTTAATTTTTCTAACAATCTGATTTCATAAATACTGAAATGACATTATAATTTATTTAATGGGCTACAAAACAATCCACAATATTATGTAAAAAATTAACATAAACAAAATAATTATTTATTATTATATTTTTAAATAATTTTAAATGTAATAAAAACAAATCTTACAAAAATACAAAAACCAAATAACATTTTCGAAACAGCTGCATGTCCCTCTTGCAACAGTCTCGCATCCCCACAGGTTGGAAACCATTGCCTTAACTCTATTTTCCGCTGTTAAATTTGATACTTTAATTTTAATAATTTTTTGAAGCATCGATAGGGCGTCGTTACCTTCAAAACTTTTCCCCCTTCCAGGTAAAGATACCGAAGCACCCCAAAGTGCCGCCGCCATTTCCCGTCCAGCTCACCGAAGACGGACCGCTCCAAATCGTCGGCACAAATTTTACGCGAACGCTTAATGGCACGGAGGCTGCAACGGCCTACGCCCTACCGCCCCCGTTCGATTGGGAGCAAAACGGGGGCGGCGGGTTCGGCGAGGCGCAACCGCCCGCAGGTACGACGAGAGCGAAGAACTGGCGTGACAAAAATTCGGAAATTTCTTTTTGTTTTTTCCAGGCGCCGCAAATAGCGATCAGACCGACCCTGTTACCCGGAAAACTCCGGTGCGAGTACCTGGACAAGGTCCGGGGGAACGCGACGGGGGGCTGCCGTTCCCCCCCTCCAACCCATTGAACGGTACCTGGCCGCCGTCTTTCGACTCTTTGCCCCCGGGCACGGTCGTGGTGGAGGCGCCGCCGCCTCCCGACGAGGACGACCCGTCGATCTATTATCCGCCGCCATACAGTTTCTACTACCCTAAAGAGGACAACGCGACGGCGGTATGTACGCGGGCCGCCCTACCGACTTCGCTTTGTAAATAAAACCAACTGGGCACAACCCTCCGGCATTTTTTCTTTTCTCACCTAACCACTCTCTTCATAGCAATACCCTATGTTAACAAACTTTCTATACACTAATCAGTCTTCTGCGCCCGCGTATCCGCATGAAAACGCACCGAACGATGACGGATTCCGCGCTATTCAACAAAATAAGTCGTCAATTAAGTCGTTTTAACCCAACTCCCGTAATATTAAAGCGAAACTAGGGCATTTTTTAGTGAATCAATGCCGTAAATGCACTAACCAAATTCTACTATCCGTGGCAAAGTTATTCGACTCCTCCATGGCCGACGCGATATATTTACGTTGGCCACTGACCCTTTTTGTTTTATCTACCTTCCCGGTTATGTCTCCTTTCGGGTTGGATTCTAAACACATTTTCAAATGTTCATGATTAGTGGGTTCGGATCACGAAATCGTGCGTGTCGGCCACCAAAAACCGGTCGCGATGAATTCGAAATCGCGAACGAAAACAACCAACTAAATACGTTCAGCCGACTGTTGATTATAGGTCCCACCGGGGCCGCTGGTGCCCGGCATAATCTTGCCGCCCCCGCCGAACTTTTTCGCCCCACTCGAGGAGGAAACTTCGGCCGACGTCACCACCACCACGACCACACACCGGCCACCGCCCGCGCCACGCAAACCGACCAAACACCATCGCCCCCCAAAACCTAAAAAATCAACCCTCGCGACCACCACCGAAAAAAGTCGCGGCACTTTTAAACCGATCAAAAAGAAACCGACGGTAACAATTCTGAGGCCCGTGAAACCAGAAGGCGGCGTCTCGACGCCGAAAGTGCATGAAATTGCAGGCGGCGGGAAGCCGTTCCGGCCGTACGAGCCGCTTCCGGCGTGGAAATCGGTCGCCGGCACCACCACCACCACGCAAGTTCCACTTAAATATTACACGACGTCAAATTCGATAGAGTCCAACACGATCCCGCAAAGGTTATCGTTTGGTAAGTTGATTCAAAAGCGGTGCACTTTTAGCGGCACCACAGACCACAAAACCAACGATCGTCTCGAATTTACCATGTATATAGAGCTATTTCCACATTTTATCGAGATTAGATTTAAATGGGGGTTTAAAAGACTTACCTGATGCATAAACTCATAGCAATGTTGAAAAAGAATTGAGAAATAAGAATATTTTTACTAACTTTGTGTGAATTTTTGCTTGCAAGGTCTTTAAATTGAAAGCGATCACAGTTTACATTTTGTTTTGGTCTTTTAGGTTAAAATTGGATATAAGCACTGGAAATTTACAATTACATCAGACTTAAAGCCTAACCTAGAATAAATCACGACGGTGTATATGGCGTTTAGATTAGATTTGATTGAACTTTAAGCCTGCGCAGACGTCTAACTAGTTGCTAACTTCACACATAAGAAAATTGATTAATAGAATAGAAAAAAAGTATTTATATGCCAACGTCCAAATTGCAAGTGGTGAAGAGCTTCTTAAAACTCAAACTAATTAAACACTTTTCAAGTTTTGCGGCCATACGAGGTCTTAACCGTGAAATCATTGATCAAATTGACTTAAAATTTTTCTTTATGTTTAGTTACATTTTCATGATAGAACATTTTTTTGATAGCATTAAAAATGCATTTAATTATCCAGTACAGGCGTTTCTTAATTTTAAATTAAATCATCTTTTCCTACTGCATATAAGCCTGACTGCCTGTTTTGCTTTACATATTTGCCATCATTCAGTCAATTGAGAGGATGTCGCTCCACCTTTTCGCTAGTGGTCCAAGACTCCTTCGTCCTGCTAGTGATTTGTCCCTCGAAATTTTCACTATTTGTTCGTCCGCAATCAATGTGTTTATTCCATTTGTTCTTTCGATCCAACACTTAGTCATTGATGTTATCTACCCCGCACCCTCGAATAAAATATTCACTTTTTTCCCCATCCATAAGTGTTTTTCCCGCAATTCTTCGAACTATTTTCATTTCTGTTGGTCTCTAATATTCTTTTTGTTTTCAAGGTCTTAGGGGGGGTTTTTGCTTCAGTTAGGATGTCTTTATTTCAACAGATGGTATCGTTCAAGTATAGTGCTGCCCTAGACGCTCTTGGAGCTTGGTCGCTCACTTCTGTCTCAACCTCTCCGTATCCAGACATTTCAATTCGTAAATATTTGAATTTCATTTCCTGATGTATAATTTTGTCATCTTGTCTTATTGAACTGGTACAGAAGTTTTTGAAGATCGTCTTCGTTCTCCGCCACAAAAGGCGTGTCATCTGCACAGTACAGAATTTTCACTTCCCTATTTCCCATTTTGTATCCTCTTAGTTTTCGAACTTGTTTTATTATTTTATTCACTACGATGTTAAAAAGAAGCGGACTTAAACAGTCTCCTTGCCGAATGCCATTACTTGCAGATATTTGTTGAGTTAATTCGACTGCATGACTGCTGAGTGAACTTTAGCGGTCATGTTGCCAGTGCCAAACCCGGAAAAAGGAGGAGGGTTGGTGGAAGGGACTAGCAGCCTATCTACCGGAAAACTAAAGCTCATAGATTCACAGATTTGCCTCGAAATAGAATGCCTTTCTGGCGACCTTAATGCCAGAGCACCCAATCTGGTTTAAGGCTTAAATCATATATTACATAGAAAGTCAATTCGGATTGACAGTCGCATATGTGATAAATAAAATATTCTAATTACATTAATTTATTACTGACGCGCTCGTCTGTTCCGGTTACGATTTTAAAATGGGCTACTTTCACCCATTTTTTATTTTTGCTACAAATCATTATTACTAAGTTTAGAACACACCTGCCAAATATTTTTGAAATACAGAACGATTGTACACCCATTCGAACGAGGTTCAAACGCTTTCCAAGAAAAGTAATTATCAGGTAGACTTCAAGCGGGCAATTAAAGGTTTATGATGTTTGTACTGTTACAGACCAATATCGGCCGCAAACGACGAGGAAACCGGCGGCCCAGTATTACTTCTACGAGGAGCCCGAACGGCGGCCCGCGAAAATCTACGACGGCCCGAAAAATTACTACCTCCCGGCTACGACGACGAAACCGCCGTCGCAAATCCTCTACGCGACGAAACCGTACAGCACCGCGAGACCGCGGTACCGACTCGTGCCGCAACGGACCGACTCGTTCAGCATACACGTGGCGAAATTGCAGCAACAAATCCACCAATACCACGTAGCGGAACAGCAACAGCAGAGACCGCGGATAAAACCGTCGCCGAAGCCCGTGTACCAATTTAGTTTCCAGGCGAACAATTACCGTCGACCGAACGAACACCACCACCACCACCCGTTCAAACCTTCGCCGCCGTTAACTTCGCAAGACAACCACTTCATGCCGTTGCCCAAGTACAGCGTGCAGATACAACAGGCCGTGGAGGTGGTGCCGCCTGCAACGCATCCGCCTCCCGATTATTACGTCACGCCGTCGAAGACGATCGCGGAGTTTTCGTACCGCGCCGTGACGACGCCCAATCCCGTGCACCAGGGCTACTACACCAAACCGGACGAGGGCTTCTTCGACGAAAACACCAAGCACTCGTTCACGGTGTTCGGACGGAAATTGCCGATCGACACGACCCCGATGCCGAATCGCGAGACGCAGTTCAATGAAAACGCCGCGGAAGTGGTGAAAGCCATCGAAATAAACCCCCCGGGGGCGGCGGCGTACGTATCGTATCAGTTGCCGGGCGATGACGGCGCCCATTTCTATTTTTTGACGCCCCAATTGGCGCGGGAACGCGATCAACGTCCCGGGTACTACTTCAAGCAGGGGTCCCGGAGGAAACCGGACTGAACGGTGGCGCGCGCGTGACGTATCTCGGTGCGATATATTTTAAACGGTTGTCGTTTATTTGGTCTGTGATCGTCGAGACGCGCGAGCGCGTCGCAGAAACGCTAGCGTTTTTAATCGCCCTTGTTGCTTATTACGTAAGCCTTGTTCCGCGTATTATAATTACGTGTTAATTAAGTGCGTGTAATGTGTATATAAGAAATAATTAAGTAATTTATTTTGTGAGAAAACGAATACTTATTTATAATATATATTACTACTATGAAAAACAGCGGCCATTTTAGTTCGGAGGAGTGTTTATACCAGCGATGTGCAGTAAACGTAACCTGGATTACGTGAAAGCAAAGTAAAAATACGCGGCGAGTTGCGAATTTTTATAAGTGCCGCCCATAAGTATATCTTTTTTTTAGTGATTAGATGTATATATTAAATGTTAATTTGTAAAATTTCAATAACCCTTTCGCGAATTTCCAACGCAATTAGATTACGGTTTAGTTATTTTCTTTCAACGTTAGCTTTGTCAAGAAGCGGATTCAGACGAAGATCAAAATTTCAAAGACTCACGACCATATATAAAATATATATAAGACAATATAATGATATTTTCGAAGAAAAGGTATGGATCTTTTGCACATGCGTCATTTTAACGAAAATTGATTAATATAAGAACTAAGTAATTACTATTGTTACAGAACAGTCTGTGCCCTGTGCCAACGTATAAATAAATTTCTACATGTATTTTTAGCAGATAACAATTTTTTGATGGCGGACACGATGCAATTTTTTCGAGCAAAATACACTTGCTTACTTCGATAGAATTTCGTTTTTTAAATTGTGATACAATAAACAAGATAGCAAAACGTTCAGCATAAATGTTTTTACTATGCATATGTTTTGTGGGTGTATAAGAAATATCCATAATCCCAATACTAGAAACAAGAGAAATGAGAATGCTTCTTAATTTTTCAAAGAAAATTCCACAGGCTACTGTAATGCTTTTTACAAAACTTCTGGATTCCTCCCGCCTCGGTTTTTGCTTTTTGCTTTTGCAATTTCGTCTAAGCAAAGACCGACGCAGGAGGAATCCAGAAGTTTTGTAAAAAGCGAGAATGCTTCTTTGAAGTGATAAATAAAATATTCTAATTACATTAATTTATTAATTCTCCAAAACTGACTTGTTTTTATAATAGTCTTTAATTTTATTGGTTATGTTTTCCAATACTTACAATTTTTTAAACACATTGTCCATTGGCACTTTTCATAATTATATCTTTACTTTATCTTTAAAGTTTCTTATGGGATATCTAGCACCCCAAAGTAATATTTGCATTTTTAACAGACATCTTTCCTGATTTCGACTTTGTTTACGTTTTCAATAGAGGTGAAACCTATAAGTTTATGAAAACTAACTTTTTACGTCGATTTACAAGCAAAAAAAAAATCGGAAAAATAGCTTACACGAAAAATACATGTAGAAATTGCGTAGTATCTACAGGGCTTAAAAAACAAAAACCCCAAATTAATTACAGAATTGTGATGCCGACGTGAGTGCTCCAATTCTGCACTGGTTTTCCATACCTGATCTTTTTTTTTTCCTGCAAATTTAATAGGATTTCGACATATTTTGATAAAACACTAAAAAAAAACCGCATCCAAACATTGACGCCCAACGTCAAAATTTATCATTAGAGCTGCCATTGGTAAAAAACGAAATTTTAAATCTCGCGCACGCGCACGTTGAATGGACCTTCTCAAAAAATGTTTACATAGTTGCGTCTGTTCCTGTATTGTCAGCATAGGCTAGGCGACACAATAATAACAAAAACAACGTGAAAAAATTCTTTTTAGAAGGAAAATGACAGATGAAATTTTGAGGTTAAATAAACTCACCGGTATTCAGTTCCTGTTCTGCGCTCTCCGCCTTCAAGGGGTGCTCGAACAAATGCAGGTAAACCTCGATCGCGCATCTGGCCGCTTTAAAATAAAACGGGTGACCCCTCAATACGTCCTCGAGCCTCAATAAGCCGACATACGACCGCAGCGTCATCTTCCTCATGCAGTATGTGTGAAAATCGAACTGGTCCTCGATTATTTCCGAGAAATGCCGGTCGATTTCGTGGCACTTCTTCAACGCTTCGCCGTAACGGCCGAGTCGCTGATACGCGAGGGCGCACTCCGTCTGGAACCACATGCACTGCATCTCGTTCAGGTTCTCCATCGCCGACACGCCCTCGCGCGTAAACTTCGAGCACGTCTCCTCCGCCTCCTTGATGAGATTCGCGCGCAACATGTACTTCGCGCACTTCGAGTTTATGTAACGGTCCGCGGTGTCCATCGCTTGGGCCTCGTCCAGCCACCTATATGCTTCCTGGGGGTCGCCGGCATGCTAGGAAAAAAAAACCACGTGTTGATTAAGTTAAATGAAATCCCAGAAGTTCTCGCCTTCATCCAGATAGGCGCGTTCGTTTGTCACCGTCGCGCAAACGAATTGCTGCAGGTTATCTATTTTAAAATAAAACCACCAGGTTTTATAATTTTAAGAAAAAATCAAAAAATTTTGAGCGTGAGCGTATTTCTGGTGACCAAAATGCGTGCCAACAAAAGTATAGTGCATAAGTTGCATTTGAATGTGCGACCAGCGACAAAGATTGCCGACCCTTGGAGAACATTCTATTTCCAAATGCTTTCCACTTACCAGGGTCGAAATTCTTGAAATAATTCACATACGTTTTCTTCGTTTGGCAACACGTACGTAAATTCGTTAATGCCAGGAAATTAAAACGTACCGAGGAGAAGAAGACGCAGAAAAATTTATTTAATCTAACCCAAGATTGGCGAGAGACCCATTGCACATGGCAGAGGTTTGTTCGAGCCCGGTTCAAGAAAAATTAGAAATCGATTGAAAAATAGTGTCGTACTTCTTCAGTTCAGTACTTCTTTTAATTGAATTGTTAGAGGCGCAGTACCAATAGTTTTGTGAATTAGTTCTTGTTTTGTGTGGATGTCAATGGATTTGTATGTTGTATCGCTCGGTTTCGGGATTTCTTGTATTCACGCTGGTATCCAAGCCAGATGGGATTGGATATCCTGTATACTTACTTACTGGAGGCGCTTTATTTATGAAGGCACCCTTTAAGAATTTTGGAATGTAATTACCCGTTATTGTAAGCTGCCCGAATAACCCTATGTAGTCGTGGCCATTAGGAATAATTAAAAAAAAACCTAACCTAATTTTATTTTACTTCGTTTTTAGCATAGAATTATGCTTCTTCGTGTTAAAAATTATGATCTAGATTCTAAATAAATCATAAATGCGCCCTCATTTGAACTCTCGCTTTCAACTGATAAGACCTTACGACGTTCGACCAATATGGTTGATGACAGTAGCATTTTTACAGCAGCATTTTCTTAAAATATGCCCAGGTCACGTTAAATGTTCCGAGAAAACGAGTTAAGTGTGTGGAGATCGATGTTTAGAAAGAAAAATTTAGAGGCATATGTGGAAAATCAGTCCCATCTCTACGAAAATATCACACCGGCCCATTATTAAACTTTACCGTACTACTGTCGCAATATTACCTAATTCGAGAATAGCGCCCCAGACACCGCACATACCCGAAGCAATTTTGTAAACATTTGCCCAGTGAGAAATGCGCTTTAGGAGACCGTTAGGTTAGGCACTGGAACTGGGTAAGCCGAAAAACTTATTTGACACGTATGCGCCTGACCGTATAAAATAATGAGGTTCACAAATGTAAGTAAATAAAAACAAAAGTTTTGATTTGTGAAGGCTATTATTATTAAGTCTAAGAGTGGAGATTTTATTTGTTTTCAATTCGAAACTTTCATGACTTTTATGTTTAGTTTTCTCCCTTTATTGAATGTTTTTTTGGAATTTGAAAAGGAAAAGAAAACAAACTAACCTATTTTTTGCTTCCCTGGTGGCAAACTGTCATATTTTGAGAAAAAGACGGAGAGATATTTTTTTATTACCTTATAGATCCGTCCTTTGGTAACAAACAGTTCGATTAAGGTCGGGGTGTGTTCGATCGCCGTGTCGATAAACTGTAACGCCTTCTCCGTCCTACCCAGGTAGTCGTAGTGCTGCGCCAAATAATAATAAACCCACAAAAGGGCGCTAGCCGGCTCCTTCGGGCCATTCTTTCCCTCAGTCACACTATATTTGCTGAGGCGTTTCAAGGAGTCCACATAACCCACCAACAAACTTTCGATAACCTCTACTTTTACCGGGTCAGTATATAAACTCCTCAGGTCTACAAACAAAGGAGGCACCCCTTTCGACAAGGCTTTTCTCATGTATTTGTCAACTAAAACCCTAAAAGTGTCACCGGTTGCGTGACTGAGTGGCAACCGACGCGGAGGCATCGCCCTGGGATACTTTTCCCCATACTCCCGGTAAAAATTCACTACTTCCTCTTCACGGGTGTAACGCTGCGCCTCAATCAGTTTCTTATAATACAGGGTGTTCTCGGGATTTCGGGCAATCAGTTCTTTGTAGTAAGAGGCCGAAAGTTCGAAATTTTTGAGCTTCAAGTTGAGTTCAGCTAGATTCTCCTTAAGTGTTAACTTATCTACAATTTGGTCTTGGAAAGTTTCGAGGTGCCTTAGGGCACCCGCAAGGTCGCCGGATTCCTGTATCACCAAGTTTTGGTACAGCAGCAATTCGCTGTGCTCATAATCGATGTTGTTTACTTTCTGAAAGCGTTAAATGGCGTCACACACCCCTTGCATACAAAAATTTGGGAAAATAAAATTTGCATTATAAGTTTTAAATGATAAATAACAGAAAAAAATTGAAAAAACTGATGTCTAAAAAATTATCAGGACTATTTGACAGAACCTCATATCAAAACAATATAAATTAATGGGAAATTTTACGCGTTTTTCAAGGGAAAGACACGTCACCTAACCTAAAACTATCATTCGGACATAGAATGCAGACACGATTTGGTTAACATTGCCAGTTTTTTAACTAAAATTGCTTAAGCATTGCACTCAACATTTTTAAGCAGTGATTTCACTGATTGTATGAATATAATCGATTAAAACAATTAATACACAAAGAATAAATTTAATACGCAAAAGTTAACATAAATCTGGAAATGCCCAGACAAAGATATCTATCTATAGAAATTTTTTGAATATATTTTTTTTATATCTGCGTCTAACCCAAAACAGGATGGCCTATTAGAAACAACATACCTTTGTGACATCCAGCCCTTCAACCTGTTGCCGGTCCAAAAATGTTTCCAATATGCTTAAGGCATTTTTATAGTCTTCTAGTAAGTGGAAAGACATGGCATAACCTATCCACGAGGTTCTTTGAGTCGGTCTCAGCATCAATAGTTGATATCTGGTGTCCTACAATACAGTTTACATCCTTCATTTAATCACAATGGCAAAAGTCACCTCACTTACCCGGTAACCTTCCAAGTCCCGCATTTGGATTTGCAACAACGACAAATCTCTAAGGATCTGAATGTTGTCCTTTTCCCATTTGAGGGCGTTCCGATAACACTTGATAGCTTCATCATACTTTTTATCTGATCTCTGTAATAAACCGTAAACATGCCAACACACATGTGACTTGAGGTCATTTCTTAGACCCCTCCTTACATACTCATAAGCCTCATCCTTCCTACCAAGGCAGTTTAAGGTTAAGCCTTTCATGGCCAGTGTCTCTAAAATCACAATTTGCAATCACAAGTATCACACATTTGTCTACCAAACCTCCATGTTCCTGATATTTGGGATTCGACAGAATTTGCTTTGCGAATTTCAACCCATTTTTGTATTGTTTGTGCTCGTAACTTTTCTGAAAGACAGTGAGATAACTAGCCGTTTTAAAGGCTATATCAGCAACAACAACACCCTTATGCAAGAGAAAACGGAATCAAATACCCAACAATTTAAGCGTATCAAGTTTAACACGTTGTCGAGCAATAGTTCGATGATCGTTGCGTCTTTGAATCCGTAGGCTCGAAATTAAGAAAATATGCGGAATTGCTACTTTTCGTTCCATCGTCCCGATGGATTTCCGATGGTGATTTACTAACCAGTATTCTTTTAAATAACGCATTTTCTTTTGGTGGAAGAGGGTTACTGGATGGCATTTCAGGATGACGACAAATTCCTGCCCAAAAACCCGGTAAATTCAATTATTCTTGAGGGATCCAAACCTCGTGGCCACACAAACCTACTCTCCAATGTCGATCGTGTCACGTGACTAGATAAGTTTTTCATTGACAGCTGACGGCGACCGGTAAAGCAGATTCCGCAGGTTGCGAACCCATCATCCAAAACCGCAGATTGGGCATCAGACCAATGTCGTGTAAAGAAGAAGAATTCGAATGGCAAGTGTTTATGACAAGCACAAAAAATTCCCGTAAAATTGAAAACTGTTTATTTAAAATCGATTAAAGTATATGTTTAATTCGAGAGCATTTCATCGTCTTGGAGCACCGGTTTCCCGAACCTGGCAATCTTCATTTTTGAGCTCTCCAACTCCATCTGAACCTTTTTCCGTATATAGAATATTGGGCAATCCCTGCTAGTGCACAAAATCTCCTCGTGCAACGAGCCTTGGCACCTCTGGCACTCTGTAATGCAAACGAACGTGACCATTAATTAGCCCGTTCCGACACCCCCAAATAAATTACTAACCCGTAAAAAGCTCCGAGAACCTGTTTTCCAGCATACGGTGGTGGCCTAACTCTTGCTGATAAATGGTCGACTCCTTGGGGCGGCAATATGCACATACCGCCTCCGTCTCCCTATCTTTAGGCAACACCGATTTGCATCCCAGACAAATTTCTTTCTTTTTCGCGAACCCTGCCAACGCACCAACTTTCGATGTTACCACTGTTTTGGTACGGGTGTGTTCCCCCCCTGAAGGCAAAAATTATGTTAAAGCCACCCGACTGCGCGGCCAAACGTACTCAGCAGTATGGATTCTGCGTTGTCGCCCAATATAGGCTGGAAAATCCTCACGAGCGGTTTCGACAGCTGATTCTCGAGGTAATATTTCGCATCAATCGGTATACTGTTCTCCAGCACGTAGATTGGGTCCTGCAGATTGTGATTTAATGAGAAACATTGAACATATTAGGGTACGATGTTTTAATAAAAAATCACGCAGTTTAATGCACTCATTTTTTGGGACTTTAAAACAAAACGAAAAAAGCTTCGGAAATCGTCTTTCCGCGAAGATTACCTCCGCCTTTTCAAATGCTTTCGCGTTCTTCGTGGAGGCCGTGATGACGTACGGTATCCGGTCGCCCACCTTGGGGGCGTTTCCGGGGTCCCGCTTCTTAATTTTTTTCATCAGCTCGACGTGTGCCTGCTTTCCTGCGTAATCGTTCTTTGTCAGCTCCTTGGTGATCACCAGCTGTGAAATGTCCACGTTGTTCTGAAGCAAGTCCGATATCACCTGTTTCGCGTAGTTCGTGGCTCCTCCGGGATCGCGATCGATCAACAATTTGCGTAGACAGGTGCCTATGACGTCAGCAACCAGGGGACAGTTGTCCCTCCTCACCGTCTCTATACCTTTGCAGTCCATTTTGTCGTACTTGTCAGGGCGAGTAAAGTAAAGACCCGCATAACGTTTCTTGTTGATCAGCAAGTAGGGGTAATAGACCTGGAGGAAAAAAATTACCACCCGTTTGCAAAAGGGGCGGAGCAGGGGCAAACCTTTTCGAATTCCAACCTGATGGGATCAATAAACTTGGTGCTGATCGATTCGGCCGCCTCCCTGCCCAGTTCCATACTGCGCTCCAACGTTTTGACCTTGAAATTGACCATGACCGAGTCGGTGTCGCCGTATATGACCTTAGCGTCGCTTTCGTAGCCATTGGCTACAGTGTAGTGCGCTTCCACCTCGCGTTTCGTTTGCTCTATCATCGCACGACCGTATGCCGTCACGCTCTATAAAAGCCCCGCCCCTGATACAGTGTTATGAAATTCACCTCAAAAAAATTGATGAGTGGGAGTGTGTAATGTCAGGGGACAAACGAAAAAAATACCTATCGTAAATGTAAAAAAGTTGAATATAAAATACTGCCATAATAAATTTTGCTAAGAGAAAATTATCGCGATAAATCTTGGCAGAGTTTGCTTAATAAGTCTAAACATTTTGCCTTCTTCCATTAATGGCCATGCTCTAGTGGCTAAACATTTTATATGAAGCGGTTCACATCTATCCGACACAGTTTTTGGTCGGCTCGGACAAATATTGTCCAAAAATCGTGTCCGATCTTGCTCGCTTATATGACGCTGTTCACATAGGCCGGATGTCGGGTACGGAAATTCTCCCCGCTACTCCTTCGCTGCAGAGGGTGCAGTGCAGAGTTTGTATGTTTTTACGTGAGAATATTTTGTCCTGCTGCAGCACAACACTCAAAATTTAGTCAAGAATCAAATTTAAATTATTAAAGTACCTCCAACTGACTTCTGTGATTTTCTTTAAAGAAATAAGTTTTAAATGAAATTTCTCTTTCCCAAGAAATATCGACTATCGACATCATTTCTTCAAGACAAATGTAGTCTCTAAATCTTGTATTTTGACAGTTTACGCTCACTGAAACTCGTGCCAAGATGATTGAATGTAGCTATGGGCATTCTAAAATAATTTAAAAACTTCTCAACTGAGCGATGAAGGTCACCAATGTTGCTAAATTACCGTTCTTTCAGTACTGGGCGCACCCAAATGTTCTTTTACTTGCTGTTTTCTCGTAAAATAATATGGCACAACACAACAAACGTTTCCCGTTTCGATCGGGTCCGACATTCGTCTAGTGTGAACAGAAGCGATGACATCCGATTAAAAAATGAATCCCACATCTGATATAGCGGGCGTAGGATTGTAAGGCCTTGTGTTTTGAATTTGAAATTTTTGAAAAAAAAAAAGTAAATTTATTAATTGGACTGAGGTGGCTTTTAATTGTAAAAAATCCACTTAACACAATTAAATTATAACAAAAAATACTCAGATTTTCACAGTTATTTAATGATTTCTGACAGTTATTTCGGCAACACCAAATACAAAACAGGACAATATTCCGACACCTATACAGGTAGTCATAGATTTTTAATTCCAGGTGTAGAGTTATAAAATTAAATTTAACAACGGATACGCATTTAAATCCAATTGGTCATTAAATAATAGATTCTAATATCTCATTTTGTTATTCTCCATAGCTTCCAATGAATTTAGTTTTTTGCCTTTTGATTGATTATGTAAAATATCAAAATTATCGTCAAACTTGTGTAATTCTGAATTTAAGTGAATGGCATAGTTGGAATCTGAACTTTTATTTTTATACGCTCTTTTATGTTCGTTAATTCGTTTCTTAAATGTTCTACCTACAGATTTTTGAGTTTTTGTAATTTAATTTTATTGTTTTTTAAAAAATGTCCTATGGTGTTTTCAGTTTTAAAAGCAACCTTAAGACCAAATTTAGATAGATGTTTCTAGGTTCTTATTGTTTTATAAATTTTGGGTTCGGGGTTTAATATGGGATAAGAGTTATTTGAAACTGCTCCTTAGTTTTAATCTTAGCTATCAAATTGGGGCCGCCGTTTATTTTATAACATTTAATTCTTTTTCAAAATTTTCCGTGGAATGTGGTATATTAAGTAGTCTGTGGATAAAAGCATAAAAGGCAGCCATTGTGTGTGTGACGGCGATTTGTGTTCTTATGTATTGTGTCCTTGTGTGAGGGTTTATGGTAAATGTAGAAATCTAATTTGTTCTGTAGTTTAGTTATAATTAAGTCCAGAAAATTTAGAGAGTTATTTATTACCGTCTTCAGAGGATGTTTATGAATGATATTTTCTAAACTGTCCAAGAAAATTTTAATTAATCCGTCTTTAGCAATGTAAAATAGATTATTAAAATTGAAAATAATTTTGGTCTAAACAAACTATTAAACTATCTAGCAAGTCTTGTTTTATGATAGGGTTGACTTGTCTCTGAGTGAGAATATTGTCTGCTACGTTTATTACGTCAATTGGTGGAATGCTAGGAAATAGATTTTGTCAAATGGGACTAGAATTACCTTACGAGGAATTTTAATCTCTTTAACCTTGTTAATTAGTTCGAACAAATTTTTGATAACATATCTAGGTTTAAAGTCAATATAATATTCTAAAATTTTTATTAATCTTGTTGATAATAAACACCGAACAAAAAATTTCTAAAACAACAAAATATATAGGAGAACCTAGCAACAAAATTTCTAAAATCTACTTAAATTTAATCATAAGATTGCTTTTAAACCTGAAAGCACAACTGGAATTTTTTTAAAAAACAATAAAACTAAATCACGAAAAACTTAAAATTCTGGAGTCAACAAGTCAAATGTGGATCATGTCCCAAAATTTTTATCGGACAAACAGGTAGAACGTTTAAGAAACGCATTAACGAACATAAAAGAGTGTATGAAAATAAAAGTTGGGATTCTAACTGTCATTCATTTAAATTCAGAAATACACAAGTTTGACGATGATTTTAATATTTTACAGAATCAATCACAAGCAACAAACTAAATTTGTTGGAAGCTATGGAGATTAACAAAATGAGATATTGCAATCTATTACTTAATGATCAATTGGATTTAAATGCGTCTCCCTTGTTAAATTTAAATTTATAACCCTACACGGTAATTAGGATTCTATTACAACCTGATTATATATATGTAGGTGTCGTATTTGTATTTGATAATGGCACGGTGTTGCCCAAGCGGATTTCATAAATCATTAAATAACTGTGAAAATCCAAACAATTTTTGTTCGACTTTAATTGTGTAAATTTATTAAACATGGCACCATCGCGAATCCAAGACTCACCCCTGATATTTCGAGACAGGGCAGCTTGCCATTCTGCGCACCCGTGAAACCGTACACGGAATTGGCCGATATTTTATAGGCCAACTGTCGGCCGTTTAGTACCGCCTGCAGTACCGGATCCTTAGCCTCTTTTAGCAGCGCTTTGGTCTTCTTCCGCGCGGCCAGCAGGTGCTGCAGGATTTGGGGCAACAGACCCGACCTGACCGAAGACCTAACGAATGTACAGTTAGCAGGGGTCCTGGTCACTTGGTCGTCGGACAGTCCCAGCTTAGTTTTGGCCGTCGTTGACTTAAGCAAAGTGCTGTAGCATAAATTGTGGGCGATCATGATGCTTGGGTATAGCGAGCTGAAATCCAGCGTTGCTATGGGGTCAGTATAGTATCCCCGGACTGGTTCGATAACGGTGGCCCCTTCGAATTGGTCAGCACCTCCGGTGCCCTGGTGCGACGGCATGAAGTATCCCGCTTGCTTGCCCTTGGTACATTATAGATGGCTTAATGAATTATTTTAATTATGTTACTTTTTCCAATTGTTTTGTTTTGAATAATTGTCGCATTTTAAGTTTTATTTATTTTAGTTAAATGATGGAAAAAAGTTTATTTCACAATTTATTTTAATTTAATTTTTCGACTTTTCCACTCATTTCCTGACTTATGAGATGAGAAAACTTTATTTGACAAAAATTAACAGTTTTTTCATTTAATATTCCAAACCGCTCGATCATTTTAATTTTTTTTTTAAATTATATTTAAATAAATTTTTCATTTAACTCAGGACCTCAGTGTAAAACACCAAATTTTATGACCTGTCATCACAGAACTTACATGTCTTAGTAGCTGAGCGACGACTTTGACTTGTTCGCCCTTGGTTAGCAAACTGGTTATGGGAACGCCCGTCACCCTGGCCATTTCGACGTCGTTGGTGAAACTGAGCACGCGCCTCAGCAGACGAACAGGCAATTCGGCGTCCTTGAGACAGTAAACCGCCAACCTATTCGCGTGGACAAAAAATTCACCTAACATTTCGATAGAACGCCCCCCCACGCACCTTCTCCTCGTTTGCTCGTCCCCGTTTTGCAGGTCCGTAATGATACTGTAGTGCACATCTTCCTTCTGCTCGCCCAGTATCTCCTGGCAAACGCTGTTCAGGGTGTATGACCTCAGTTTGAAATCGCGCTTGGTCACCAGCAGCATATCGTACGGGACACGCCCCTCGAAATTTATAGTCTTATACGTTCGCTTGCCTATCTTTGTCTGCGTGACCGTCTCTTTTATTACAGACCTGTAACGGTGTTCACTTTCGCACGATCTAAGGAGCTTAACCCGACTTACCTGACATTGAGCAAGCGCCCCAAGTACTCAAAATTTGACACCTTGAGATAGGTGGCACGTTCTAACAGATAAGGAAAATCAAAATTGTTAATATTGTAGCCGGTGAAAATGTCGGGGTCCAATTCACGAACAAAGTCTGCCCAGGCGCATAAAAGGTCCACCTCGTTGTCATAGCAGAAGACGTCGGCGTGACCAATCGGGGCGCAGGACTTTAAGGTGAACACGTTGCGAGTTAAAACATCACCATCGCCGTGTAGTTGGATAACATTCGCTATCTGAATAACTGGATCCACATTTGCTTCAGGAAAAATCCCTTTCCTGCCGGCACATTCGATATCAAAGCTGTGAATCCGGAAACGCGCCACGGTCGCCCAGTCACCCTCAGGAGCGTGTGATATAAAGTCCTGCCACGAAACGTCCACCTCCAATTGGCACCTTGAGGTTTTCGAAAATTGTGACGTGGAAGTCCGCGGGAACCATCTCCCCGAGGGGAGCTCGATCCAGCAACAGCCCAGGATGTTGGTGTCCACCATGAATCTATTTTCGAAAAATTATCAATTATCTACATATGTATTGAAAATTTAGAATTGTAAGCAAAAATGCTCACCTAATCAATCCTCCATCTTCCACAGATAAAAACACTAGCCAAAAACAATAAAATTACTAACCAACCAGCCATTTATTTAGTTTGTTTGGCATAAATAAATAAAATAAATTAATATTAATTGAATTATTAAATAAATAAATTTCTCTCTCAAAGAGGCTAACTTTATCTCCACACTCATAGGTTCATAGATTCTATTCCCTAACATGATAACCTTTCTTTCATCTATTAGCAGTCACATTACTCAGGATCCTAGTACTACTCTCCGGCAGAATATATATGAGCTACAAAACATAACCTGGTTTCGATATCCACATTGGCTTCAAAAAATTGAAATGAGTGAGATGATAGAGGCTGGTAGACTATAACTGAACTCAAAAGGCGTTTGGCAGCAGGTATGAATTTATGCTGAGACACTGTGATTTTTGCAAAGTTTTCATCTTCCTCGCCTGAGTACTCTATCAATGATTTTCCTTTCACCATTTCTATCATTACGACAGCGTCTATGATACCTTCTTTGTTACCTCCTCTGATGTCGGCCACCAGGGCATCATTCAGTTTTGTCTAGAAAACCAGATACTTGATATTGGAAAATTTGCTATTGTCAAACGAGATTAACCTTAAACGGAGCCAAGTCGCTAGGCTTAAACGATTCAGGAAGGTTAACGTAAAAATATGGGGAAAAACCGTGCACATGGCAGCAGACGGAATTCCCCGACTTTGTGATACCAAAAAGCCTTATTATAGGTAGGAATCCTTTTTGGGGCCCTGGCATGCCCGGATAAGGATGTCCTATGTAATTATCAAGCTCCAGTTCCTGGAATATCAGCGTGTCCTTTGACGGATCATATTTTTCCAACGGCGGTCTCTGAATCAAAGCGGTAGGCCTTTAAAAAAATCCTAGCGTATAGTTGACAAGCAACGCGGTTATGCGTGGAAAACGCTACATACTTGAATTTTTTAAATTGGGTTTGTAACTCATCTGATTTCCGTTTGGTCATCGCGATCCGGTTGTTTGAAACCCCTTCCCGAAAAAATAAACAATATTCAAATGGCGGGAACTAAGGTGACAGATTGTCAAACGTCAATAAATGACACAATTGTAACAAATTGCTAAGGTTTATTCGCCCAAAATCGGATACTTAATTGCTACTTTCTTTTAATAAAATGGCAGTAATTTACGAAAACATTGTTTAATAAAGCGGGTCAGTCAACAATTCAACTTGGAATCATTAAAGCGTAATTTCAAAATATGTGGAGCAATTGCTTTTGATTAAAAAAAAAAAGATTGCAGACACCATAGAAGAAAATATTGCGCGTAATTTTGACAGCATCGCCTCTACCATTTTGGGTGGTGTTCAAGTTCTGACTAGATTATGGGTAATTTCCCAGCATTTACAAAAATGTATTCAAATTGGAAAACCAATTTTTTCATTTTTTACAGATACGAATGACGCAAATGTGTACATCACGCATCACATTATACAACAAGACCCCGCAACAAGTCAAGTTGTGTTTATGACGGTCAACTCAGACGTTGAGACTTTGTGCCAACCAAATTTCCTTTCCAACGACAATCCCGCTACCGGCGGTGCTTACGAGCCAGCGTTTGTACAGGAAGTCAAAATTATCGCCTTCGATGACGGTCGCATGTTCTTGACGAACGGAGACACAGTTTTTAACGCTGTGGAACCGCAACTGATCGCGCAGGAAGTTATTTGCGATAATATTTCCGCGCTAGAATCTATAAACATTTCCGAAGATGTTGACAGTAAGACCGGTTTATTATGCAGCAACGTCGACCAAAGTGCTAGTGCAGTGAACACGATACAAGAGCCTTGCGAGAATATCAAGTACAATTCCCAAAAGTCAAGGTTCATAGCTGAACAGAAGAAAAGTTACAAATGTCTTTTCGATGGGTGTGGCAAATCCTATTCTTCTTCTCACCATTTAAACGTGCACATGCGAAATCATATGGAAAGCAAACCATATTCATGTACGGTCGAAGGTTGTGAAAAGACATTTGCTACAAATTATTCTCTGAAAGCACATTCGAGGATACATACTGGGGAGAAACCATATCCCTGTCCAGATTGTGATAAGTGTTTCAAAACGTCAGGGGATTTACAAAAACACTACAGAACCCATACTGGTGAAAAACCATTCCTGTGTCCCGTTATGGGATGCGGCAAATCGTTTACTACTTCGAATATACGTAAAGTCCACGTGCGATCTCATACAGGAGAGAGACCGTATGTGTGTGATTACCCTAATTGCGGCAAAGCTTTCGCCTCTTCAACAAACTTCAAAAATCACTCTCGTATACATTCGGGAGAAAAACCATATGCCTGTCCCGTAGATGGTTGCGAGCGAAGGTTCACGGAGTATTCGTCTCTGTACAAACACTCGGTAGCGCATCAAATAAACAGACCCTATCGGTGCAATTATTGCACCCAAAAATTTAAATCAGAATCGGCACTAAATCTCCACAAACGCGTCAAGCACAACGTCGTTATTTCTGCGGACGGTTCGGAAATCGTCGTCGAAATTTGCTAGACGTAAAGTGGAGGAAGAAATTTGTTATTTAGTCTAAGGTTAAAAAATATATTAATTTCGTACGGGTAGATCGACGTATGATTATTCTTGAGGAAAGATTGGAGCCCTCTGTTAAGTCATTGGACAGTACGTTGTGTTGCAGTTCTTGACATGGTCTACGACATTAATGTTTTCGTATAGTCCGTGACATAAATTTACCTTCCCTGTTTTTTTTTGTCTTTGACATAACAAACGTCAGTTAACCAAAATGGTGTAAATTATTAGTAATTTTTTCATTTTTTCATCCCCTCATTCAAAATTCCCAGTAACCGGCGAATCCGTCGACCGGATATGAATCGCAGCACGAGCATCGATAGTCAATTGCTAAGGAAATTACGATACAAGCCACGATTCTTCAACGCCGCTAGGTAGAATTTGCCCAGTGTTTTCAAGTTTCGGGGTTATTTTTTAATATCGTTATTACGCAGCGCACTTTTTCGCACTCATTACGACACGTTAAAAGTAAAAAGGAACAGTTCCTCGAAAGAAATCAGGGCCGCTTTCATAGAGTTATCAAAAAAGGTATGCGCGGTCGGTCGGTCTATTGCGTTACGGCCAAATGATCATTAGGGTTATAGAATCATCCGGATGTGAATAAAAGTTCGGCGGCGCACACGGAATTTTTGAAAATTCAAGAGGCCTACAGCGTTCTCGGTAAACCAGAATCGCGGCGGATGTACGACTTGGGATTGTCCAATCCTTCCGCTACTTACGCAAACAGAGGCAAGCAATATCAGTATTATAGGGAGCCTCACATACGAAAGTAAGTTTTTACAATGTGCGATTAAAACCACACTTGTGATGAAATGGGCAATGTTGGCGTAGCCCGTGGGAGGATCCCTCATTTTACAGGAACAGAAACAAAACCAAAGATAAGAATTGCAGAAGTGGCTACTATGGTATAGATGGCATGGAAAGGCTGCCTAATTCGATAATAGCAGGATACTGTTTTTTTATTACCATAATCATGTTTGGCATTCAGATGTTTGCCATCAAGTAGGTTGGGGTGGCACGTATGTAAAAGATGATGCAGTATAGGATGTTTTAAGGCACTCGCTCACCCTCAGAAGGGATAAAATGCAACATAAATCTGATGAGGCCCAGGCCCTACTTGATGAACTTCAAGAAGTGGCTAGGGAAAATGGGAAAGAACACCAACTAGAACTGTTGAGGCAAAACCTCGAAGAATCAAGGCGATCTTATTAGTTATTGAATTTTGAGAAACATTAATTGTAAATAGATTTGATTTTTTCCAACAGCTTCATTTTTTTGAATAGTATTTTTTTTTGGTCTGTTGGCCCTAAGTATTTTTAATTTCTCTTTTCAATGACAAAACAACAGAAGAAAAGAAAAGAAGGAAAATTGCGCTAGACTATTAACATCATGCGCCCAATGTCCAACTACCACTGTGGTTTCTTAAACTACACTTCTTCACTCCCATCTTAACAGTAGTTTTAAACCCAATTAGGCGTATTTATGCTCTTATGCCATTGACCTTGCTATTAGACAAAACTGTATAAAATATCTCCAAATTTGGCATTTCTTACAGGCTAGATTTACCTCAAATCAGAAAATTGCTATTTGAATACCTAAGTTTAATCCACAATATTAATTAATATAATTTTAACAGATACCAAATAATAGGCATACACACAGATATGAAAGGTAATTAGTTTCAGTTCCTCTATATTCCAGCGCACATCTCGTCCTTACTTCCGGCCCTTCTGAGCACAAATGGTGCATGCGCCAGTAAAACACTAAAAAAAAATAGAAAGCATATTTATAAATCAGTTTTCGGAATATTTATCGCTTACTCAACTATTTACAGTTTTTGCAGCGATTTACCTTAAATTCAGTTAGGTGTTCATCCTAATAAATAACAATTGGTTTTGCTCAATTTCAGGGCGACATGAGGTTTCTAATCCAAATTGCTAAAATATTTAACATTAACTACGCTCAGGCGGAAATTTAAATTACTAGTTGCGTTACCATGTCTCGGAATCACTGGTCGTATTTTGAAAATAGGGTAGCCATCGCAATCCCAATTTAATTCGTAAACTTATGGTAGATACATTGTAAACAAACGTAATTAAGGTTAGAAATTTCAAAGTTAAAGCATTCTTCAGTAAACCAAAGGAAAGCAACTTACTATGTTGTCATGCTGCATTGGATTGATCCACTTGATTCGGCATTTTCCACTAATAGAAATCATTTTTCATATTCGAAAATATTTTGATCGATCGGAAGTCAACTGTCAATTAATAACGTTCAATTCATCGGGAAGTGACCACCGGCGCAACCGTGTGTCATCCCCACGGAATATCAAATCAGTAGAGACGATTTTCCTCGACCAATGAAAATTTTTTGTGTTTTTTAAAATATTAAAACAAGCTCGTATGGGACACCTTTTGATTTAAAACTCTACGCGGATACAACAAATTGGAGTTTCGCATCCATATTTTAAGGTTGATTCAGTTGATATCACATTTGTGGATTTGAATATATTAGATAAACCGAATTTAAACAACTCCGGTAACTAGCGAAGAAGACTACTAACAATCTGGTAAGCGCGTTATACTAATACTTTCAACAAAACTTCTGGATTCCTCGTGCTCTGAAGAAGCCAACAGGATGATTGGTGTAACGTTAGCAAGTCTGACTCAACAAAAACCGACGCAGAGGGAACCCAGAAGTTTTGTAAAAAGTATTACAATAGCCTGTGGAAGTTTCTTCTTATGTAAGGAATGAACATTCAAGACCGTAAAGCTGAAACGATTATTTATAACCATTTCTTTGGAAGCTTATGCTTTATATAACACCAAACTCGCACTTCTGGTTTTTCACCTATTTTTGGTGATTTTGTTTAATATCACTTGCTGTTAACTTAAGGCCTAGACTTTTTTTGTAGCTTTCCTGTTTTCTGATATACAGCTACGTCCGATGAAAAACCAAAATCTTTCTAATCTTGCTTATGTTTCTTTCACCCACCCTTCCACCAACTGGGTGGTCAGTACTCGCTTCGGCGGTACATATACTAAAATCGGAACGATACAGAGAAGATTAGCATAGCCCTACGCAAGGAGGGCAAAAGTATGACGTACCCCGCAGTTTTAAATAACTTTCGAGTAGCGAATCGCGAGTACAATTATAGTCTGACCACCCTCAATTTTACGCTTCTTCAAGAGTCTATTTCTCCGTTATCATTTAGCTTTTTTAAGTTTTTTTTTGTTAGCTCGTTGAAGTGCTAACAAACTGCCAAAGCTGGAAAATAAAATTCAATATCTGAAGGTTTTTGAACATGTAGGATTCGAAACTGGTAACAGCATTCTTGATAGATTTACCACTTTAACGTTACAAGTCATAAATTTGTGTTTTTTTTTTAATGGAATGCACTATTTAATTTTGTTTCAAGAAGACTACCAGTGAAAGGTGAAGATTTTAAAAATATCATCGCGACATCTGAGAAAATTGCTGTTAGAATTTTTGAATTCTGCATGTTTAAAAACTGCAGGTATTATTATTATTATTATTATTATTATTATTATTATTATTATAATATTTCAGCTTTAGGGGTCTTGGACTTATTTAAGCGCTCCGGTAGTTTTTATGTATGTGGTGTTGCCGTAACGAAGCAAATAGTAAAATCATTTTGCATTTATGAGATTTTACGAAATTCGACAGCACAATTCATTGCAATAAAAATAAACAGGGCATTCCATTTAAAATAACAAAATTATGACGTGTGACATAAAAGTGGTCAATCTGACAACATTGCTGTTACGATTTTTGCATTCTGCATGTCCAAATACCCCCGAGGATTGAATTTTATCGCTCCCGCTTTGGTAGTTTGGTATATAAATAAATGGGTTGCTGAAAAAGCTAGAAAAGCATCCGCTCCCTATGATTTTAAAGTTTGTTTAATTTCTCCTGAAATTTATCATTTTTGGCCTTTTTTTAAAACACCCAATTTCTTAATCATTAGCAATTGACATTTGACAATTTTTAGCTCTGTTTAACACCATTTGTTACTGATATGTCGGCGGACTGGGGTTTCGAAAGAAAACAGTAAAGTTAATTACTTCCACTTTAATATCACAAAAATAAAGATTCTTTATATGACCACGGTACCGCACGTGAAAACGTTGTTGCCTCTTGGACACACCGGCTGAGACTAACTTTTTGGTCGGCCCGCGGTGTTGCCAAATACACCACAGTTACTTTTTGAGGAAATTGCATATTCACACGCCTTGATATTTTCGTAAAGAAGGTAATGATTTTCCGCGCATGCCTCTAAATTTCACCCACTAATCTGCACTTTGCGCCATTTTATTTATAAATAGCGATTTCCACACCCTTATCTCGCTTTCCCTGAATATTTAACGAGATCTTGCCATTTGTTGAGAAAATACTGCCGTAAAACTGCCTCATCCAAATTTCTTGACGGACTGTCAGCTGCCATGTTGGTTGTTGGATGCCGCAAGATCATTCGTTAAAAACATGATTTTAATTTTCGCATAGGCGTATGTATTTTAAACGGAACTTCTCAAAAATGTTTTCATAGTTGCTTCTTAACTTCCACTATTATAAGCATAGGCTCTATATCTCTAGTAGCTATATGCTTTAACCATATATATAAGCTTTATATTCAATCGACCTCCTAAAGTGAAGGCGTACTTCTCTGTTTTGACAAGAGAAAACACGTGGCTGAAGTTAGATTGGGATTGGAATTGAAATCAAATCATAATCAAATTGCAGCGGACCAAACAAATACTAGTCAATATTTTAAATATGCTGTATTAACCTTATTTTTGAAGAAAAATTAACAAAGTTTGATACACAAGTTTCTCAAGGAATTCTCCCTCTGTAGGGGTGCGAAAATACTGCGCCTATATATTTAATACGATAATATTGAACGATTTCAATGATATTCAGTAAGGCTGGTTATGGGATGTAATCAGTTCATTTTTAATAATATTAAAATCCATTCAGGGGTGAGGGTTTTTTAAAATGTCGTTGTTCACACATTTATTCAGACCATAACTTAAGGGGCTTAATTAAAAGGTAATTAAGAGTAGATTAAAAAAAATATGTATGTTTACAGATGTTATCTGTCAAATGGACGTTGTTGATAGGTTTTCATAAATTTACGAATTATTGTACGTGGGGTATATGTTAGAAGGTATATATTGCAAAAATGTTAAAATTTTTCAATTTAACAGTATTGAAATCTTCTTAAATTTGTCTTGCTTGGTACTGTATGGATTAGTAAAATTGTTGACATAAACTATACCATTGAACAATTTGTGCCGCCTAAAAAAAAACTAAATGATAATTTTTCCAAAAATCCAAATCAATATAGTGTCGAAATAATATATAAAGCATCTTTAATTTTGCCTGCAGAATATAATGTTAAAATTGAAAATAAGAACTATGACTTTCAAAAAATAGATATAATTCATTTAATGCTAAAAGTTCTATCAATAGCTGTTAATAAAAAACTGGTTCAAAATATCGAACCACTGCAGTTAAGAAAAATTAATGTTGAAATCATAAAAGAAGATATAGACAGTGCTCGAAACCTAGTCAACCACCCTTTAAAACATTTAACTTTGGTAAACTCTAGTGTTTCAATTGCTATAATATTAATAGTTGTTATAATTATACTAATAATAATCATTGTATGTTATCATTAGTACCCGAAAAGGAAACAAAGGTGGGCATAGAACTAAAAACTCTCGAAAATTAGCGGCATATAGTTTTAAATACGTAATCAAAGATCGTTTAATTTTTCTCGTTAGACAGGTTTAAACTAGATAAAAGTACCTCTTCCGAGAATTATTGAATGAAAAATGCAATTTGATTACTTTCTGTAATTTTCTTTATTAATATTAATAGATACTTTTGTTGATATTGAATAAATTATCACTGTTTATGATGCAATGTCTGTTATAATTGTAGCATAAGAAATTACTTGGAGCGATATTTTGAATGGATACATTAGAAATTAGGGGAATTGTAAAATAATAATGAAAAAATGATGAATTGAAATCCAGGAGTAAAAAAAGCATAATCCGAGTCAACAACGCCCATAAACGGATTTTTGGTTAGTTTTGTTCCCTGGCGATGTATAAGGTTGTTCGGAAAGTCATTTCGTTTTTTCCCGTCAGAGGACTTAATTACGTTTTTTCGAAACCAACTTCACACTTAAGCCGCATAACCGTTATATGTCTTGAGAGCTGATATTGCAAGGCTTGTGTGTGAAAAAGTTCTATTAATTCTACGCAGTAGTTTTTGGTTGGTGCCCTTTTAAATATGGAGAGCAAGAAGCAGCATTTCCGTCATATTTTACTTTTTTACTTCAGAAAAGGTAAAAATGCTGTCCAAGCGAGAAAAAAATTGATGGATGTGTATGGAGAAGGCGTGTTAACAGTACGTCAGTGCCAGAACTGGTTTGCAAAATTTCGATCCGGCAATTTTGATGTCGAAGATGCACCACGGTCTGGAAGGCCGGTCGAAGCTGACAAAGATGCGATAAAGGCATTAGTTGATGCAAATCGGCGAATAAACACACGAGAGATCGGTGAGAGATTAAATTTGTCGAATTCGACTGTTTATGGCCATTTGAAAGGCATGGGCTTAACCTCGAAGCTCGATGTGTGGGTGCCCCATGTCCTTACGGAGCGAAATTTGTATCGTCGCGTTGACGTGTGTGATTCGCTCCTCAAACGTCAAGAAAATGATCCATTTTTGAAGCGGATTATTACTGGGGACGAAAAATGGGTTGTATACAACAATGTTAAACGCAAGAGGCCATGGAGCAGAAAAGATGAACCGGCTCAAAGCGTGTCGAAAGCCAACATTCACCAAAAAAAGGTGATGCTCTCCGTTTGGTGGGATGTCAAAGGAATCGTTTTTTTTGAGCTTTTGCCGGACAATACAACGATTAATTCAGAAGTCTATTGTCATTAACTGGACAAATTGAATGATTCACTTAAAGAGAAGAGGCAAGAATTAATCAACAGGAAGGGTGTAGTGTTCCACCAGGATAATGCGAGACCTCACACAAGTTTGGTCACTCGCCAAAAACTTTTACAGCTTGAATGGGACATCCACCATATTCTCCAGATCTGGCGCCTTCCGACTACTATTTGTTCCGGTCCCTGCAAAATTTTTTGGATGGCAAAACCTTTACCTCAAATGAAGATGTCAAAAACCACCTGAACCAGTTTTTTGCCAGCAAGGACCAAAACTTTTATGAGAGGGGAATTATGTTACTGCCAGAAAGATGGCAAAAGGTGTTGGACCAGAATGGCCAATATATAATTTAATAAAATATTTATTCATTATGCGAAAACTGTCTTTCATGTTCCCCAAAAAAAACGAAATGACTTTCCGAACAACCCAATATTATGTACCAAATAAATAACCTAAATATTTTTTGCAGCGTATTTATTGAAATTAACAAGAAATGTTTGCCTTAAATATGGTCCGATAATTTGGCGACGTTATGTTATTTGATAGCTATCGCGATTGTCAGTCTGACAGTGATATGCTCAGATGCGGTCCTAGTTTCCTGTTGGGTCGGATAAGGTGACGAAAAAATAGATAAAATATCGATTCGGATTAGGGTAGGGTCCCAATTCACTAATTTTATTATATAATGTCACTAAAATAACACCCTTTTATATTGAAGCAACAAAGATGCGGGGAAGGAGATAAGTATTCGCGCCTCGTTTTCTTGAGTGAAGAAACTTATATATTATTCTATAAACTTTGGTAGTCGGTAATGGGCGTATGTCCTTGGTTGATCTGCCCACTTTAAGAAAAAGCAAAGAAGAAGAACTTTGGTATTTTTGAGTAACACATTTATAGTATATTATGCATGTGTGGTAAACGGCATTTAAGCTACGAGTTTATTAATAAACGAGCAACTTAAAAAGTTTACCAAACGTGTTGCATACTATACTTTTTCTACGACCGTTAGTTTTTAGATACATTTTTGCAAAACAACATTCATTGACATCACCGTCAGAATTGACAAATTCAAGCCGTGCGGAAAAGTCTCCGAAAACATCCGATTGCTCCCAAACCCGTGCGGTAATATCCCGGAAACGTCCGAAGTGACTCGGATCCATGGAAAACGAAATTAGTAAAATGACAATTTCCGTACGCTAGATTGGTGTATGATTATGATAGATTATGATCGTGGTGAAAAAGTCACTTCACGCCACAACCCACCTGAAAAGGCAAATCGAAGCTGACGTGAAAATTTCGGCTCTAATATTTATGGATAAACAGTTGCTTCTCTCGAATCATTGCAAAATAAATAAATAAAACACGGACGCTGACGTTTATAATAACAGTTTATTTCCAATAATACAAATAGCAAAAACCTATAAAAATTGTTTAATAAAAATATATTTGGATGTTTTATTAACAATAAATTAAAATCCTGTTCTTTTCCGCTTATTTATAGGGCTAATTATGAACAATAAAATATACCTAGTATACACTTAATAATTAATAGAAACATTTATCAAAAATAAACGATAGATTTTGGTAGGCCGTTTCACTACTATATAGTTTACTACGCCATATGACGCCACATCAAACGATAGCGTTGCAGTCACAACGCTTTTATATATCAAGCAATGATTGTCTTTAATATTCGTTAACTAAACAATCAAAGACAATATATTCAAAGGATATCATAAAAATTTTCAAGTACCCGATTCTAGAATTTATTCATATTGCCTTAAGATTTTTGATTTTTTACATTTCCAGCGTTTTTATCGTATCCTTTTGGTGATTTTGCATTATGTGATTTGTTTTTCTTTTACGCTGTTGATAGTTGGAAACTTCTAGCATAAACTAGAATCAGGGACATATCCAACTTATTTAAAATTCATTTGTTTGTGTTGGGTGTTGGTTTATAAAGTTTTATAAAGTCACAGACTCGCTTTTACGGCCGCTTTAAAAACGGACAACATTATAGACCGCAGAGCGAACTAAGCAACCAGTAATATTGTTACATAACACGCTAGACCGCAGTAATATCGACGAGAAAAGCGGAAAATTGAAACATTGAAAACTAAACGGTTATGTATAGCTACTCGCGTAAAGAAAAACGTGCGCATCCGAAATGGTAATAGTTCGTTCTCTGCGCAACTGGACTCGGCGCGATCACCTAAACCGTTATTCTCTGAACGTAGACTGTGACGGCATCGTGCGGGGGCTCGGGCTCGAACACCACCTCGCCATTGTCCACATAATCAGCGTATTTCAACGTGTAAACTAACTCGAAGCCCAACTTTTTAAGCGCGAGCGCTGTAAAGTGGCTCGTGCAATCTACTGTCATGAAGCCGCATCCCAAATTTTTCGCCAGTTCCCTGCAAAAATTAATCTCACTTCAGGTATCGTTTTACCCGGTTCCGACAAATAGAGGCGATTGTTGCTGCGCGACTGTTTGCGATGTTTTCGTCTCTGCGCTAAAAGCCACTTAAAACGAAAACGCTGATTCTGGCGCCCGAAGCCCATCGTTATTAACGACGTCGTGATAAAAACTGGGTAAGCGATTGATTGCACCGTGTTAAATCACTGCTGGCTGCGAGCCAATTTTGCTCGTGTGCGGTAGTAAAAACATTCAATTAAACCGACCGTTCTACGGAAACAAACGGGATGAATGGTTTTATTATACGGAATTGATTTTGGGCGGTTCAAGGTCGGGGGAAAGAAAAGCGATTCATCGGAGAACGGAAGGACGGGATGAAAATTGTATATACGATATGAGAAATATCAAAGGGGCTGCGGTGGACAGCTAGAACTCTATCGAAGTTGGCGCGGATCGGCAATACTCACTGTCGCACATCGACGTACGGGAATTAAATGGGATTAAAAGCTTTACGTATTAGAGGCATGTGCCTTGGTCATTGTGATGTACCGCACCGTGTCGAGTATGCTTTGTACTTTGGTTTATCGATATCGATTGAAGCAATTATATTACGGTTGGGCGAACGTGAGATTTCGCGCGCCCGGGTTGCCTGTTTATCCCGCCTGTTTGGCGCGGGTCGATCTGGAACAATCGGCAGCAGCCGGCGGTAAGATTTTCAGGGGCAATTCCCGGGGATTATCAGGAGCGCGTAATCGATATACGCGGCCGTCCTGGGAGCGGATGGACCGCATCGCAAAAATTTAATTATTATTACCTAGTTTTGTTCATCAGCTCCCTGGCGATGCCCTGCCCTCTGTAGGTCCCATTGACGGAAATGATTTTGGTTGTGATCGCCCTCTTCGCGTCGGGGAATTTCGAGAAAACATCCGACTCGACAGCGACGCGTCCCAACAGTTTGGCGATCTTGCGGAATTTCTCATCCTTGACCTCGTCTTCTTCTTCGTCGATGTAACCTGTGTCCGAAACTATAAATTAAAGAGACCGACGACCTACTACATCGTACCCTTCTCCAATATCCCATTGAGACACACGCCGATTATGCGGCCGTTGTGCACTGCCTTTAGGGTGACCTCTTTGTCGATGTCCTTTAACGCGAAATCTTCCAGGTCGTAGCATCTGGGCCTCTCTTCGCTGATTAGGCCTAAAAGGCAAAACCGTCGAATGTTACGAGCAAACTGGCGCCATCCTCTAAGTTTTACCTAAATATTTGTTGAGGGGCTCGTCTTTGAAGAAGAAGGTCTGCAAGAAATTTAGTATGTCGTCCTTGTCTTCGACCGTGGCTATCTGAATTTCGTAATCATCCGGACTGACCGGCGTGGTGGGGGTAGGAGGACTGGCCATGTCCATCGACTGCAGAAAGAATTTGTATCAATTAAACCACTTCTAAAGTGCCCGTCGGGGAAAAAGAAGAATCTGCCTATGACAAATTCAGTGCCCTGTCGTTTAAAAATTTAGGCATAAACATTGATTCCTGAAAATTTTTAGTATCGTTTTAAATGTACGACAATACGAAATAACGACGACAGTGCGTTATCCGCAGTTACCGAGCCGACGGAAGTGACTAGAAAAATGCGTATAGGCTTCATGTCGTTACGATTAATGCCAATGCCAATCGCATGGAAGGGCGATTATCGCGTTTATTACCGAAAAAAATCACTATCGGTGCATCTGATAGTGCATAGGTGAGTTGAGACTACGCATCTCGCCCCGACCAGAAAATTTTGTCTGGCAATCGGGTCGATTTTATTTGTTATTACCATATCCTGGAACTTATGTAGCAAATATGGAAAAAAAATTGAGAAACTCCATTCAACATGCGCATACTTGAAAAGTTTTTAACCAATGACTTTGCTGCATTCAACCAACATAACTCCTGTCAAATCGTCAGTTTGGCAGTATTTTCTGAAAATATGCCTCGATCTCGGTAAACGTTCTGGGAAAACAAATTAAGTGTTAAATGGCGCAAAGTGAAATGTAGACGCATGCGCAGAAAAACATTTAACTCTACGAGAATAATAACGCCGCCTGCGGCGCATCAATTTTTACAATTATAGCGCCACTATATTATCTAATAGCTATACGGTTATTACGTAATGTCTGGGTGCACCTTTATTACACCCCCCGAAAAATTTCGAAATGACATACGTTACATACAGCATTGTAAGTCGGACCCTACCTTTCTTCGTCGTTCAGGCGCAAAAGGTGAAGTGACATTTGATTCGGTTCGGTTCCGTTCAACAGGCATTTTTTTTGTATAGTGTTATATTTTTGGAGGTCTGTGGTTTTCGGTGTTCTCACAGTTACGTAAGCGATCGATTTTGGTCGTTCTGGTATTATTCGAACGGGGAAGGTCAATATCAAGGTCGCGAGTACCGCAGCCGCTGCCGTACATAACCGGTATTAAATAATAATACGAATTCGACACGGTCGGCTTTCGTAACAACATCGCAGCGGGCCGGTAATTGACAGGTTTCTGGAACCAATCACGGATTACCGGGAAACGTTTATGCAGCTTTCGAATCGCAGGAAAAAATAGCAAAGTAAATGACAGTTTTTTAAAAAAGCTGCCATGTGACTGTTCATTTGTAAATCTTAGTATTTTGTGATAAATTGACGGTTATCGATTTTATTGCCAGCACTGGTACCGTTTAATGTACACCGTGGGCCAAATAAAACGATCTCGGAACCCCTAGGAAATACGAAAAAAAATTTCGTACAAAAGTTACTTGGACAATGGAACACCCTATATATATATCGACATTTTTGGAATGCTTGGTTAAAATAAACATCACTTTTTTAAGGAGTTCCTATTCAAATTTTGTATAGTTTCGGCAGAAATTGAGCTCATGTGTTTTTTCTTTATATTTCGATTGACAGATGCGCGTCACCTTATACAGGGCGTCCCAAATAGGTGGTGCCGTTTTGGCGAATTCAATTAACAAAGATTAACAAGATTTTCAAATGGACCACCCTATATTTTGATTTAGATATAAGAGGGCCTATATTTAATTTTGAGGTTAGAATTTAATGTTGAAAGTGTTAATACTTATCGACGTCTGCATGTAAAATAACGATTGCATGGGATAGGGATATTATTGTAGCGGATGTGATTGCGCTAGACAATTCAATCACGTCCCTGCTTGACTATTAAATAGGTAGAGATAAATATCGCTAAACACGCACCTAATAGTATTGGACGCTTCAAGAATTTTGAGCCATTTGAATCGTTCCACGAAATATTTTGAAATTGTGAGTTACGGAAGCCATTTTTTAAATCGCATTAGGTTTTTAGGTTCATGAATCATTATGCCCACAGAATTGCTGTTCTGAGCGATTTCATTTTGTGTCACTCCGTTGTTACACCCCGTATATATTTGGTTTATCTGGTTAATTCGATTTGCATGCCCGCCCCCTTTTCCGACCATCAGCTGTCTTGTCTGGATAGTTTCCAGCAGTTCGAAATTGCGTCTAAAAATAGGGGCGAGCATTTTTTAAACCGCGATTATGTTTTGTTTTTTACGCAAATATCACGTTGCGATGTTTCCGCGCGTCCGCGTCGTAAGGCCTCCGCTAGCGTCTCAACGCAAACGTAGCGTCCGCGCGAACTTTTCTCACGAGGGAGCCGGTCTACGGATATTATAATAAAATCGATTGTTTGATCCTTTCGCTCATTTAAATGACAATTACGCGAATAGTTTATAATTATTTATGCTAATGTCATAATATATTATTTATATCCTCCATAAAGCATCGCCGTATTGACACTAGCTGGAAATTTCAAATTTCAAAATTAAGTGTTTGACGACAACTTTTAATTCTAAAATATACTCATATTTTTTTTAATCCACTAAAAAAATTAACAAATCTTTGGCAACTCTCTTCACGATTTCATTTTTAAGTTCACTTTTAAATAATATGATGAACACTTTGTTCAAGTGGCAACAAGAAATTAGCTATATTTACTTGCGGAATATTTTATTACACGTAATTTTGGATCTTCCCGTCAAATTGTAATAATTTATGCTTCATTATTTTGAGTACTTTACAACTTCGTTATATATGCAAAAGCGCAACAGGGGATGACCCACCAATAATTTATTTATATTATATTCGATAATTCGGTGTTATAGCAGAATTTATTCACAACCGCCAGGAGCTTCTGTTAAATTAAATAAATAAAATATCAGAATAAAACTTTTGCATTGACTATTTTTTCATGAAACCTATAATAAAGCTTATCGATGTTCATTACCTGTAGTACCTATTAAACATGTTATATTGTTTTAAAACGAGACTTTAACACTTACGAAGCCAATTAAATTATCACAATGGACAAAAATATTTCCGTAACGGACTTTACCTGGTACCGCGTGAACTTGAACTTTTCGAGGTGGGCCCTCTGCCCCGGGTCTCGGGACGTTTTCACCGACATCCCTACGTCAAGGAGACGATACCGAATACAAACACTGCGACCACCCCGTTTGGAAATCGGCGGCGACGACGACGTCGAGAAGCCTTAATCGCGCGCAAACGTCCCAGCGATTGGGGTTTTTTGGTTTCCGGCTCTGCGGTGCGCCTCACGTCAGCCAAACTAAACGGCGATCGTACTTTTCCGTCGAATTTATATTATAACGTACGCCGCTGTTGTTTGCAGGACGCGCGCGCTCGCACGCCATACCGGCCGGAAATCTTCGCCCCCTCCGCCCCTCGCAAGGTTTTTTTTCGAAAAAATCACGCGGCGAGGGGCCGCGCATGTCCTTGATCGGTGGTGGCGGAGATTTCGTTTCCAACCCATATGAATACTATACCGTCGGGTCTTGTGTTAATATTTTGATTCCTAATGTCTAATGGTGGATTAACAGCATTAGAGTTCCACGCTCCTTTGATGAATCCAGATAGACATGCAACTCCCCTAAACCATTAACATTACACGAAAAATAATTTTTGGATTATTTGATCCTTTCTGTACAAGAAGTCGAAAATGCTAAACTTGCGTGCATATAAGTCGGCCCATTGTGAACTTTTGACTTCAATTTCATTTTTTTAGAAACTAATCAAATGAAAAAAAATTGCCGTTTGAAAGACAATTTAATATCCTTAATACGAGTTTAAATTAATAATAATAATAATAATCAACTTTATTTCACATTGTGTCATAAATACATTACCTAAACATAATGTACCAAACACAAAGGAAATCGGCGTCAAAAAAGGAAAAAGCACCAGATATTGTTACAAATTTCAATTACATCGTATTTACAATTATTTAAATTTTACAGAAAAAAATCTTCTATGGAGTAAGGTTCTAACTCTATCAATAACTTTTTTATTGTATATTTAAAGATTTTTAGAGTTGCAATTGTTTTTACCTCATTTGGTAATTTATTATACAATCTCGGGCACATATAATAAGGACTCCTTTCAGTTAAGGTTAAACGGTGAATAGGGTAATTTACATTTAGGGTTGTGGTATTATATCTATGAAATATCTGTGGTTCGAAGTCCTTTCGATTTTTAAAGAAGAATATCAATGCTTCATAATTATATAAAGCATATACAGTAAAAATACCTTCAGTCTTGAACACCCCTCTACAGCTCTCTCTAAATTGCATTTTTTTGACAGTCCGAAGAGTTCTCTTTTGAACCACGAAAATTTTCTGTAGTTGACCACTACCCCCCCAAAAGATAATTCCATACCTCATGCGCGACTGAAAGTTTGCAAAGTACATAATTTTTAAAGTTTCCTTATTCATATAATTTGCAACAACTCGAATTCCATAACAAATTGAATTTAATTTATTTAGCAGATAATCAATATGTTCAGACCAATCAAGAAATTCGTCAATTTGTAAACCTAAGAATTTAGTATTATTTACAATAGTAATATTTTCTTTACCTAACCGTATTCTTAATGGTATTTCAACTCTACATAATTTAGTTCTAAACATAATTAACTTCGTTTTCTCTTTGTTTAATATCAATTTATTTCCTAGAAACCAGTCATGTGCCCTTGTAAAAATATCGTTGCCTTTATCACTAACTTCAGTGAGATTATTTCCACCTAGAAGCAGGTTGGTATCATCCGCATAGCATATTATGCTCTCTTCTTCTGACTGTGTTACTAAATACAAGTCATTCACAAAAATAATAAATAAAATTGGACCAAGAATACTACCTTGTGCTATTTTCCTTAATATCCGAAAAATAACTAGTGCCATTTTGGGTTATTCTTACTTGTTGCTTCCTTCCTATGATTCAAACAATTTTAGAACATTACCTCTTACACCATATAAATCCAATTTTTTGAGCAATAAGTCCCTGTCTATACAGTCGTATGCTCTAGAAAGATCTAAGCACGTACCTAAAGCTATTCTTTCGCCCTCCAAGTGTTTTAAAATTGTTTTTATAAACTGAAATATAGCGGTTTCTGTTGATTTATTAGCTACATAATCATGCTGATAATTGTTGAACATTTTATATTTATTAAAAAACTCTAGGAGTCTTTTGCAAATAGCCATCTCAAATATTTTAGAAAACCCGGGCAAAAGGCTAATTGGTCTATAATTGGTAATTATTTCCGGATCTCCCTTTTTATAGATCGGTTTTATTAATGCTGTTTTAAGTTGGTCTGGGAATACGCCATTTTCAAATGATTCATTAATCAAAAGACAGGTACAACGTTCAACAGATATTCATTAAAATCATTTGACATTTGATTAGGATCCTCACTCATACCAATGTCAGCCCCTAAACTGTTTCCACCCAAAATCTCATTGCATATTGACCACATGCATTTGGTTATATTATCAGAAAGCTTTGATTAAAATTTATTTCTGCTTTTTAAGTGGAACATAGTAAAATGACTGCACGAGTAAAATTAACTTCTTTTTTGTTACTAAAAACAAATAGGGTTATTGATAATCATCAACTCAACATTTATTTTTTAATAATGGGTATAACCCCATCTTGCCCTAATAACATCGCTTACTCGATTAGGCACTTTTCCTCTACTACAAAAGTAAGCTCTGGGGTACGAAGTCTAGCTCGATTTCTCCGTTTTAGCTTATCCCATAAATCCTCGATCGGATTGAGTTCGGGACTGCATGCTGGCCACTCTATAACTCGAAAACCGACTTCTGTAATGTAACCTTGCACGATCCTTGCGATGTGCGGCCTAGCATTGTCATGCATAAAAATGAATTCTTCCCCATTGTAGTCCTAGCCCCTGTTAAATCTCCTTCCCCTTGACCACGGCCTCCCCTACGGATGAATACGGGATCGATTCGAGCGCCCATATTGCACCCCATATCACGCAGGAACCACCTCCGCTCTGTTCTTCATTGCAGTATTCTGCAAATCGCTCTTCTAGTCTACACTGCGGTACACTTTTTTTCGTCGGTCACTACCAAAAAGGCACATTCTGGTCTCATCTGAGAGCAGAACAGGCCCCCTTTGATCCAATGTCCAATTCAGATGATGCACTGCAAAGCGTGGGCGTGCATGTCGATTATCTGGAGTAAGTTTTGGACCAATTGCAGTTGTTTTTGGGGTCAGATTATTTTCCTTCAGTATTCTTCTCACTGTCCACTTATTATTGTTGACACAATAAAACGGTCACCACGAGCCGTAGTAATTCGCATTTTGCCTGTTCCAGGGCGCCTATCAAAGTATCCAGTCTCCTCATACCGGTGGCGTACGCGTGCCCTGCGAACTGCAACGCGTCCCTTCTCAACATTTTTCATGGTGCGGCTTAAAGTTCTTCTATTATCGATATTGGGTGTTGAAATTCTAAGAAAAAACTTTTGTGTTATAATAATTTTTATCCCCTCTATTGGTATTTCATTGACACTACTTTCAAGCAACAAAAGGCAAAGGAAAAAAGTATGCACCACGGCTTTTTTCCTAAAATAAAAATTGTTTTTGAATTCCCATTCAATTTTTTTTCAAAGAAATAAAAGACCAATTTGGTGTTTCTCAAAATTATCAAAATTATGACAAAAATGTTAAACTGTACAAAACTTAAAGTTTAAAATTATTTAACAAAAAATAAAATTAGTCAAAGTCAAATTCGTAAACCGTGTTCAAAGTGTGAACCGTATTCTTCTATACAAAAAAATTCTTACATGTATTAGTTTAGAAAAAAGCAGTGGCCCTCCATTTTTTCTGAAAAAAAGTTCCATAGAAATTTAGACGTCACTGGTAAATTTTTAAAAAAAAATTTTCCATCGAAAGCAGTACACAAATGAAACATCTAGAGTGGAAAGCAAGCATTTTTGGACATATGTTTATAATAGGAAACTAAAAACTAAACTAAAATTTTGGTACATTACACTCTGTATGTCTAGCAGCTATATGGTTTATTAGTTTTGCAAAATATTCAAAGGTCAGGCTGAAATAACGAGCCCAAAAAGGACGATGACGATAAGGTTTTTACTTATAATTATTTTAATTTCACAGCTTTTAAGATGTCATTAATTGTCGTATCCTTCTCAACCATGTAGTTTTTAGATAATCTAGTGGCCCTCCTACGGTAAAAATTGTTGCGCCGCATTCGGCATTAATATTTTCGTAGAGAAAGTAATGATTTTCCACGCATGCCTCTACATTTCCCTCACTAAACTGCCCTTAATTCGTTTTCCCAGAATACTTAACAAGAACTAGGAATATGCCTAGTTCCTCGTCTTTTTTTCCTTAGACGGGTAGCTATGTGTTTGCATCCGTCAATTCCATAGTCGCCTTGGTTGGCCGATTTACAACAACTTAACTGACTTAGGCATCGGAAGGGATGTTTGCTCAGCAAAAATTTACCGTCGTTTTCAACTTTATAGCCACTGTCACGACAATTGCTACACTAATCCGTTAATTGACGCCAAACAAAATGCGCTGCTCTGTATAAGTAATAAGGTTCCCATGCATTTAGCCAATTGCGTATTTTCGCGTATACATATAATAATGGCGTTCTCTGCGTTAATATTTAAAGTTGACGGAAAATACAGACGACATTAAATCCAAATTAGACGAAGCTATCCATTTATTTTAATTTCTCAATTAATGTTATCATTATGAACTAAAATTTCCGTCGACTCCACGTCAGCTCACCGTCACTTCCTTGCACTGTGTAAACAGCAACGCTAGAGAAATTTTGCTGAAAATTTGCTTTCAACTTATCAATTTGTTAGAGCTTGTGGTGTACACAGCTAATCTAACAATTTTTTTTTACATTTTTTAAATTTGGGGCTGTTTCGAGATATCTGCAGCAATTTTTTAAAATAGTTTTTTTTTCGAATAAAACGCAGTGCTTGGATTAGAGAAAAAACTGTTTTGTTAATTGAAAATTTTAAACCGCATCCAGTAATATGTTATGTACAAAGGTTTTAAAAATGGAGTGAAAAAACAAGGCGCATTTCCAAAATTATAAGAACTATTTGACACTTAATTTTATATGGACTGCTTAGAGAAGAGAACCTAATTGAATTTTACATACAATTGTAAATAGATCTAAATTTTCACCTTTAAGTGAAACAAATTAGTGCTTATAGTCTTTTCGACTTATTTTAGCTTTCTTATCTTATCTTATCAATAAGTCGACTTTTTTTCTAAAGTCTGGCTACACATCTGTGAGCTAACGAACTTGCTGGAGTAATTTGCCGCCCTAAATTTTAGAACAATTTAAGTGTAGATCGCTCGAATTTGATGGGAAACGTCGGTAGGCGATAAATTTCGACAACTGAAAAAAGTTAAATTTCATATTGAATATAATATTCGTTTGTAAGAGTAAGAACATAAAATGTCGGTCCGGCTGAGCTGAGAAATGAGACAATGAGAGGCGGACACCACCTGTTTTCAATCTAAATGTTAGATGTATGAGGCAAAAACGATAAAAAAAGTACACGTTTTTTCCCCGAGACAATAACCATAATAATGAGCTCGCGCGTAAATAAATTGTCGTTAATTGATATATATCGTACCTGTGCGGCAAAATAAGGGAGTGTCCAAAGTGAGAAAAAAAATAAGGAAAAGGGTACGACCGAGAGACTTCAAATATAAATGTAAATCGGCGTCATTTGATAATGTCATAAAGGGAAAGCAAATTATGGGTGACAGTTAAAAATGGAATCGATGAAATATTTGTTTTTGACATTATAAACGACTCTAGTTGTTCAACCGGACCGCACAGTACACTATGGTAATTTTTTAATCGGTCGGTTAATTTACATTTTTAATTAAATGTGTTATTTATATGCAAAGTGGGCATTGTAAACCGTGTAGTTGATAGTTATTTGCAGAGCCACCATATTTAGAATACAAGTTTTAGGTGAAAAACCTACCAAGCTTTCTGGGAGTTTAAGTTTCAACACATACAAATGACGGTTAAAACTTTAGAAGCAAAAATAACTTCAAACTTGGTTTTTTTCATAATTTTGTCAACTCCTACCACGTTTTTACTTTTGATAGCTGGGAAGGTTGTCCTTACCAGTGTTGGGACTGGTTAATTGATCACTTCTGAGTTGACTAGTCAAAAATGTTTTAAATAACATCTTCCAATTGTAGAGTGTTATTTAATAATAATATGTATTTTATAAAATATTATTATGCGTTTGTGATGTCCAATTTACCTATAACTCTCTTCAAGGAATATCCGAATACGATACTTAGCGATTTAGGAAGTTCCAATAATATCGACTCCATTTGGTTCCGAGAACGACGCGACGGCGACGTAACGCACAATATAAATAAATAAATAAATATAAATTTTATGATATTTTTAAAATTATTTCGGTCCATTGACCAGTCAATTGACACAAAAAAAAAATTTGACCGGTCAATTCCACAACTTTACTGATATTACTGATCATTGTACCGCGCATTTCTCACAGTATTTGAAAAAATCTCTTTACTTATCCTTTGCATTGGCGAAATATTAAGCTAACAGCACGAAAAATGCTTGAGGCGCAAGAAAACTTTAAGCATTTTTAAGCTCGAAATTTTGCAATTTTATATAAATTTCAAAAATTAAAAAACTCTAAAATTGTTGTAAACTAATCTTCAAAAGTTGCTCTTGTGGAATGCACTAAAATTCCTATGTTAAAAAATATTTGTACTAATCAGTACAAAGTGAATCTGCGGAAAAGCAAGACCTAAAAGATAAAAAAAAAACACATACACGCAGAGCTTTTGTTTAACCTTTATTTAATAAAAAGATGCTTGACTTTAAAGGAAAACTTATTTTACTGTTCATCAAGTATTGGACTTCTCTGACATGGACACTAGCCCGTTATTATATTAATCTACTAAAGACATTAATAATTGCCGTTGAATAAATAAATTACGATAAATTCATGCCAGAGTTTGTTGACATTATAAGTAACAGCGGAAGTTTAAAAAATAAAATCAATAAAATCGTACCCGTGTTAAATTCTTCATTTATGTTATGTTATTCAACCCTCAGCATAAAAAATCTCTAATATCGATATTCAATCTGCGCATGAGCGCGATCATTGACAATTGACAATTGACAATTTTGCCTGAATATTTTGCGACAGCCGTTTTCGAACTATGCACATGTTCTATGACAAAGCTCATAACCGACTGAAGTGTGACAATTTTACCGTCCTTACGGCCTGTATTTTCAATTTATTTGGTTTTCACTCATCTTTTTTAATTTTTGATGGATCGATAGGCTCGAGTTTGTTGCTGACGAAATACGATGATACATTTCGCGATGATCCTTCAGAAGGTGCGTATATTCCGCGATCACTCAGACTGTAGATGAGACGCAGGGACGTATCGAGCACACGAAACGGTTTAAGAAAATAATTCCATGTCCAATTTAAAACATATTATATTGCGGCCGTACCGCGAAAAAAATTCACATTCCACCCGCTAACCCGCATTGTTTCCAGTTAACATTTAACGAGATTTAGGTATATTTTAAGAAAATACTGCCGTAAAAATATCGCATCCAAACTCATTGACGATCTGTCAACGACCATGTTTGGTTATTCAATGCCGCATTGCAGTCATTGGTTAAAAACAACATTTATTTTCATAGTTGTTTCATAAGTTCCTGTATTATCGGCATAGGCAGAGCCTCTATATCTCTAGTAGCTATATAATATAGCCGATAAACATTCATTTGACAAAGACTAAAAGTCTATATGCTTATTCTTATATGGATCGTAAATTCCACACCTTAAAAATCTACATAAATAAAAGTATTCATCGCCTTAACAACCACGTAAAAATATAATATTTGGGGCTCAATCACTTACTGAATTATTTTTTGTACAATAACAATGATAAAATGAACGTTGCAATAAAAATGACGACGGTTTACTTATTTTATTTACCTTGAGATTCTATATAATAATGTTCTATTTACTTATCCGTCTGCGTTAGAAAGAATCACCCATAAGAAAAAATGCACTGACACCGAGTGTAAGGACTCTGTCACATTAAACCAATCATCGTATCTCAAATTATACGAGTAATGGAGCCCTTCCACGCAAAATATCACTTTACGACGTACTCTGATTGTAAAGTGACCCTCCATCCCGTGTAACTAGATATTTCCTCCGAAACCGATATAGGACTTTCACGTCGTGCTAGATTTTATAACATCCAAATCGAAAATTTCTAATTAAGAGTTTTCGAACTTACCGAAAATACCTGGAATCCTCAGTTTTCTTACCGTGCGGCTCTCGATGTACACGGTGGTTAATTTCGTCCGTTAGGCTTCGAACTATAACAATAATAATTAACTACTATACGGCATTTATCGTTCCTGTTTGTTATTAAGTCGTTATCGGCCGTGTTTCTGGCATATTAAAGGCCGAACCATTATCGCGATAGCTTCTGTGAACGTTTGCCGAGGCCGGTGGCGAAAAAAATACGTTTGCTTAGGTTATACCGGCTGCTTCGATGTTTTGGAATATCTATATACAAAACTTCTGCATTGTTTTAAAAGGAAATAGTATCAGGAACCTTATTAGCAAATTAAACGCAAACTAATACCTACGCAGTGCCTATCTATGCCATGGATGTTTGGTTCGTTTTGGATCGTTGTTGATACGATTATTGAATTGAAAGCGACTGGAGATTTTTCCACCAGTGAGGAAACCATATCGACAATATAGTGGCCCTAATACGATAAAAATTGATGCGCTGCAGGCTGCATTGCCTGAAATGCCTCTGCATTTCACCGAGTAACTTGCACTTTTCGTCATTTTCTTTCTAAACAGCGATTTCCACACATTTCATTCGTTTTCCTAGAACATTTTACAAGATCCGGCATATTTTGATAAAGTACTGGCGTATGTTTCAGGAACCATGTTGGTTGTTGAGTGTCGTAAGGTCATTGGTTAAGAACGAGGTCCTAAATCCCGCGCATGCGCTTGTCGAATAGACCTTTTCAATTTTTTTTTTCGTAGTTGATTCATAAGCTCCTGTATTATCAGCATAGGCAGGGCTTCTTATATATTTAATATAAATAAATGCGAATCTTTGGACATCCGGTATTGCATAAGCGAGTCTTTTTTTTCGTTTTAAACTCGACGCGATATGCGTTTATATTGGCGACCTAATGAACGTAATTAAGCGTATTTAAATTAAAATTTCCGGCCACTCTTCTAATTTTCTGCATTAGTCCGACTTAAATTTCCGGAAAAGTTCAGTTACTGTGATTTTTCGGCTATTCGACCATTATGATGTCGTCACCGAACACTTTTTTGCAATAAATTAATATATACGCCACTGCATTCGGAGCCAGATGAAAAGTAGATTTGCCTTATGTGATTCGTTACGTCACAACTGCATGTTGTATTTTGCCAGCTGGGACGTTTGCCCAATCAAAATGCAGAGGTATAATTTAAACAGATTTTTACGAAATTATATATTATGACATGACAATCGCTTCGACAACACCGCGTCTTTATCAATTTCGTGAAAATCTGAACTTTTTGTTCTTATTTATTTTGATAAATTACGGTGTACAGAAATTATTTGGCGTTTGGTGCCATCTTTGGGACGACGCCGGAATTCAAAATAAGAGAGGGGCAGTTTTCTACCGTCCACGACCTCTAAATTTAGGTCATATAATCCGAACAGCTGTTGTATGTCGGATTGCATAACTGAGCAAAAATATGACTTTCGGTGTGAATTTGGGTTTTCGAAGACCGTCAACATTGTTTACTCCCAGGTTGCTAGGAATCATCAACCGCATTTTGATTTTCCCTTACTGAGCCGCCGAATAAATAAAAATTTATTACCCACGAAATGCGCGTGCGCACAGGCATGGAAGATGCGTTCATCAGCACACTGCTGCGTCTGCCGCCAGTCGTGATCTGGTTTCAACGCGCGGGGCTTCGTGTGTGTCAAGCCATGAGGGATTTGGCCACAAAAATGGCTGAATTAAAATTTGAAGCGCCGCTCGCCCAGTTCGAGGAATCCGACGAATGGGGCTCTACCGAATTCCATTCGGTCAATGCAAAAAACGAACTGAACAATATCAACACCAGCAAGAAAAACAAAGACCTGAACCAGGCCCTGGACGAAGATCTCATCAATAACTCAAACGTGGAAGTAATACCGCCAAAATCGAATGTGATCATGAGCGACACCACCACCACTACCACCACGGTCTCGGTGGCGGATAATTTTACGGAAACCTTTTCCGGCTCTCTAGAGGATTTGGTCAATACGTTCGACGAGAAAATCACCAAGTGTTTCGGTAACTACGAGGAGTCGGTGGAGAAATTGGCTCCGGTTCAAGTTCGGACCCAAGAAGAGATCATGAACGAATGCCAGTGAGTCGGTTTATCTTTTATAGCAGTAATACAAAGATGCTTTTTTGACGAATCGTTAACATTATCGTAAAATTTCACGTCGCTCTGGATTCATTCGCTGAATTAATTCCAATTGCGCCCGCCGTAGGAGTGTGTGTGTATGTTTGGTTTCCTTATTGGATCAATGAATCATATGACGTGTCCGGTTTTTCTATTTGCGGCAGTGTCGTTTTTAAGGCACTCGCTGGCGGTCATTACAAATAAACTGTTATTTATTTGATACGTTATCGTATGAATCACTTTGTTTAAACAATGGGGTGGTAGTTTCCCGCGTGTTTTCGTCGTTAATAATAGAGAGTGGCGGTTAAAGCGATTTCCGTTAGATGGCGAGATCGGCCGATAATATGAATTGACGGATCTCGATTGAAGAGGATTTTAATAAAATGTTATGGAACGGTGACCTGGCTGTAGTGTTGTGTCAATCGTTCATTTTACGAGGACCGAATGAATCAGTGACCGATTTCGAAAAGGACCGAATCATTTCAATCAATACTTTTTGATTCCAACCTAAGTCACTGAATCCGAACAGTCCGAACGACCGATTCAGATTCATTTGAATTTGAATTATTGTTGTGTCTATATGTTATGTTTTCTGTTCTAGTTAGTATAATATTTAGGTGTGTTCTGCTTTTTATTGAATCATGATTTTATCAAAATAGGTGCTACATATTGGGTTGTACTAGTAATACATTAATTTGTTTAAATTAAATACCTGTGTGGAAATAGATATTTCATTCAATATTCAATTCAACACATAAGCAAATCTACCAATCGATTTCGCAACTCAATACTATAGAATAATTATAACAATATTCCCATTCCTTTCGGTCTCAGTCATGCAACTTAAACCGTTCAAATGAATCGTATTCCGGCGAATTCGTTTGTTTTGGTACGGTCGGTCCTTCGGTCGTCCTGAATTCGGTCACTTCAGGGTGGCAGCGAGAGCGAATAAGGTGATCGAATCGTTACGAATCGTTACGAATTCGGTCTTTCGACCCTATGAAGTGATTGAGTCAAAGTGACCGAATCAATCGCGATTGACACAACTCTACCTGACTTAAAGGGCCGTGGATAATAAGAGAGGGGGGTAATTATGGCTGCCGAATAGTGAGTGGAATTAAAATAAATGAGTTTAAATCGCCGATGACGTTGTGTAAACAACCCGATCGGCATCTGCATTGGGTAGAGACAATCTTCTCCGTAACTAAATAGCGTATCGGGGTTTTTGTGATCGAAATGATAAAACCCATTTAATTTGAAATACCCCTTTAACGAGGGTCTTCATATTATATCCAGCGGGTGTTTTTATTACCAACTAGGTCATGAGTTTAATTTACGCCAATTTTTGCCAAGGCCGTATGGAAATTCGTTCGACGCGTGGGAATAACAGTTTAAACGCCATATGTCTCAACGTTTCGGCGAACTCACGAAAACAAAATTTATTGCCTGTTTTGCGTTTATTGATATTTTTTAATGATTTAAAGAGGCGAAAATGCTAATATCGAGCACTGTGTAAGGACGAGCATTTGTATTTTTGACAACGCAGTACATTCTATCTACGTTACGTTCCTTTAACATTAACTCATAAACACCGTATTCGTTATAAGTGCTACTACTAACTTTGTAAAAAATGTCGCCTTGTTAGGAACATTAATTTACCATGTGAGAATTTTCGACGGCCACAGGGTATTAATGAATCAGGTAAACGGATATAAAGTGCAGCAGCGTTGCCGGTTTTGATTTTATGTTTATTAATTAGTAGATGTTAGAACACGTTGTAACAAAATAGCGAGCTACCCCACATCTGCCAACAAAATCTTAATCGCGCCGCATCGTATTTCGAGTCGATATGGTAGACGGCGTCGGGATGCTTCCGGCGCCCACGAAACTGGCACTCTGACGTCTGCGATGTTGCCAGAGTGGCGCCGTTCGATGTAAATATGGGTACTTTTTTTTGTATATTTTTTCCCTTGCTGTTATTCTCGAATAATTATTTTTTCTCCTTTCCCGCTGTTCGTGCTGTTGAGAAGGGGAATCTGTACTCGGTCGCTATTATTTCTCATTTGTGCACTTAGATACTGAATGAGTGCAAAAGCAGTTGCGGATTTAGCCTTCTTGTCGCCCTAGGCCCTGCCTGATATGCCGCTCTTTTTAATAGACGAAATTCTATGGATTCATTATCACTATTTAGATATTATTTTTATTTTATTGACGTGTAATTGTTAAACAAAACAAATAACAACACCATAAACCATACGTATTGATTAATTAATCAACTACGTCGACGTAATCAATTACTTTTACCCTTGTCAAGGTGGAAAAAAATCTTTCGCCTTACCTTCCGAGAGTGTAACACACTGCATATTCGTTCCCTGCGCGGAACATACATCGTCCGCGTATCTAAAATTGGATAATAAACGCTGGTTCGAAAATTTTCTTATCCAGATAAAGATATTCTTTCATTTCTTTCATTCTCTCGTGACTCATCTGCCTGAATTTTCCAAATTCTTTTACGACAGGCGTCATAACGATAATAATTTTGAAGGCTAGATGGTGCTTTGGCTTTTTCTTCATATTGTTTGTCCCTCATGTCTTGTAAAAATAATACCAAAGAACTATACATTTGTGTCACAGATGACAAATCAGCTTGAGAATCCCGAAGCTTCTTTCTGGAAGCATTAAAAAGATTTTCTTATTCTAATGCCTAGCCTGCATCATTTCGAACAGATCAACGATTAAGTGATTAAGACTGTTAAGTTTTAACCTTGTATGCTGTAATCAGATTTCCCGGCGATATTTTGAAATGGTAAAAAAATTATGAAGCATCAGCTGCACAAGTTACCACTAAGTTTAAGGAATAAGCAGCACAAGGATCATATTCGCCCTTAAAATTCGCGCCAACAAGTTTATTAATCAAGCGATTCTGTCAAAAATAAGTTTTAAAATACCTCAATATTGTATAAGAATCACATTTGTTACATTAAAGACGAAGAAATTGACGAACGGCTTCAGTGTAAAACGAGCAAACTTATTAAAGAAAAATTTTCTTCGACTTTATTCTAGTGGGCCTCAGATCGCCCACGATAACGGTCATATTTTTCGTAAAAATAACAGACGCGACCGCGAATTAGACAAGGTCACGCGGTTGGTATTTACATTGGAGTCGCTTGCGGCGGAGTTACATTAAATTTACATCCAGTCCTGCGATTTTTGCGAATTTATTCTTCGATGCTGACAACAAAAGTGGCTGTTTGGACATATTTGATAATAAATTGGTTAAGGCTTTCGCGGCCCGTTGATAAGCTATTATCTTGATTCGGGTTTAAAGGCTGTCGTCGGTTGGAATTACTTCCTAACGTTTCTCTAGCACGAGTGGCGAGCTTCTTCAGAGGTCCTTCCATCTCCGATGTTGGACTTAGACTGACGATTTCTCCTGCGCAGGTTGTATTTATGCCGATTGGTGGTGGGCGGGGCGGGGCAAGCGAAGCGGAACAAGCATACAAGAAAACAGGTTAAAATAGGAAATTGGTTGTCGCAGCCTTTTAAAACCAACAATGGTCTAAAGCAACCAACCAAATCTGTCTCGAACAAGCTCTACGCAAGTGCATGAAGAAACGTAAGAACATGAACGAATGTAAGAACATGGACATATATTTGAATGATGGACAACTAATATTAGCAGAGGACGAAAACGACGCCAGCTATATGGTTAGAAAATTGATTGAAAACTACAAGAAATGGGGCCTAAAGATCGATCTAGAAACAACCCAAGTATCGGCGGGGAGGCAATAAATCTGATGGTAGAAGCGTAAACAATTGGACTTCCAACCCACCAATATTTGGGTGTAACGATTACACAGGATAGTCGAGCTGAAACAGACATTCGAATAAAATTAGGGCAAGTAGAAACAATTATCAGGCAACTGAACTTGTTGCTTATCAGTTTTGGTTAGTTTGTCTTGGGTGGTTTTGTATTTAAAAGCCGGAGTTGTGATAGACGGCGAAGCTTTATTAAATGTGATGTTAATTGGGTCTTCTGCAGGTATCGACAACTTAAAGGGCATTTTTACGGTTTGCACTGCATAAGAACTTATTTATTAAATAATTAAATCACGTTGCTTGCGGTTGTTGCAAGTATATTGCCGCAGTTCTGCAAAAGCGTGTTAAGTAGGTCTAAAGGTCAAAATTTTTACAAAGAAAACTACTAGGATAATAGTTATTTAATATTTAGTGACTGACATCCATGAAGAAAGCAATTTATTTTTTCTTTAATGTTGAATTCATAAAGGCACTGAGTAGCAAATGATGCCAGACGAACTATTTTTTAAAGTAAAATTAACACACCGCCACATCACCAATCATGAAACTCATGAAAATAATACCGTCTTTCTTTGAAATAGATGAACAATTTTTCCGTCACAGGGTAGCCTCACTGAAATCTAAAATTGAAAATAGGCAAACGCGATTTTTCTGTGTTTGCGTTTCCGACCGACGATGAATATTTGTATGCAGGTAATCCTTAAATTTTAAGCGGCTTTCGCTTTACCGGTGTTTTTGCCGCCTACTCTGCAATGAGCGATCGTCGCTTAGAGAGCGTTTGGCCCATTTGGACACTATCGGATTCGTCGCAGCTAATTTACTCGCCGGTCGATATGGCGACAAACCGTTTCAATGCTCCACTAGAAGTCTAAATTCATTCAAAAACGAAAAACTTATATTCAGAATGAAATTAATGTTGTAAATACAGACACAAGAAATAGGTTTGGCGTCTGACAGCTCCCACGTTCACATTAAAACAAAACCCATGGCTATTAAGGCGAGAGAGCAATAAAGTGTAAATTCACAATGATGGGGATCATTAAACAGGGTGGACAACTTAAACAAAATCTAGTACGAGTTAGATGAATGAGAATAATGTCACCCCGGCGTTACTACAGGTCTTTTATTAGAATTCTGAAAAT